TATTCAAATCTCTTCCTTTATACCTAACTGAACCGGAGCGGACGAGTCGTCGAACGAATAATATTAAAGGGGAAACTAAGCAATTGATAGTAAAAATGGGCGGTGAAATAGAAAAATATCGTCCGACGCATTCGTGGCCTGGTAAAATATTCAATCGGGGCAATTCGGGTCCGCGTATAAATTCGGTCCCGCCATTATTTGTAGCGCGTCCTCGCGACCGAAAATCGGTACCTACATTGATAGTCGTCATTTTTCTTGTAGGTATCGTTAATATTTTACGGGTGCGTGTCAACGGTTTATGGGCCCACTCTTAACACTAAAACGTTTTAGCCGTGCTCTCATTGTTTATACATTTTACTATCCACTTTTTTATAGTTTATTGTCGCTCTAGTGCTGTTCAGGGTTATGACACTGCGCGTAACGGTTGTGTGACGTTCGATTATATGCTATCGAACTAGATTTTATTGCCGGCCTAATCTTGCCGCCAAGTTCCAGTTCCGATTTACTTGGGGATATTCCGTTTAAGTAATGTAGACACCTGACATCAGATAAATTGAATGTTGGTAATAGTTATTGTATAGTAGGAATGCTGTAGAGATAAATATAATCCAATATACTTGCAAAATGTAGGCTGTTATTATCTCCGGAAAATAAGTCTAGTTTTTAAAATCTAAGTAAAACTGCATTTAATCATTCATAATTTTACGAATTTTTCTCATGGTTTTATATTTTCTTTAATCATAAAGTTATATATGTACCTAGATCTAACAATTAGATCGTAATTATCTAGACAATGAAAAAGCATCCTGAGGTCAATAAAGCAATTAAAAATGAGACCTACTTCTTAAATTTGTATTATACCTAGAACTTGTGTAGCTAATTTAAACACAACATTGAACCCTAATGACCAAGTTCTGGTCTGATCAAATACAAATACATAAGATTCTACAATTAAATTCCTTTATGTGCAAGACAAAGCCGAACCTTTCGTATCTAAGTGTAATTATCCATCCGAGTTTGCGAGCTCCGAGAAAGAATTGCTCGGTTGTGTATATGGGGGGTCGTGGAGGCTGGAACGGAGGGAAGGGGGGTGGTAGGCTCACATGGGACGCGCTCTAATGAGGTGCCTGAAAGCGACAATGTCTTTGAGCACAGCGAACGTGTAGGTATCTACATACGGGGAGGGGCTCCCATCCATTGCTGTGTAATGTGCGCCCACTGATAGCTTCTTTATTGTGGTAAATAAACGAAGTTGAGTTTCACTGTTGATTTCGAATATTACCATTATAAAATTTTATTGCCCAACATATAAAGATAAGTTTTTGATAGATTAGTGTTAGCACACGATTTAAAAAATCGAATATAATTAATTGGCCTTATATTATTCGAAATGACTAAATCCAAGATAATCAATACTACCTATGAAAAATAAATAATATCTTTATACATAATTAATAATAATACTATTAAAAAACTAATTTGATATAGGTATATGGATTGTTGTTTAGTTCTAATTAAAATGGCAAAAGCTGACGGTCCGCCTCATGGTAAATTAACCGTTGTATGACCTTAAAACCACAGCACATTTTATGTACCTATGTAATGCAATTTTTTGCCAAAATTGACACCAGCATTACATTAATTAAAGTTGCTAACAGCTGATGCCCTACCTAATGGTTATTGTCATGGTAATTGTAATTGGTAACCGTCGGCTAAATACATGAACAACACTACGTCATTATGCCGTCCGTGATATATTCATTGCAATTCTGAAGGACTAAGACGTCATGTCTTCGTACCTTAGTAATTATACTGCCATATCTCAACCATCAACCGAAACAGTTAACAAAGGGAGCTGCTTTGTGCAAATCAGAATATTTAACATTACCGCCATTGATGAGTGACGACTGTATAAGACGTATGTATAATAGATTATTATTTACTGCTTATAAACTGTCATAGTAATGGACGTAATTACGCGACTTTCATTGACAAACTTGTAATAACATTGCTGACTTAAAAATCATAATCAATTTCTAATCCTCCTAGATTTAACACGTTTTATGAATTCACGTTATAGGAATTACCTTCCATTTCCTAATAATTGTAATTGAAGTTAATTGTCAGTACCTGCCTACTCACATACATATATGTAGGTACCTACTCTATTATGGTAACCTTTAGCAGTTATCAGTTATATTTTTTCTATTCCTAATATGTACATAAAATCATAAAGGAGGCATTCATGAAATATTAATAAAGAAATCAATTTGCACAGTTTTGTGGAAATTTTACGGAGGCACAAAACTGTTCTATGGTATTTTTGTCTATATAATCTCTGAAACAACTTAATTAATTTCTATGCGGTATTTACTGATGTATACCAGTAGGTTTGTTTCCCGTAAACATTTTCCCCTTCGAATATAAATACGCAATAACATACCCTATAGGCTAGTTTTCTTTATAATCCATATATTAGGATAAGTATTGTTAATGTTAATCAGTATGAAATTTAACATCGAATATTTATCATTTGTTATCTAATTAAGCTATCGATATAATTCAATGGAATTATTTCCATATTATATTATAACCAATATTTGTAATTCAATAATTATTACACGTACATAATAATGATACTTTAACGCATAGCGATTAGGTATTCCGAATCGCCATGCAATGCTATCTAAGTGAAATTGATTACGAAATTTGAATATAAAAGCAATAAAAATAAATTCTCATAAGAGTAATCAGCGTATGGATATTGGATATGTAACAGCTCTCGACTAGCGCAGGGAGGTATCGAGGGACGAGGCGAGGCGCGAAGCACCGCACCGTGCGAGAGCGCGGGGTCGATCGCGCCTTCCGGTCCACAGCCGGTTTTAATTTCCCGCGCGGAGCGGCGGCGCGTTAAGTTTAAACGGCCGGAGATGAGCCGCACAGTACTAATATCATGCACGGCCCGGGCCGTCGCCATAGCGACGCACACTCAAATGACGTGTGTGGCGCGAGGCGCGACACCGGGTGTGAGGTCGGGGGTAATATGATTTGAGCGCCCCCGGCCGCCGACACCCCGCCCGCTTGTTTGCTCTCCGATGCAATCGCGATACGAACACCCCCGCGCGCCCCGCGCCCCCCGCCCGCGCCCTGTCCAGCGACACATCTCTCACCTCCGTCGATAACCACATCGAGTTCCTTGTTGCAGGCCACCGCATTCTATTGAAATAGATATTCGCACTCGTCTATCCACCTATAAGTACTGTTTGTTCCACTCGATTTTCATGTCACCCCAAGCCGCACAATCGCCAACAGGACGACGACACCGCGGTATCCCGGAGCATATACTTCTACATCGGTACTTATCATTTGGTGTCCTCGCAATGTAAATAAAAAACGTATGCTGCATATGAGATATAACATGCAGTTCAGTATAAATGCCAGTAAGCTCATAACATTAATTTAGAACACTGTACCTACTATATTTAGCAACCTTACCCAGAAGTATAAAACGGATCTTTTTCTGACGCTTTTTCAACATACAAAAGTGATGTTCGCATTATAAAAGTACACGGGTTTACATTGCGCAAGCATTGCCAGTTAAAGCGGTTATAGTACCAATAAATCAATCATACTCTCTCCGCAACAGAGTAACGAGCTGCGTCATATTCTCGTACATTTTGCGTGGTGACTCAATATGTTAGCTTTACTGGATCCCACGAGTTTAGCCGCGGCCAGCGGAGCGCTGCGGCGTGCAGCGAGCCAGTGACAATTACGCGGTGCCAGGGTTTATTAGTTACGGACGCGGGGCCGGTTCATGTATCATGTATAACGCGTCTCCAGCGCCACCGACACCGGGACAATAAAGCAATCAATCCGCATCGCCCGCCGTCCACAAACGAGCTGCTAGCGACACTCAGCGCGACACCGACCGAGAGATATCCGCACACTATAATGACACTTGTTTGTGACAAATATCTCCACAGTCGACTATGTAACTAGCCTCCTGAGAGACTTGCTATAGATATATGCTCTAGACGTACGAAGTAGATTACTGCATACTGTATTCTACAGGAAGTACAATTTCCAAAACTTGACGTTTGTGTGCACATATAAGGCTATCCTAATAGGGTACTATGAGTGAATGGCCCGGGCAGTTTGTGCTGCAGTAATTGCAACGCGGACGCCGGGGGCCGCGGATAATGCAACCGCGTGATATATGGTACTACGGCTAATAACAGAGCTCGAGCCTTGCACCGATTATCCCTTTACTCTGCGAAGACGAATTCATATCGATCGTTGCGACGTTCGCTCTCAACTAATGAGAGCGGGATTTACTACTTATTATCCACTTTCGCCGGCTGCCCGGGGCGCGATGAAGACGTCGCGAGCTCAGTGCAATGCCGCCGGCGCACAATTTGCTGCGCTCGAGCGCTAGACGCCGAGCACCGCGCCGGGGCCGGGGCCGGGGCCGGGGCTGCAGTGCCCGCAGCGTACTTTATGTTTTATCCCCGGTAATTGCAGGCCGACGCGATCTACCTTCTAACGGCCACCACCACACGACCAACGGTAGTGGATAATTGCGCTATTGTTGCCGAGACCCGCGCGACTAGCTTACAAATCGCTTTCAAGGAAGTTGCTACGTTCGAAATTAGAGGTTCAAGTATCGGCTTTGTTATTTGGACAATTAAGTTAGATAAGAAAATTAATAGTTAGGTTGTAAACGATCGGGTAATAATAACCTATTGCATGTACATTGTATAAAGCGAGGTAATTATTTCGACTTCCCCGTAAATATGTTATGTTAACCCTTTTAGTAGTTATCAACTGAATCGCCTATAGCCAACTATCTGTCTACTTATTGATAAGCAGTTTAATACGGATGAAATTAAAATAATAGGTTCAAAATAGACATAGAAAACGTTAGACAAGTTTACACATGTATTGCGATAATTAGGGACTAATATACTGCAATATTTGCATTACCAATTTCTATCATTCAGGTGGCTCGGGCGTGGCTCAATGTTCGTGCTGTCAGAAGCCCAGGCTCGGTTGTTGCTGCACTCGGCAAAGACGGCCGGCAATGCAGCAGAAACTTTAGTGGACGTTGGCGCTGGTGACGGCGAAGTCAGCCGACGCTTCGCTAATCTATATTCAATTAAGTACGCGACTGAAATATCTGGGAGTATGCGGAAAGCGCTAAGCAATAAAGGATACACGTGAGTATTACTGCCTTGTTTTAATTTTTCCACAAGAAATATTATTAACTTATAAAAGCCATGCATTTCTATATGAAATAACACTATTAATTTTTTAATACAGTGACCACTTAAGGTATTCCAGTAACCGTAATGGTATGCGACATTTACAATCTAATAGTAGTAGCTTACACGTATAACAAAGGTACTTCTATTTTAATATGTTGTACCGCTAGTCACTTTTAAGGGGTTCACCGTTCACGGGGATTTAAAAATCCTAGTACAGGGCTTCTAAAACTTAGGGCTTCATGTACCACATTTAAAACCATAAATTTGAGAAACTATGTTCTAATAAATACCGCTTTGTTATTTATTATACCAGATACACGAAGCGATCAATTGCGCGAGAGTTAAACCGTCATGTTAAACCGCGAAAAATGAGTTAAAAGTGCCCTTTTACCAAATTACACCACACGACTCTTTCGGCTCCTAAACCTTTTAATATTCATATTAGAAGTCTACTATTATTATAAGATATAGTTCAGTTTATTTTGAGCTTTTATTTCGTTATCTACTGGCATATACTCTTTTTTAGCCATATCTATTGCTGTCATGATTGGGGATAATTATAGTATTTGAACTATCAATTAAAAATTCAATTGATCCATTGTCACAATTCAGTTGAAATAGAAAATCTAACATAGAACTAACAATACATTCCAGGTTGCTGGATACGGAAGAATGGTGGCGTGAGCAGCAGTTCGATTGCGTGTGCATGCTAAACCTTCTAGACCGGTGCAGTAAGCCGAAGACGATGCTAAAGCAAGCGCGGGCTGCCCTCGCCCCAGGCGGTGTTCTGATGCTGGCGCTCGTACTACCATACAAACCTTATGTAGAAGGTAATTAACTTTATTATTATTTAACTAGGTAACCCGCGCAACTTCGTCAGCAGCACACTTGCCATATTTCACCCAATTTACGTAATATCTTTTTAAGTTATAATCAATGTGTTATTCTGATGTAAGCTATATTAGTATAAAGTTTCATCAAAATCCGTTTAGTAATTTTTGCGTGAAAGAGTTACAAACATTTTCTATAATTAATAAATTATAGAAAATGTATAGGTACAATGTAATACTAATAAGTATTCTCTCAAAATGTTTAATTTATAATCTTCCAGTTCCCGTACGAGTTAGGCAAAGAGAATCGACTGCCACTTCTACCTTTTAACATAATAATATATATTTTAGAACTCATATAATTGTGATGATGTTCAGCAAGCCTACTCGTTATAATTTCGCCGTTACCATCTACCTGGCTGGAAGTTGGGCTTGTATAGGTTCAATTGCATTATATTCACGTTCAATTTCATAAATAATCGATTGACTACGAAACTACAAAAATCGTAACTAAAAAATGTTTACTTCAAAGTGCAGAATACATTTGAAAACAGAAAGTTGATTAAATTAAGTTACCGTTTATTATGGTATTCGACCAAATTAAATAGATTATTAAAAAGCTACTATTTATTTACAGTTACTCCGGACCATAAACCAGAAGAGCGGCTTCCAATCCAAGGCGAGAATTTCGAAGAGCAGCTTAGTTCTTTTGTCGAGTTCATGGGGGAATGTGGCTTCCAACTGTCCTCGTGGACCCGTACCCCCTACCTCTGCGAAGGTGACTTCGCGCAAGCCTACTACTGGCTCGACGACTCTGTTTACGTGTTCACACCCAAACCTATCGAGTCACACACGTGAAACTCTCATTTTTAAACATTCCCTGTTTACCACGTCTTTATAAACTTTGTGTATGACCATCAAATCAAAGTATTTTACCATTATTATGTTATCATATAGACATTTTTACACATACACATACATTTTTATAAACCAATAAAAATCGAAGCATATCATTTATTTTATTAATCGTGTCTTATCACCAATAATTTTATGATTAATAAAGAATTAAGACCCGGTTAATAATATAAATAATGCGTAATAAATAGAAGCCTTTTTGAAAACATACCGTCACGACTGTTATCGCAGATAGGGTGGGTATATAGACATTATCTACTGTCAATGTTGTGTTGAACGTAGCACTTGACATGCTTATACTGGGTATAATATAATCCAATGTGGCAGTAAGCAGAACTAACTACCAAGCTCACGCATTAATAAATAAATGAAAAATACGTACTGAAAGTTGCTATACATTCTAAATTTTTAATAGAATAGAATACGATTTTATTTACTTGTCTTGACGCAACAATATTGATATAAAGATTACAAATGACGAAGTCCGAAAATAACGTATGGTTTATCTCTATAAGAACGCTATGCAAGAAATTTAGGGTCTATACTGCATTTGAGTTTACAGTCATGTGATTTTTTTATATTATACATAATATGAACATTGCCATTGTATAACAGAATCTTCTTAAAATATCGTATCGTAAAATTTTGCTGACTAAATATATCTTATAGGTTAGTAAACAATTTACCACCAAAACGTGTAAACTATAAATCCAACTACAGCTCGACTACCTCGCTAGTTAGGTATAGTTACAACAATATTTATTCAGTTAAGTATTATTTATATTAAAACTTTTTTATTATATGTAAATTCTTTATATACAAATTAATTATTAAGTATCACATGTCGGAAATAGAATAAGTAGGTATTAACGTTTTTATTAATTAAATATTTTTATATTGTATGACATTCAAAAATAAAAATATTCAAATAAACTTAATATAATCACTTTTGAATTGTCATATTATTTTATTCTACCACTCATTCAGAACGCAGACATAACACATAAAACTTGCGTGTTGCTCTTTTAAATAAATCTTATTCAAAATAATATTTTAAGGATTTTTTTGTGAATACAAACTGCCAAATAACGAGTTGACAAAAATATTGTTACTTGAGTAACAAAATAAATTAGTCGTTAGAGCGGTCTGCTCTCATTCCCTACAAGAAGCACGTTCACGATTATAATGGGTTCAGAAATTGTAAAACGCCCTTGCGTCATCCTAATATTCATTTAAAAGAGGCTTTTTAAATAGAATTATTTTCGAAGCTAAAGAATTATAGTTAATATAAGACAAAAATTATAAAATATTGAATATTATTTGATACGCTAAAAGAGTATGAACGCATACCTGATATCGAATATTAACTCTATCAAATCAATATGTATTGCACTGTAAATATTCACTGTTTCACCAATTTATACGTATTTATGCCTCAATTTAATCAACAATATAATGTACAATTATATGCTGTTTAATATTTATTGATAATAGGGTCGATTTTAAAATGCCATTATCTAGCAACTTGTTTTTAGATTTTCTTACATTACCCATGCATTTAAAAAAAATCTACACTTCAACTCGACAGATTAGCCTCTCATAGGTCTATCTTCTTTCACTACTACTTTCTTCTATGGCAATCGTTTGGTATTTTTACGACCTTTTATACCAGTGTCCTGTAGCTGAGGCACGCAGAAATTATCTTAAAAGTGCTTCTGAAAACGACGGTAGAGTGAAAAAAGCTGTCGAACCTAAATTATGTTCTATTAACATTATATATAGTTTAATATCTTCTATTTAAATATTGTGACTTACTTTTTGTTTCATTATAAAGTAAGAATATTATTCTATAATTGCTATCATGCATCCGTGTCAATATTAGATTTTAATATCGGTCCTAATGTCGATATACGTTTTTAAATGTCTTATCAAAATAGTATTACAATATTGTAGAGTATTGATGTTCGTGCCAAATGTCGCGTCGATGTTCAAGATATCGCTGTTTAAATACATGTTTATGATACAATTAATGTAACACCAAATCTTTTGTAATATATATATATGGGATATGTACATACCGAATATCACTTATCTCTCGTATTGTGGTCTGGGATTATTACTTGTAGAATCAAAGCAGTATTTAATACAATTTCAGATTAAATTTATAAGCAGTTAGTGTTTTATTCCTTTTGAGTTCTACATTTTGACTCCAAAATGAAAAATTTTACGATTTGCTACGTATGTAGTAGATAGGTCCCAAGAGCCACTGCAATAAAAAATCATCTTTTTACAGACACATATTGTCAGTAAATTATTTATATTCTCGCTGTGTACACAGCTTAGCTTCATAAAAATACTATGGTGACAGCGTGGTCAATGCGTGATGATATTTAAAGCAATATTTTTAATTTAGTTTAAGTCTTTAAACATACTATTTAAAGAATCAATACTTTGCTATTTGATTAAAATTAAGAAGTAAAGGAATTTTGTATCAGAATAGATTCTGCCTTTATTACATACGTGTTATTAATACATTATAAACACCTGAATGGCAAAAATATTGACCTTAAGTAAAATTAAAATTGAATTTGCTGACTGTACATAATACCAATCTACCTTTTCATTTGCACACTACTTCATTAAATTAATATGGCCCCGCGTGAAGACGTCTTATGTTGCTATAACACAAGTGTGTCTACTTCTAGATATAAAGTATTATTATTATAATTCCTATAAATTACGACTGAAAATCGCAAATCAAAATGGACGCAGTACCTACTATTGGAGATTTCATTATTTTTAAAACATTGTAAACTTTATTCAGAAATATTTAAAATAGTCAATGTAATTATAATATTGATGTGGCAAAATATAGAAATAATATGAAATAGATATGTTTAAAAGTTTTTAACTTTATGTACCTACATACATAATACAGGTTTTTACTTCATTTCATTATTAAAGAAAATAGTTTTAATCTGTGTTACTCGATCTCTAAATAATAAATATATATAGAAAATAATAATGTAAACAAGTAACTTTGTTATTAAAATTTGCACAACGCACGGGTCATGTTTTAATTAATATTTCAAAAATTCTTTATTCACCTTGTTTGTTCTGTATCCTCGTATCCTATGGTTATTATATTGTTTTATATTCTATATATAATAAAGGCCATTGGACATTCAGTTTACAGGTGAGATAACACTTCATATTTGTTTATTAAATTACACATACGAGATTATATATCTATAATAAAAAAATCCTCAAATCCGGATTACTGTAGAAAAGAAGTGATTGTCTTTCATTTAGGCGACATACGTTTGGTGGATTTTAAATGACTAAAGCATCTTTGAAATGGCAGCATGTCTACATGAATAAATAGTATCACTATTTGCCAAATGTAGATATAAAGGTACTGTAACGTAGATATAGGCCTAGCCGGATTCAATATTCCGAGCAGAAACGTATGGGCAATGTTATCCATTTACAGCAAGTGGACAAAGTTAATAGTAATCACGGGGGAACGGAATTGTTAGTAATGTAGACTGATGACACTATAGCTAGCAATGTATCCTGTTAGGTTATCCTCCACGCTCCCTTAGAAGTCATCGTAAGATCCCAGTGAATTTAACACGATAAGCTAACTGACCTGACTCATTCAATATCCTCCACTGGAGCCGGCATAAACCGTTCGCACAGGCGAGGCACCATTCCATTATCAAGTAATAAAAATTATTATTTTTTATTAATTATTTAAGCATGCTGGAATACGGAAAGAATAAAAATATGAAAGAATGATATTAATGACGTTACCAAATAAACCTTTTTAAAGTTATATAATTCAGCTTGGGTAGCTTAGCTTCTAATTTTATTATCGCTATAAAAAAAAACAATAAATATTGAATCATATATTTATTTCTAAGCACTGCTTCCTTGATTCACTATATTACCACTTTTACAAATTCAAATAATAATTGATAATATAATATATAATCATTTCGGCAAATAAGTTAAATGGCAAGGCCAATATTTTTACAATCAATAAATTGCTGTAGAACCTGTATCTTTAGATGATACAATCTGTGAAATTCATGTTTTTCGTCTACTTTCCCAAAGACAACGAGTGAATTTGGTAAAATAAGACGAAATTAAACCTTACTAACGGAGTTATTCACCATATTTTGAAGTAATATTTATTATAGTGATTAAGTATTTAATGTAGCGTTCACAATTATATATATTTGTTTACAAAATAACATGTCACTACTCACTACAATGAAGGTAATATGATAATGTAATAAATATTTAAAATATTGTAGATATTTGTTCAAAATTAGCGCTTTCAATATACATATTTCGAGGTTAGCCATATTGTAACTAATCACAAATTAGATTTGACATCTTGTAATTTTGAGATCATTTTTCAATTTATGTGCATGCTTACGAATTGTAGACACGTTTATCAATATCTAAAAAAAAGATTCCGATTATAAAAAAAAAACATAGCTAATCCATTTTTGACTAGAAAGCTTATTCTAATACAGAGAGATTCTTTTAGGAAATTTATAATACTTCGTCGAGAGTAGATTATTGACAGTTTTATGAACTTAACACTAAGTGAATTGTTATTTTTGAAAACATAAATAGCCTCGTATCAATATTTGGATACTGTAATAGCAAAATGACACTATAAAGTCTACCAATACCAAATACATACATTTCTTATAAGTTAAGATATACCTAATGCATTAATAAGCTGCTCACATGATCTTAACATTACTTGACAATAGTCAAACAGAATGTGATGTTTATACAACAATCAATGAACAGGGTCAAATCCACAACACAGTCAGAATATTACGTTACAACCTAACACGCCCTCCATGCGATGCGATTTATAATTTTATATCATAATTTAGAATTATAGTACTAAAATACAAAAAAAATAATTTAAAGTAGGCTTTGCCTAATTATTGCACTTACATAATATGTAATTTATTATTCCAAAGTGATAATTTGGAAATTTATAGCGACTTGTATTCGCAATACGATCATATCATGTTTCGTCCCTAGACACAAGACACCATACCATAAACAGTAGTAGAGACTATTTATGTTAACAACAAAAATATGTGTACGTACAATAGCGATTCAAAATAGAATGATTACAAGCTGCCTCAAAAATCCCCAACTCTGGCCTTTATTCCACAAAAAATGTGCTAATGTAGTTTTTACTTAACAATAGAAAAAGACTAGGGAATAAAACATTTTTCACTTTCGCGTCTGGATGTGAATTCTTATTCTTAGGTTTTACGGTAGATAAAATATATAGTCTCTAACAAGAACTACTGTTACACACATAAATACATTGGCTACGAAATATAAAATTTTAATAATACTGAGCTTGTATTCGAGAACAATATTTATTCAATGACTTTCATGATAAAGATGAGTCCTACTGAAGTCAAGCTGAGCTTAATGTTCCATACTGCCCAGTGTTGACATTTATTTTGTTTCCCTATTATGTAACAAAATGTAAAAAGGCCTAAAATTAGAATTAAATGAATGGAATGATAATCAATAAATAGCATTTCACATATGAATCACTATTTTAAAAATAATATATTAACTTTCGGAGTATATTGCATGTATTCATTACCCTACACATTTTGGGACGAAACATTATGATCATAATAACGACTAAACATTTTAATCGAGGCATTATTATAATAACGACTGAAATAAAAAAAAACAAAATCTTAATAATTAAATTAATGAGATAACTAATTTCGATTAATAAAATCACTTCTTTTTATGCCAATAAATTTGTGATTGAGAGCTAGGAGTCAGTCGGCACCATAATAACGACTCGACTATAGAATTTTTAGACCACACTCTGCACATTGAGATATCCTTAAACTATTATGTAATCGCAATAAATAATTTCTATGCATTAGACAAATGTATCAGTAAAAAAAATGTTAATTCAGAAAAAACATCTCAATGTGCATTCCCTTACACAACTTACCGAGCCTAATTTAATACATTCACAGGCAACATTAGCTAAGACGACGTGAAAAAATTTGCAGTCTTCAATAAGATACTAACCTTCCTATATTTCGAGACAAGATGTGGCGATGAAAGTTGATTAATTGTGTACATTTCATTTTCAATACCTAATTAACTGGTCTTTAAGTAAAACCAGTTACATCATTGAATATTCCTTATAGAATCTGCACCTAGGGCATTCAACACTTGATTTAATATTTCAATAAACATCGAAGTTATGCTACCTACGCATAAACTCGAGTTTTCTTATTATAAAGGCTAATTAATTAAATTTCTTATTCAAATGGTACTACGTCAATAACTAAAAAATCATGTACTTGTATGTACGTATTAGGAGAAATTAATAAATGATTGGTTACTTTTTATTATATTTGGCTGATTATTTTCTTTTTTAAAAGTGTGTGTTATTGTTAAATAAACTAAAAACAGAAAAAAATTGCAAAGACTGATCAATTATTATACTAAAACATTGAAAACCTATAAATTATGATACTATGTTGAATGCTCTATAAACTTTATGTATAAAATCTGTTATTACTTGTGCATACAAGAGGCGTATTCAATGATGTCGTAGACATAAACGCGTAACGCGACTCCACTACTAAATAATTTATGTACTTATTTTACATTCATGTCAAGACTTTGCTCAGGCCTACACCTATTACACTTCTATCACAGTGTAAATAATGCACTTACGACAATAAACCGAGAATGAACTTATTGTATTAACTAGGACGAATCATAAAATTGTAATAACTGTTGTAATTCTTACATACTAAATCATTAAAAATTATAAACACAATAAGAGAAACGTACGAAATGTAACAAAGTAAATAAGGCATCTATTGAAAAACCGAGGTATGACAAAAGTGTAAAGACGCAACAAACACCAACAAATAAGGTAACAAAATTTGTAAAAAAAAACAAAATACCAGAGAGGAAACATTGTAAAAGATGCACACTCAATTTGTGCTAAATTGTTATACATATTATGTACATCATTGGGTTATATCATATAAACATCGCTGCCCAATTTACGTATTTCTACAGCAATAAATACCCGCCGTTGTATAGTATCAATTGAAATTCATTTCAATATTTTATATATAAAACTGTATAAAAATTAAAATGTATAAAAATAATAATTTGTATAAATAGTTTGTATAAAGAAACATTTATCCAGTTATAGTTATGGTTCTAACAATTTTGTTTCATAGAGTACAAATTAAATATAAAAGGAATTCTCAGTACAGGGTCACACATAAAGCACATAAGTACATTAGACTATTCATAAAAACTGAACAAACTTTATAAGGAGCTATAGTCAAAATACATTAATAATTTATGTCATACCAAACAGATGGGTATTTAGGTGTACTAACAATCCAATGTTTAATTTCATATTTTGACGATATTTCTTGGAGAAAGATATTCGTATAAAGTTTCGTACACCTTCACAATGTTTTGCATTGCCTCCAACTAACCCCTGTCTGAAGTTATACGTATACCGTATGTGTGTATGGCGGGAAGAAGTGTTGGCGGCAGGGCGGCAGCGGCGGAACAAGTGTGAGGAGCGAGCGGGCGCAGTCCACGGGCTAGTTGCCGCTCACAATCTTGCGGCTCTCCAGTTCCTCCATGTTGTTTGAACTTCAAAACATTTTGTGTCAATAGAATTGTTATTGGTACCGTGCACATTACAGATTGGTAGATACAGCAACCCGTTTACCCTTTATACTTACTTTATTCACTGAAACATGAGACAAAACCCAAAGAAATCATAAGGTCAATACAGGGCATGCCACACTTATGTTACAAGATTTTAAAAAAATATTAGGATATTTGTGGTCTTTTAAATTAAAATTAAAAACTATAAATAAATAATATCGAGTGCCAAGATAAATTTAGTGCTACTACTAAATTTTGATCAAAAGTTCTGAGAGCATTGCGGTCTAGTGATTTACTACCCCGACATTCCAAGATCTAAGGTCGTGAGATCCATGCTAGCCAAATGTGCGTGTCGACATTTTTATATCTGAAAAACTCTCCGACGATAAAAAATTACAATAATTAACGAAATTAATACTATTATCGTATGTTTACAAAATGTATAAATTATATAATATACGTAATTTTACAAAATGTATAAATTATATCGAGAAAAAGAGCCACTTGCCATGTTACTTTTAAATATGTATACATTCAGCAAAATGTGGGTACGTGAACTGTTATGTTCACTACAATATCATAAGATTGATGTAATCTTATATTTCATGATGTGTTTATTATACACACTTCAAAATTCAAACTTACTCACCGAAGTTTATCGTCGTTCTTCCATGACGTGACTTGAATGTGCGGTGGTGGTAAATAACTACGTAGCGACTGCACCAACTGAATAGTGTCCAATAAAACTGAAAGATTCACAATTACATTAAAGCTACTACAGTATTTTTTTGTGTGTTTGATATGGGATATTATAGTTCATTCTATATTGATTTAAAAAGAAAGAAAAGAAACATATCTATAACAAAATATTGAAAAGGTCTCCATTCAGCCTTTTGGACAATAATTATATTTTAATCAAAACGATTACACATTCTTTCAATGTATGATGGTATGGTTTTCTGGAAACACATTCAAATACAATATTATTTATTATTGGAGTGATTTTTTAATACAGGGTCATCCTCTCATGTCAATTAGCTTCAATATTGTCCATTACTTTAAATATTTTTAGCAACCCCGGACAACACCAACGTTATCTAGACCCAAACTAAGTAAGGCTTGTATTTTGATATCTTATATAAATACTTTTATTTTTAGTGTATCTATATAAATATTATAAAAACATAGTTGTAGAGGGCGATCTCTAGATATTCTTGATTGATTTAAAAAAATCTTTTACTAAGAGAAAGCAACGTTATTTTTATATATATTTTGTCTGTCATAGGTTATATAACATCAAGCTACGACCAATAGGAACGGAGATGTAATGAAAAAAATTGCAAAAGCTTGGGGAAAATGTGACGCAGACGACAGTCAGCTAATATACATAGGAATCGACCCGACCAAAACAAACAACTCACTTTCCTACTCGTGTATACAAATGCTTCTATAGGGTAAGGAATCGAACCAACAATTATCGGAGGTAAGGCAGTGCTAACACGCGAGACCACCATATTTACATGGAGTAAAGTTCCATGTTGAACCAGAACAGAGAGTGTTGGTGCAGATTTTTATCAAACGATAAAAGTAAAACCACAGAGCAGTAATACTCACTCTTCTGCAGCTGCTCACTCTGCTTCCCGTAGGGCTTGCACATGGCGGGTCGCACGCAGGGCCGCATGCGCTGCAGGTTGCGCGCCAGCTCTGCAAACGCCCGCACCACTCGCTCCTGGCCGCCCGCACCGCCCCCCGCGCCCGTTCCCGTCCCTGGCGTGCCCGTACCCCCAGCCCCCTGGGCCCCTGAACCCGCATTCGCCCCCCGCTCGCCGTGTAAGCCACTACTGGCGCTGCCGGCGCCCGACAGTGATTCTAAGCTCTCCAAGTTCGCCCTGTCAATATTAGTGATACAAATATTAATTTTAGCAACGGAACATGCGCATTCAGACAATTAACTATTTTTAAAATGAGTAAAAATTATAATTTCATTAACACTAAGGACAAAAAGAAGCAACTATCAATCAGCTATAATTGCATACTGTTCAATACTGGGTAGTATGATATGACATAAATAACATAATATGACAATTAGATTATTGAAATTTGAAATATAATGCATATTACAGAATTCTTAATAATAACTGCTTACCTCAAAAAATCTGTGAGTTTGTGCTCATCTGTATAATGATGTTTTGACTTGGAATCAACGGCCGATTGTGATGAGCTGGAAGAGCGTTGCTGAGAGTGGCTATACTTGTCCATTGATGATTGGTGACCTAGTGACCTATTCTGGTGCTGCAGTAACATCTGCTGATGCTGCGTCAATTTGTCTTGTGCACGACGCTCTGATTTCTCCCCGGTCAAACTCGCTGCGGTAACACAATGGTTTTATAAAATTACTGACATTATATTAATTTACTGACATTATTTTATATCTACAACATAAACAACAAGAATAAGTATTTACATAAAATTCGGTTTTTTAATACTTCATAATCATGTCAATGATGTCTCTAATTATTAATGTTTTAGATCAAAAGGAATTTTAATATCATTAATATGACTTTACCAATATCTTATAATCTCTATTACTCTATTTTACCTATTCCTCTTATTAATAATAAATTTCATATTACTATTATTAAAAGGAAAAATTGTAGGGATGATTTTTACACAATAACTCACTAAGAGCAGCTAGGTGTGGCGCAATGGGCAACTGATAGTCTTGCGCCAAAGCTGAACCTCTGAGCAGGCGCTCCACAGCCTGGCTGTCAGATAGATTGGAAGCACCAGCATCTGAGAAGTTTGCTTCAAGTTATTTAGAGAATAACATGAAACATATAATTATAAATAGACTAAATTATATTGATTGAATAAAAGACAATCATTGTTTTTCTTATTCTTTTTTTATATATATTTAGAAAATATTTTATATATCAAACCAGGACAGTATACCTACAATATTACATGAATCTAGGTAGGCCAACTACTTATGAAATAAAACTACTGTACCAATATTAAAAAATTTCCACCATTTAATTAACAACTATCAACTTAATATGTTAGTTAACAGCTACTTGGTAACTTAATGAAATAATTAATTTCTTACCACTTATGAACTGTAAGATTTGGTAAATCACATGCATTGTTAGGTAGTATATTACCTGGATATAAGAATATTACCTGGGATATATGTAGGTTGTTGAGATAGATGCTGTTGTATAGTCTTTTGTGTCATTTCCAATTGGTTTTTGTAATAACGACAAGCTGGATTAGGACAGTTTTGTACCACTTCCACTATGAACTCCTTCTCCATTCCAAATTGTTCTCTTCCTATTGTATATGATTCTACAACCTGTGTAAGAATAAATTTCATTGTATATTAATTGGTATATAATAATATTACCCTGACTTATTTTTAGTTCAAATCTTACTGACATAAATAAAAACCTTTCTATGACTATTTATATGTCTGATAGATACTGTGATGGAAGAAACAACAATAAGAAATAAACAGTTAATGAAAGACTAGTAGGGTTCACACCCACAACATTGGCTTGTAGTGTTACCATCAATATGTGGGTATGTCAAGTATTGCATTTACTACAATAATCTCTACTGACAATTGATTTTGCCTCTGATTATCTGATAACAATTCTGAAAGTATATTATTATAACAAATAGGCATATATAATACATTAATAAAAGGGGTATAGAGATATTTTAGTTGTTAAAAAGGTAACAACTCTAGAGGTACCTATGGTTAAACAGTAGTGTTTTTAAGCATGTAGAGAATGTTTCTATCCAATTTAAAATGTTATCACATACATCAGATTACTTGCTTATGGGTTCAGTAGTAATAATTAATAACATTTGAAATTGGATAGAAACTTTATGTTATTTCAGAAGGTTACTAAGATTTCAAATATAGACTTGATATGCCTGTCGTGAAGAGGCTACAAAAATAACTGTCATTAGAGCTATGTAGTTAAGAGCTACTAAGATACAAAAATTGTTTTGGCTATATTACTTTAAGCTTTGAACCAATAAGTTTGATAATGTAATAATCGCCTTATACATACATGTATCTGTTTCTCCATTTTTGTCTAAAGAATTGTCCTCAATTTATATTAAAACTGTTACCAAGTAAATACTTTAAGAATTAAATGGAATATAATCCAAATCTAAGAATATAATTTAATCCAAAGACAACACAAAAATATTACAATTACTTACTGCTCTGACTGTAGCTTCCAATCCAAGGTGGAGACCATGGGGTCCATTCATATGTTTCAACATAACTGCATTAGCAAAATGCTCATATGGTAATATTATCTTGCCATTTTCACGAAGTATCAGTCTTCCTTGAGTATCTAAACCTACCCGTGATGCCATCATTCTAAAAAACATTTTTTTTATAATGCCTACATTAAAAGTATCAAGTGTTACAATTTTAGTAGTGTGATTATTAAAACTTTCTTGACTAATATTAGTTTATGATAATAGCAGATAAATCCTCTTTTAAATATATTTTTATATAACCACATATGTATTAAAGAATGGTAATAAATAAATTGATATGAACTTACTGCAAATAAGCTGCACTGGGAAGCATTGAGGACTCTTTGAGGTCACTAAAACACTGTAACAGTTCTATACTGGGACTCCAGCCCTTATTTTGAAGGTACAGTTGTAATAACATATATAATTTCTCGGTGACATATCCCTCGGCGCCGTGTGGAGTAGACGAACCGGAGGTGCCCGCGGCACTGCTTGAACCACCCGTACTCTTTGCCAATACACTCTTCATGGTCTCCGCCAAATCCATCTTGTAGATGTCCAAATAAGTCCTCTTTTGGGAATCCTATTAGAAAATAAACAAACACTAAAGCATATAACTACGAGCATATTGAGGATCGATAGCGACATTCAGCATGCCGAATTATTATTATTAAAAACATGTACTCACCAGAATGATTATTATGTTCAGACTAACTATTAGAAAAAATAGATTATAATATCTAGCTAAAATTTAAATTACAAATGTATCCATCCAATAGTTTGGACAAAAATATTTTCTACAAGAATGGAAGCTTCTTTTCTGTTCTGACTTGAACTGTCAACTGTCAAATATTGTCATTATGGGCACAGTTCCCTTAGCGTAATGGATAAACAGAATGTCTTTGTCGGGTAGTAGTTACAAATTGTCATTGTTTACCGTCATTTTATTGTAGTGTTACACGAAGTTTCTTCAATTATATTACAATTTTTTTTAAATACTTAATAGATACATATGCAATTATCATCTTTACATATTATAAAAAAAAGTTGCTGTCGTTGTCTGCCCTTATGTACGCTTAAATCTTTAAAACTACGCAACGGATTTTGAATTTGAAGCAGTTTTTTAGTAGACAGAATGATTCAAGAGGAAGGTTTATATATATAATACATGTACACCTGTGCGAAGCCGGGGCGAGTAGCTAGTTTATAAATATTTTATTTAACTTTTGTTTAACGTAGGCATAGATAAAGACAGGAATATACAATTGTTTTTATGTCGAATAGTTATTATAGATAAACAAAGCCCTTGTTAACTTTCCTATATAAGTATATCTTTAAAAGCAGCAGCTTCACTCATTATGTTAAAACAATATAAATTAATATTTCAAAAGAGATTAAAATTCCTAATACTATGTACGTGTGTATACAACACATAATATTTATAGTTACTAACTATTAATTACTGCTCAAGAGTAAAATAAGTATACCAGAAGTTACTGCATTTAGCTACGCCATCTGTTTATAAAATTGTATTTTACGGTTATTTTTAAATGACAAACTACATCGATTATTTATTATTAAGAAAAATAAACTAATATGGCTGTATAGCGAAAGTTCCCTTTGCCTTTCCTGAATAAAAAAAAAGTTTTTCTGATCTGTCAACAGAACAAAAAAATTAGGTTATGTTGTAAGGTTATGTTTCGCTTTAAGTTATAAAGTCAATGTGATGGGTTAAAAAGCATTGCACTGAATAGTTTCATATATCATACATTATTCAGTCATGGATGAATTAGTTGTGGGAACTTATGAAGGCTTCTTACTAGGATACTCAATATTTTCAGAACCAACAGTAAGTAACAGTAATAGTAAATGTCAAGTCGTTTAATTTTATCGCAATATAATTGATTTCTATGAAAGATTTTAAAATTTGCCTTAAATTTTAAAATCTTTCATAGAAATCAAAAGCAGTCAAGGCTTCATAAAAATATTGTCTTTGTTCAAAACATTACCTTCAGTTTCTAGTCAATTGAAAAATTCTATTATGACTTCATAAATATTTTAAGTTCTATAGAATAGTATACTATATAAATAAATAGTATATTCTCATTGATAGAACTAAATCTGTTATTAAATTATGTAGCGAAGAAATTGAAATATAATAAAGGTATTTAAAATACTATGAAAATGTTTTACAGGAATCTAAACTGAAACAGACCTTTGCAACACAATCACATACATCTTCAGTGCGGTGTGTCTCTTTATCTGAAAAGTTTTTGGCTTCAGGGGGCACTGATGATAAAGTTGTTGTTATAGACTTGAAGACTCGTAAAGAGCATACAGTACTTATGAACCACGATGGTACAATAAATACAGTAGCCTTTACAAATAGTGGTACTCATCTCTTGACTGGTAGTGACGATGGAAACATTATTGTAACCCGAACTGGAAATTGGCAGATTGAAAAAATATGGAAAAAAGCTCATGGAGGTATCATAATTTGAATTGTTACTGTTTTTATAATTTGCTTACTTGCTTAACTATAGTATATATTAATACTATATTATCTAGTTATTGTATATTATTTTCTAAAATTATATTCAATAATATATACATTAACCATAGGGGAGGACGGGGGGGGGGGGGGGAAGACAGTTGTTAGTATTGTTAACCATAGGGGAGGACGGGGGGAAGACAGTTGTTAGTATTGTTAACTCATTGCTTCATTCCTCAGAAAACTATTGAGACTGATTTCTAGTTCAATTTTGTTTGTCGTCCATAGGTTATGGTAACTGTTTACCATCAGATGGGACGTATGGTTGTTTACCATCAATGTGGTATAAAAAATATGTCATGCCATTTATGCCCAGCACAGGCTGGAGCACCATTTCATTATTTTTATTATATCGTAGTTATCATACACAGTGCAAATAATTTCCTTTCTAAATTTTAATAAAACCATATCAACTACATACCTCCACAACTGTTATGCCACATGGAGTAGTCAAATGTGATGTTGAGGTCAACACAATACTTGTCATACCCACATTTTGCAATGTAGTAATATTTGCAATCCAATTTGACAAGTGGCAAGCCTACTGCCTTATTTTGGATTAATTTTGATTTGTTATTATAATATATAACCACACTTTGTTTCAGGGCAACCAGTAACTGCAATTGCTATTCACCCATCAGATAAGTTGGCACTTAGTATTGGGGGTGACAAAACTCTAAGAACTTGGAATTTGATTAAAGGTCGTCCAGCTTTTACAATTAATCTGTCTAGTAAGGGTATATCTATGCCAACAGAAATCAGGTTCTCGCCAGGTGGTGACAGATTCTCACTAATTTATCAACAATGTGTTGATGTGTGGACAATAAGTAAGGCAGGTGTTGAAAAGCATATTACATGTAATTCAAAACCTACTTCAGTTCAATGGATCACTGATGATAAGTTATATGTGGGTTTGGATAATGGTAACATAATTGCATTAAATGTCTCCGACTCACAAGCTCTTACATACCAAGCTCACAAACAACGTGTTAAATGTTTACACTATGAAAATGAAGTATTATATTCAGCATCAAGTGCTGGAGAGCTAAAAGTCTGGTCAGAAAATGATTCTAAATTATCGGAAATATGTTCTACTAATGCTGGTTGTAGACTTACATGTGTAACATTAAACCGACAAAACCATTTAATTAAAAAAGAAGACAACTCTGATAATGGAGAACATAGTGAAGAAGCTGAAGATATAAATAACAGTGAGCAATCTGATGATGAACCTGCTGAAAAAGTATCTATAGCACATAAAAGGCAACCTGGAGCTTTTGTTAGAGTTAGTTATGGCAGCGATAATGAAAACAATAGTGAAGCACCGCCTAAGAAAAAAATCAAGAAAAGGAAACGAAACAAAAAGCCTAAAAATAAAGTAAATTAATAATTGGATACCATAAGTAATTTTTATTCCACACATTCATTATCAAGGTACTATCATAGAAAAAATATTATCCCTAATCTATTCCTATGTGATATTATTAGTGAAAAACTAATATTTACTGAATTAAAGAGCTAAACATAGCTTTTTTTCTCTTTTGAATAATATCTTTTATTTGAAATAACCACTTGATTTGAATAAAAGATATGAATAAATTTATATATTGTAGTGTCTTGCAATTCAGTGTTATTTTTTTTAGTTTCTTTGTATTTGATTACTGTAAAATAAATGAGAATCAATTGTTTTGAATTGAAACCTTATAAATAAAAAATTCATAATAAGTATATTATACTTTCTTATTATGAATACAATATTAATTATGTTAAAAATAAATGTAGGAAAATTATATCACGTTGATACGTAACTGATACGTACATACGTACATATACATACATGAACAGTCAAGAGCCGATGAAATATAGTCATAATTAATTCCTAAATGCAGTAGCCATTTATTTATCGGCTAATACTATTGACAGCTTCAAAAGGCGTCTAAATACAACACATCACGTTTTGTTTTGTTGTATGGTGAGTCGTCAATATTTCATTCTGATGCAGTACTACGGAATATTTAAAATAATCAAATTTTGCTAAGCATATTAATCTTAGGTTTAACCTACACGTAACTTTTGGGGTTAAATGAGATATATAACGTGCGTTATCTCATTACTAAATTCTTTTATTATGCAAGTAATTTGTTGACAACTTTTGATTGTTGATCAAAAGTTGTAAACATAATAAAATTCTTTCTATAAGGAGCCGCTTTCTTTAGTTAATATTGCACAGCCTCGTATAGGCAATAAAAAAGTCGTACTACACTGCAGATTATATTTTTATCATCATCTCACATAATACATTATACTCACACAGAAAATAACATTAAAAAACAATATGATGCTTGACTTTGGTTTGTTTATTAAATTATAAATAATAAATCCTTTTTTTAAAACACACACCCAAATACATAAAAATAAGTTCATAACAAATTAATTTGGTCCCAAATAAATAATAAAATAATTTAAGAAATATGTAAATAAAAAACAACAATATTATAATAAAAGTACTGATAAATTTTGGCAATGGTTAATGGATTCTACTTACATTATTTGTTAACTCTTAATTGAAATAATATTATCATAACATATTAAAATGTACAGTGTACATTCAGTCACACAATGATCGCGTGCACACTTCGGTAGTTCCGTTCAGTCTACGTTTGAGACTATATTTACATGTTACAGGGCAGCCAAGGAACCAAACATACTCACAAGAATACATAGAACGACATTTAGACAAACCATATTCACGCCTAAGAAAACTATATAGCTTGCTAAATCAAAATCTCATAACTACAATATCGAGAACGAAGTTTACTGGAATGTATAATAAATCATAAGGATTGCACAAGACAAGAACCGCAGTGAGTGATACATATAACAAATACTGTAACGGAGATGAGACGACGCAGACAATCTGATACTCTTACATGAAATGAGATCACATACTTCATGAATACTTCACTATTTTAAAATACTAAAAGACCGGTGATACACATGGACACCATTATGCTAAGTACAGTTTGTGCAAATACGGTACATAAATAAATGCCGAAGTAACCAAAATCAATTTGCATTGTTACATCATTATAAACTTAATACAAACTATCGCACTGCTATCTCGTTAATTAATAGTCGACAATGTTATGAAAGTTAAATTCTATTCATCTTATTTATATTATTAATTTTTCTAAGAAAAATGTTAAAGTATTTCATGACTTTGAAACAGCTTACAATTCATCTTATGACTAGATTGAGCCAGTATCTTTCTCACAGTCCATAACTACTCATTGAACTCGAAGAAATTCTGACACAATTAATACAAAATTTAGGAACAATGAAAAATATGTGAATTCAACCAAATATATGTAAAAAATAATTAAATACGGCATAAATAGATTAGACAGTCTAGATAAATGAGTACTACTCGACCTGTTCCATATTGACTTACATCTAATTTTCGATTAATAATATTCGTTTCTTCGTTTGAAGCAGCACTAACATCACTAAACCTTAAGCTATAGGTCAGATGGCACTCTCTACGCTATCGGACACAGCTCGCTAGTTCTTCACCGCCGTCGGGTAGGCACTGTCACATGAACATTAGCTAGCTAACAAACGCTTAGCCGTAACTACATGATTATTGTCTGTAACGTAATCAATTTAAAAGTATATAGCTACTATTTGTATGTTTATAAAAATAAAAATGTTTCGTACCAAAGTTTAACTAGTTCAGTGAAGTCATTTTCATTAGATAACATAAAAGAACAATAGAAAAGTACAAGAACAGTTCAGGCAAGAAAATAGTGGGCACAGATGACAATGTAGTTACGGTGTAGTCGCGGTAACGTCGCCTGCAAGATACACTATATTTGAAAGCTGCTCCACTTAGTTGTCGGACGGTACACGATACCACCGATCTCAAAAGTCGAAGGGCGTGGCTCGTGGAACGCTCAATTGGCAAGTTACTGGCCTGTGGCGAGGCCATCACGGTCCCACAGTGCGTTGTCAGTTGTTACGAGTACGCGAATTACAGGATAAATTAACTAATGCATAATATTTTGGTACAAGACCAAAATGATATTAATGTATTTTAACTGAAATAAATATTTAGCTAAGATTTTATTAGACTAAGTTGTAATTTCGTCATTAGCGGATATTATTCCGCGGCAAGAATAACTTCTTTTTTAAATTAGGAAACATTAGCGTCAAGCCAGGAATATATAAGATTATATAAAAGATAGTAAGATTTACACTGTAAATGTTCAAAAAAATAAAGGAAGGAAAAAAATAAGGAACAGAGTATAATACAGTCGCACTAGAGTACCGCCTTACAACTGCACTGTGGGCTACAATTTTATACGTTTGATAGGTCAATATCCGACGTCGCCACTACGTTTAACATACTGTGGCCACGCACTAAGACCTGTAATAGTACAAGGAGCGACGTCTCGGCGAGGTCGGTGGGAGTGCGTCTACTTCTTCTTAGCTTTCTTTTCAGCCTTTTTTAGTGCTTTAAGGTGTTTCTCGTGCGCGCTACGAAGTTCCTTGAGGCGGCGTTTCATACGGCGGCGGTCGTCACCTGGCAGCCCGAGCAACTTCAGGTCGGCGGAGCTGAGTGCCAACAGCAGTCCGCCGTCTACGCCGCGCGCGGCGAACGCGCCCGCGTATCGTTCCAACCCGTCACCTAAGCCGGACACCCACTGCCATACCTGTCAAATGTTTTCAGAAATCATATTACTGATGTCATATGTGGGGTTAATGATAATACTAAAACAAATAAATACTTGAAATAGTACAAAATTTCGAATCACTAAACTAAATGAGTAATGCACAATGTGCGCGGTGCACATTGTATAAAAAAAAATTTGGAAATAATTTTGTAATTGTAATTTTAATTATGGCTTGTAGTTAGTAGATTAATAGTTGGGGTAGCATCTGTTGCTTGCGATTCGAAGTGGAGGGGCGCACTGGCACCTCGGAACGCCGCAAGGGCCTGAGCTGTGACCACGGAGGTGGTCGCATCCAAGTAAATCTCGAGAAGTTGGCACCTTTTTAAGAGAGGGGGGTTGATCCCCAGCGATAAAAAGCGAAGGGGCCTACTAAAGCTGACCGACGACGTTGTCGTCGCGGTGGACTGACATTGCGACAATAGCCGCTTCATCAGATAGCTTGTATTTTTTATTATCTCACCGCTTGCTCCCCCAGGGCGGTCTCCATGAGGGATTTTCTCCAATTAAAAATAAAAAGCACCTGTTGCTTGGTCCACTGGTTGATGGGATGCGGCGCGAGGCCGGGCGGCGGCGGCGACAGGCTGGCCTCGGACGCGGCCGTCGACAGCGGCTGCCACGGCACCTCGCCGCCGACTACGCAAGCCGGAGCTTTCTTCACTATAACCACACCGCATTACATCCCGCTACACAGTCGACACGCGACTCCGCACCCGCGCTGGCACCGGCGCGATCCCCGCCAGAGATTATTCGAACGTTATTAAAAACGATATATGCTTGCGACTTAGATTCCATAACTAATAAAACTGTCACTCACTGTCTGTACTACAACTGTCACTTTCAAATTAGGAATATACGTTTAAAATAGGTTTAATGTGTGCCGTTTAAATGACGGAGTAAATGTATTACAATATATTGTAAGATCTATATACACATGTAAGATCTACAATGATTATAACATCATTTAATGTATTATTGTCGGCTGCATACCATATAATTTACTAGGACTGCTTAAACAGATTTTTATCAGACCTTCTTGTGACTCAACTGCTGGATGACTTAATTGATTAATGCTATAGCGGGGATCACATTACAATATAAGAACTTGGTGCCAACATCGGTGACAATAATGCCACTGTATAGAAGTGTACTACCGCAACAACATCAGACATTAATTATGTAATCGTTGTATTGGCAGTCTGATTGTTTATTTAAAAAAAAAAGTCGTGCATAAAAAACAAGAAACCCTCCTCTATTTGTTTCCAAAAATTAATCATGCATTTTCTTATTCATAACAGGATGAAAAATAGATGAGACAAACATAAGCACTTAAGAGGGTCATATAAAATAATAAAAGCTCCTAAAAAATAGGTAAACACTGTAAATTAATGATACGTAGATTTACAAAATGGTCATACATGAATTTACAGCACAGTGATACATATAAAAAGTTAATAAAACGGCAAATCCACACAAATTACATAAACCGATTACTGACACTTAGATGAGAATAGCATTAGCATTATATGATGGAACAGAATGAGCTGGAAAGCGACAAGTGGCATGCATACATGCGATCAATATAAACGAGACTCGAGCTAGACTTGCTATTATCGCATCATAAATATACAGAAGTCCTAGGTAGTCATATCTTAACCAGTAACTTAGATGTCATTTGTTTTTATCATGCAAGGAACACGCGAAGGAAAATTCCATTTGTCTGACATGAGCTTAGTTGTTCCAGTCACGTTGATCTATTATATACTATTACTATATACTATTGGAACGCTTAATAATAGGTACTAAACAAGGCGTTGTATTATCGAAGCTGACCATAATAGAAGCACGCATGTACGCGTAATCTTCGAAATTTTATATTTAAATAGGGTTTCCTTTGCACACATACACTTTCATTAATTCCCGAGGCAAACATCTTGAGCACAAGATCTTTTTATTTTATTAATTTTTTAACAGCACCATATGTACATAAGTTATCTGTAAGAGATTGCCTTTAGCGATAAGGCCGCCTTTTGGTAGCATATTTTTATATTATGTTCCATTTTGTATTTTTTTATTACGCACAATAAAGAGTGTTATTATTATTATTACAAAATTACTGAAGAAGACTTTCTTGCATGTCTTGTCAACCTATAAACAATTTTCTGCTGTAGAAGTAGAAGTTTTTGCTGTAATCGTATTATGAATATATCTTGCTCAAGTTGTTTACCGACACCTATACCGATTCGAAATATAAGGGACCAATCGGGCCAGCCCCCGAGAGGCAGTACAAAGGGTGTCTGTTGTCGTGCAACACGGACCTCTGGCGTTGGCCTCGCTGACGGCCTGGCGGATCTCGTCGACCAGGTCGTTGGTGAGCTGCACGGGGTCGGGCTGCGGCGGCGACGAGCCGGTCGCCAGCCGCCGCTCGCGCTCCGCCAACACTTGCTTCAGCTGCTCCGCGAGCGACGCCGCCGGACCTAGTGCCAGTACAAACCACCCCGTCTCACAACTGCACGCCTCCCACACACCACTGCACCACTGTCCCGGTCACGTGGGGACTTAAGACTAACCACTCACCGTCGGTGAAGCCGTGTGATGTACGACAAACGGACAATGAACCAAGAATAAATAAAGTTCGTAGGGAGCTCAGTGCTCCCGAGATTCGACTTTCATAGACCTGAGGCTGGTAAGGCTATAGGTTAGACCGGTGATTCTCAACCATTTTTCATTGCGCCACATTATTAACAATTTCAAAAATTGATGACATACAGAAAAAGATAAGTTTACAAATTATTTTCTTATAACACACTGAGTATATGATAACAATTTTAAATGTGCCGTATAAAATAATATGTACGTACTACAAAAATAACGGTAAACGTGTTGTTATTTTGTAGTATATACATTAATGGATCAATTAAAAATTAATAATCATAGACACAAAATTTGGCAGCATACTTTTAGAATTTCTTGGCAAACAAAAGTGGCGCTGCACAGTGGTTAAGAATCACTGGGTTAGACAGTCTAGACCCGCAGCCAACATCGGTCAACTCTTATTAACCATAGTGTTACGGATATTACAATCACAAGCGGGATTAATCACGATCACATAAGTTATATACCATTAAGCTAAAATGTAAGCACAGTAGTAACTGTGTGAGGTTTAGGTTTTGTGTAGTGTCTCATTCTTTAAGAAATCGAATGTACATTGTGGTGATGTCAGTCAAAAATGGTATGTGGGAAGCTGTTATATTGTTCGGGTTGCAGACATTATTGAACACAATGCATTGTTAAAATGGTGTAATAGATTTAATACCTGTTAGTTGATGGTGTCTGTGGTCTCTCGAATATATGCCGTCGTCGGTCCCACTGCCGACTGAACTGCCACAACTTTGTCGAGTTTCCCGCTGTATAAAATTAAATATATTAAAATATCACTCTTATATAATCTGAGTTTTGTAATACTAGAAATAAGCATGAAAATATAATATCTTCAGGCAACAAAAGGGTAGAACAGTTTGTATTGAAATTTGAATATTTATTACAAAGTATTTCTTCCGTATTATCTCAGAATAAGCATATATTTTTAATTTTAATAAATTAACATCACGTTTAACATAATATGATGGAATTTAGCGATAGCAATAGAATAGCATAAGTATAAATATAGATGTATATAATACTCACAGTACTGTGTCCGGTGTTCGGTGGTGCGCCTGATGTCGATTCACTAAGAGACTCGTCAGCAGAATCGTTATATGAATCATCGAGACCGTCGTACTGTAATGAAAAATTAAAAATTAACAATTACACATAGTCATGTCCTACGCCGATTTCAGCATCAGTTATTGGTGGTGAAGCCGATATTTTTTATAATATGTTTAATACCCATAATAACAAATTGTGGGTTCAGATCATCAATACAGATGACAATAAGCTGTCATGAGTAAAGAAAGAAAGCTGTGTAAAGAATTTAATTTTCTGTCAAATGCGCGCGCGGTGCGCCGACGTGTCGAGCGCGGTGTGTACACATACTGACCGAGCTGGCGTTGCTGAGCGAGTGCGGCGAGTGCGGCGCGTGGTGGCGGTGGCGCGCGAGGTCGGTGCGCGCGCGGTGCGCCGACGTGTCGAGCGCGGTGTGTACACATACTGACCGAGCTGGCGTTGCTGAGCGAGTGCGGCGAGTGCGGCGCGTGGTGGCGGAGGCGCGCGAGGTCGGTGCGCGCGCGGTGCGCCGACGTGTCGAGCGCGGTGTGTACACATACTGACCGAGCTGGCGTTGCTGAGCGAGTGCGGCGAGTGCGGCGCGTGGTGGCGGTGGCGCGCGAGGTCGGTGCGCGCGCGGTGCGCCGACGTGTCGAGCGCGGTGTGTACACATACTGACCGAGCTGGCGTTGCTGAGCGAGTGCGGCGAGTGCGGCGCGTGGTGGCGGTGGCGCGCGAGGTCGGTGCGCGCGCGGTGCGCCGACGTGTCGAGCGCGGTGTGTACACATACTGACCGAGCTGGCGTTGCTGAGCGAGTGCGGCGAGTGCGGCGCGTGGTGGCGGTGGCGCGCGAGGTCGGTGCGCGCGCGGTGCGCCGACGTGTCGAGCGCGGTGTGTACACATACTGACCGAGCTGGCGTTGCTGAGCGAGTGCGGCGAGTGCGGCGCGTGGTGGCGGTGGCGCGCGAGGTCGGTGCGCGCGCGGTGCGCCGACGTGTCGAGCGCGGTGTGTACACATACTGACCGAGCTGGCGTTGCTGAGCGAGTGCGGCGAGTGCGGCGCGTGGTGGCGGTGGCGCGCGAGGTCGGTGCGCGCGCGGTGCGCCGACGTGTCGAGCAGCGCGCCGCGCGGCACGGCCGCATCCAACTCTCGCGCCGCCGCCGTCTCCGCCGCGACGCCGCCCGCCGCCGCCGCCACTAGCGCGCTCACGGACACGCCGGTCACGATTTCGCCGCCGGAACTCGGAGTTACTGACGACGCGCTGCGAACAAAAATATGATATGGCACCTTCACACGACATATTTGCGGAAACAACTACTACTAGTATACACCTGCGGCGTCGCCTGCGTGATGTATCAATTAAATAAGACAAAATGATGCTTACATTCTTGTCAATATCTAATGGAACTATATGTAAAGTTGATTAAGCTGTTAAACCAGTAAAATGCGCACGGAATGTCTATAAATTGGGAGAAATATGGTACAAAAGGTGGACTTAGAACTATCATAGCATTCTATTGAGTGAACGTTTGAGAAGTGCAAAGATACACGATTACGGTTTAGCACTAAACGAGTATATTATTTACTAAAATTAAGTAATACTAATATAATAAGAAAATACTAGTAAATGCAAACATTTATACAGTTCACCTACTTTTTAATACAATAATCACATTAATTATGTATACACATACTATATTAATTAATGAGCATAAACACTGAACAACTAGATAGTTGTTTAATATATGGATATATACTCACACTTTATCAGACGTTGTTGTAGCCAGCGTAGTCGTAATAGGTACATTCGCCGCAGTATTGACAGCTTGTACCAACACCGGATCCGAAGCGCTGCTGGTGACGTCAGTGGTGACAGTACTGACGGCAGCCTTGTGATCTGCGGTTGTAGCGGTGACGTCACCAATATCTGGAGCCTCCCGTCGGCGATCTGACTTGTCTACCTTTGCGTACTCGTCCTCAATAGGAGATAAGTCAGAGAGATCGCTGTCAGAGCTCCACGGATCTGTAAATATGTCAACATCTTGTAATTTTGTTTGCAATTATTGATAATTCTCAACTGTATACAATAGTTCAGCTCCATACAATAGTTGTATCAAACGATATATTGGAACTAATTAGCGGTAAAATTCATAGAATACTCGAGTTGCTAGATTAAACTTGGTATTGAATATTTTGTAGAGATTTTATTAAATTATGTATTAAATTTTAAATACAATCATTAAAGTTATTAATGATGAGTCTTTAGTTCTACGATGTCTATATTTTCAACATACAGATATTTTTATACATACCGTTTATAAGAAGCGGGTCAGGGTCAGGCCGACGCGGTAATGGTGGAGTCTCTCGCCGAGCCGATGGTTCATGCGGCAACATCACCGGTAAGCCTGCTTTCTTTTGGGTCTCCTGCAAAACAAAGTTATTGTCATAGATCAATAGACTACTATAATAGTGTTGGTCACAGCTATCTTTTACAGCTTCAGCGGACGATAGCCGACGGACTAGTGCATACCTCGGTTCGAACCTCGGTTCAAGCCACCATAATTTCGATCTCCGTTTGAATTGGTAGAGGATCGATCGAAGGGCAAATCAAGACGATGAATGATACTCCTAAATAAGTGTACGTAGTGAACGAACGTGATGAAGTGTAAGCGTTTAAAATATTAAATAATGTTATTATTTCATAGACCACCAAGCTAGAAAGCGTGTGGAGAATCGAAAACGTTACATCACATGAGCCAATATTGTAATAAAAATAATATTAAGCTGCCTAAAATAGTCCCCGAAAATATCCCAACACACGTCGCGTTAAAAAGCATAGGGTTTTGGAACCCGACGCCTAATCAAGACCACATAAAATAATGATGATTCTACTGGGAATCACGCTTTACCAGCGATGTAACTTTTACCACATCTGTACAGTGTGCAAGATGGACACAGAGAAGAAAATGCTTGAAATAAATAAATAAAAGTGTGCCGTGGACCGAGTGTGCTGGTTTGGAAGGTGTGTGTGCGGGTGTTGCGTGTATGTGTGTGTGTGGGTGTAGAGTCACCTGCAGCAGCACCTCTAGCCGCGCGACGCGTGCGTGCAGCGCGGAGAGCGCGGCGGTGTACTCGCGGTGCGCGTCGCGCAGCGTGCCGCTCCACCACTCCTCGCGCGCCCGCACCAGCGCGCGCGTGCGCCGCCACCCGCGCAGCGCGCGCCGCGCCTGTACACACACCCTACACCTTGTATCGCAGGTCATTGTCAGCCGGAAGTCTTAACACGAAACTACATTATATAATATAATTACTCGAATTTTACTATACATTAATACTGGAAACATATATGAAATAGTGAAATTACCCTTAAATTCAAAACATCTGTTAAATCACATTTACTGAGCAAAGCCAACTCACTAAACGATTACTTGAATGACGAGCGTGCATGCCAATAGTTGTTCATATATCATAGATACCTATAGAAGTACACATTGTAAATAAACTAGCTTTTTAAAAATAAAAAAAACACTTGATTTTCTTGCCAGTTGTTTAAAATTGAATCTGTATAGTACCTAGGTTTGATTTATAAATGATATATTAACATATATATGTATATAAAGTATATCCTCGGTTTTCCTATAATAAATAAATAAAAAAAAGTCATAAACGAAATTTTATGTTTATTAGTTAGTCATAACGATTATTTGCAACGGCGGTGGGCCCCGCGCGTTACCTTGTCGTATTTCCGCTGGGCGCGGTGCGCGGAGTCGGCGGCGGCGTTGAGCGCGTGCCGCAGCTGGTCGTCGGGCGCGCGCTGCGAGCTCCAGGCGCGCACGCGGCCGCTGATCTCCGCGCTGCTGCCGCCGCCCGCCTCCATGCCCACCAGCTGCACATCACACACACCGCACACGTCACACGTCACACGTCACACGTCACACGTCACACGCTTTCACTATAGTCTATAGACCACCACATATTTATATGTTCGACGGCCTCGGTGGCTCTGGCGGTTTAGCACACCGCTTTACTTGCGATGGTCATCGTTCGATTGTTTGTACCGGATGTTTTCTATCGATATTAATGATATTATATGTTTTTACACAAAATGAATCGAAGTTGTCTACTACTCATAACACAAGCTCTGCTTACCATAGGACTTGACGGCGGTATGTTAATTGTGTAGAGTTATTTATTCATAATTTAAGAGTCACGCTCGGTGGAGCTTCATTATGCTCTTTAAATATCGATACGACACAACTACAAAATTGTCTTCAATTTGATTAATGTAGCTTTGCTTTGGTTATCCCTTTCCCCTTTATACTTCTATTTTTCCCTGAATGATAATTTTCATAAATTCGTCGCATATCTGGTTAACGCTCTATACATCACATTTTAAATCGTTTCAATTAACAACGCCTATCGAAACTCATATGTTGATAAACGATTGTTTCTGTGCGACAAAAAAAATAATTCTTTGAGTTAAACACAAAGTCCATACCTAGTAAGAATGCAGTTAATAGGAGTTCAATAATAGCGTTTTAAAAAGTACAAACTATTATATATCATAGATGTAGCGAATTAATAGTGTCATTAAGAACATTATCAATCACCTACCTCGTGCAGCAAAGCCCTCAGCTCATTTATCTCCGGATGTCTAGCCTGCGCGACGGAATCCGCGGCCGTCTGTTGATTATCCTCTTCTTCGCTCTGCAGACGACGTTGACGATCGCGTGCCGCCCTATATAAATGTATTATTAATTACAGCATTTTCAATATATACCTATATTAATTTAAGTCAATATCATCAATCATAACTGGTCTAGTAAAAAGAAGCCTATTTTCCTGTGTCTACATAATTACTGTTTTATGAATTAAAAATTGAAATACTGCTAAGCGATTGGAAACTGTCTAAACTGTTTCAGCAAACGTCTAGCCGTTAAGTGGCCAGGTGGGGACAATTACCAACTTAATTATCTTAGTAACGAAATCAATTAATAAACGGAGTGAAATAGGAGTACTGCCAGAAGATCAAGGCAATAATCGGCAGAAATAGGCAAAATTTTGACGCTAACAATTCTCAATTGAATCAAATAAAAAAAAGAAATTGTCTTAATTACGAATTTACAACATTGATAATATAATGTGAATTAGGATTTAGAATCAAGTCAGCATGTAACGTAGTGGCGTACCTCTCCTCGCGTTCTTTATCGGCAATGAGCGACTGGCGAATGAGATTGGCGACTTCACTATTCTCGGGATCCTTCTCGCGGCCGATGAGGAACTTGACAGGCCCCGACGTGTTACGTAGCACGGACGCAGCGTACGCCTGCGTTACGCCAACCTGCCGCAACAAAAATCATTCATTATAAAATAGAAATTGTATCGTTTTGATTAAAAAAATATATTAGTATGATGGATGTATGATTCTTTCTATATCTAGTATGATTGATGGATGGAGAACGTAAAACGTTCTCATCATCGTAAGGGAAAAAACTGACAGTTGGTTGATATTTGTAATCTTGCTAAGGTCGATCGAGAGGCCATCACGAAACTATAGTCTGGCCAAAAGTTTATTTGATCTTGATAAATTATTTTATGTCAATTATGATTACAATTGTTACGTAATTAAAAAAATATTATTTTATAAGGAATAGAACCCTTCATTTAATAATTAGACGCTTTTTATATGTTAAAGAAAGTACAAACACATCATATTATTTATAAAAATCGAAAAAACTCACCAAGCTTTTGCCATCAACTTCAATAATCTGATCGTTGACCTGTATGCGACCGTCTCTTGCAGCGGCACCGCTTTCAGTAATGGTTTTAACAAAAATACCGAGTTTTTCAAGTCCAGCATCAGCACCCACTCCCATTCCTATAAATGAACAGATTATTAAGATTAGATATTAAGATTTGAAGTTATAGGCATTATTTATTATACATACATATACACAATATTTTTTTTTAATTAAAAGAGTTTATAAAACTTACGTAAGCGTTATATGTCATATATTGTTAAGAAAAACCCAAGGAAACGTAGCCCCAATGAAAACCAAGGTATAGATTTACCTTGGTTTTCATTGGGGCTATCCAATATTCATCTTATAAATATTGGATATACATTTTTGCATTATAAATTCATATGGCTGGATTGATTATTATATAATTCTTACCGATGATAGACAGTCCGAGACCATCAGCACCCTTGATGAGATCGACAGGAAATACGTGCATCTTCTCAACTCGCTTTTCTAGTTCGTATTCCGCTGACGCGGCCACTGGATCCACGTCCTCATTACGACGGTCATATTCATTTATCGAGTGAGTCGAAAATACGCGCATTGGGTTCGTACTGTAGAATAGTAAGAAATAATATTAAGTTATACTTGTATGATAATGAAAGTAATCCATTAGTTAGAAATAAGGAAATATAAATACCTAAATTTGACTTTGGTATTTTTCTTAACTAATACTGGAGGATAATAATCATCGTCTTCATCTTCTTCTATAGGTGGGAGACCGGCCATCTAAAATGCGTACAGGTTTTGTTAGGCATAATTTAAAACTACATATACATAAACTGATACTTGACACAAATAAAAGATTTAGATTTTAACGTTAAAAATGACGTCTCCGATTAAAAAAAATACTCTGAGTGTGCTTTCGCCGTAATAACTGGGCATCAAGCGTTATGCCAATTAATAGTTACTTAGGAACTATGTGTACTTGTCTACTGAAAAATGTTTCATCATACCTCTGTATAAAAATGTCCGTCTTCAAAATAATGTATTCCGTTCTCTTCCCCGAGTTCTCGCAGAGACCGTGGCGGATAATAATCAAACACAGTCCCTGAATCCGGCTCTGGCTCAGGCTCGGGCTCGGTCCCCGTGTGGGGCCCACGCTCGGGCTCGCGGTCAGGCTCGGGTTCACGATCGGGCGCGCTCTCGTGCGGCAGCTTGCGATCTCCGCCGGCCATACCGTTGTCCGCCTCAAGCGAAACAAACTCATAGCTCTCATCCACTGACTGCATACTGTTTAAATATTATATACCTCATTATATTTTAGGCACTTAGTAATTATAAAATGCGACTAAAAATATTTTTTTTACTGTATATTTTGTTTGATAGAGAATAAAGTCAAGTTTTTGCTAAGATATATAGGACCCAATATGTCGTGTACGTAACTATAATATTACTATTCTTATAAAAAAGCTGCGTAAAATTTTAATAAATGTAGTTTTCGTTTATGTTATCATAATATACAATAAAAGGAATACAAATTATATTGAAGGTAACAATTATAGTATTAATCTTATTGTTAATAATTAACAATAACTTGTATTAAGGAAAAATTATAGTAAAAAAATTGACGTTCATAAGAGTCTAAAATGTCTTACATGAATAAATGATTTTTGATTTGATTTTATATAATTTACCTCTCATAGGAGAGTACAGACTGGTAGCTGTCATTGAGCGATACACCATTGTCGTGGGGCAAAGTGTGTGGCGACAGCATCGCCACTATCTCTTGCGCCTGTTCATCTGACAGCAGCGGTTCTTGCCTACAATAAAAAATAGCTGTTGCATTCACTGCGTGTAATTTTGTGACCCTCCTGTGTATACCCATGTCTGAAGACGATGACACAGCCATTATGTGAAACAGACACCGTCTAGATAACTATTTGTAAATCAGAATCGCTTTCCAAATCATTCCTATTTATTACATTGAAGTATATTTTTTAATTGTCTTATCAGTTCATTGTACATACTTATGCTATATTAAAAACATGGACAGAATAAATATCGCAATATAGTAAACCGGGTAAATCTGTATAAATTTGAGCCATACATCTGTTTAAACCTTATATGGCATTGGCAATGTCTGACTAGGTATTTCTAAGAGGAGGCAGTGAAAACAAGATATATCACTGAACGACAGAATGATCAATCTGTTAGTATTAAATAAATTAATAAATTTAAAACAGTTTATTGAAATGTTCACAATAAAAATACAAATGTAGGATACGTAGATTTTTGCGATTATAAAACTATTACAATTTAATCGGTGTTATCCGTTAAAACCAGTCTATAGTATATTACAACTACGATAAACTGTTAAGTTTTCAAGCATGTACGGCGTTTAGAAAAAAATATGACTATATATTTCAGATAACAAATTACTCGTCTAAGCCGAGTAACTTTCTCTTGAATAAACATACTGAACTTGTATAGTCACACGATCAACAATTATTTTGCTGTTATGATATAAATTTACATTTATTTATTTACAAAATTTATAAAGTCAGTCAGTCAGCAGCAAATCACATAATAAAACAAATGCTTACAGATAAAAAAGAAACAAATCTAAATATTGAGACTATAGTGAGCTTACCTAAGTTTTTTCTCCAGAATACTGCAAATATGATCAGATCGTTCAAGAATGAAGCGTAGTGCGGACAGGCAGCATGCAAATGATAAAAAATCAACATTTAATAATATTAAGCTTAATAATAAAAATTTCAACCAAATAATAAATATAAAAACTATGTAATACACTACAAGTACCTACAAAGATCAGAAATTACATGTGATCAAGAAGATAGGTGCATAGCTTTAAGAATGAAGAATAGATACACTAAATATTTCATAATAATTTAAGTAAAACATGCAATCCAGTCAGTTTTTATTTCAAAAATTTGAAACTGAAAACCTACAATTACTAGTTACTATTTTTTAAGGGGGTCTTCCTATGTGATGGGTTGACAAAATCGATTTTTTTTTTCATAAATTGCTCCCTTAACATGTCTAGAATACGGTAGTAAAGCGATTTTAGAAAATTCGAAGTCGTTTTAAAGATACAGCAGGTAAAAGAAAGAGCGGTTCGGAGCGGTGAGTTGGCAGTTAGAGACCGGGCTTATTGTGTACCGTCGGCTTTATACCTGGCCTCCCTTTTATTAATATATTTGTTTATACAAGTTTAGACACGTTTCTACAGACTTAAACAGAAATTTCTATTGTTATAATATTTTACCGAAGTTATTTTAGTCTTGGTTGAACTTCGAAGAGAGCAACAGCTACAAATTATTTTTTTTCATAATGAGTGGACGGAAAGGAAGTACGAGTGGAAATGTTCATCCTGGTCGTAGTAAAAAAAGAAAGTTTAGTGGAAACCTCAGCATCAATTTTGTCCAGAAGGCGAAGACAGTTGGTGTAAATGGCGTAAGGCTGAAGCTAATAATGAACTGGACCAATTTCATCACGATAAACCACCTCTAATTCCGCAAGTCCAAGAAGCTATCAAACCGGTTTTCGAAGATTTATCGAAAGACGAATTATTAATTCGTTGTTTAGGAGCAGAGACACAAAACAATAACGAATCTTTGAATTCTTTGATTTGGACTTTCGCTCCTAAACATCTTCATTCTGGTCCCAAAGTTGTTGAAATTGCTAGCTACTTAGCAGTTATTATCTTTAATGAAGGTTTTCAAGGTATTTTAAAAGTTATGTCGATTATGGGATGCCCTGTTGGTCGTGAAGCCCAAGCGTATGTTGAGAAACGGGATGAAAAGCGAATCTTACGCTCTGAGCGGCGCGTAAGTGATGTCGTTAAACAAGCCAGGATTGACTCAAGAGCTAAACAATCTGCTTTAAAAGAGTTTCACGAGGAAGAGGAAGGAATACTCTATGGACCAGGCATCGCCGATTGAGAGTAAGTTGATATTTTAATAGTTTTTAACGGACTTGAAACTTTAAACGCGTTTTTCTCAAAACTGTGTTTTTCAAACTTTCCTCCATTGTATCTCAGAAACGGCTGGACCGAATTACTTGAAATTTACAGGGCACACTCAATATATGTAAACGCATGGAATGAACTATTATCAATCGAAAATTTTCAAAACTTCGATTTTTTTATAGCAAAAAACAAAAAAAAAAAAAACGCCTAATTTGCAACTTTTATTTCAAATGTCTATCAAAAATCCAATTTTTTTTATATTCATTTGATTATAGGTCATTCCGTGCTTTTAAGCCTACAAATTAAAACGCCGTTTTTTTTTTTTTTTCAGATAAGCCGATCAGCCGGAATCGTGGAGGAAGTGGGAGCTCTTTTTTTCGAGGCGGGGGTGTTCAGAGCGCTGTAACTCTAGTTTGACTGAATATTTTTAGCTGAAATTTTATATTTATACTGTCCAAATATGTGTTAATAAATGATAAAAAACTTGAAGCTCTAAATATTTACTGGTCGTAGAAAAAAAATCCTAAAATATCCCTAAAAAACAGGCCGTCACATAGGAAGACCCCCTTAATTCTAATAAGCGGTTTATCCTATATTTTATAGACGTATTATAGAAAATTACAAGCAAGTTAATAATTATACATATACTAGGCACATTCCAAAAAAATATGTTAAAATATATATATTTTTTTGTGTAGGCTGTATTATAGAAATTACTTCAATGATTCTATACATCTACAATGTAAGATACAATTGTTCCGATATATAGAAGATTTAATAATAAATTTGATTATGACACAATCCAAACATCCTGAATCCAAATCGTTACATAATAAAATAATACCACGAGTATTTTCCTACTTAAATTAATTAATTTAACTGTTAATATTATTACACAATTTATTTCGTTACGTCATTAACATTCCGTGGCTTTGGTTATCTTGTATTTATATGTTGACCGTTTTAGGGAAAACTATTCCGAATATAATATAATAATACTGATATTCTAAAATTGAAACAAACTAATATCCGAAAATAAGTATCGCGTAATATATGTCGATAAAAATTAATCACTGTGCTCATAAAACATAATTATGAATATAAGACATATAGTTACTAAACAATTTAGAACAAATTCAGGTTTTAATTTTATCTAAAGTGGGAAAAATGCAGCTTTGGTGTCGCGTAACAAGTAGTCGTTTGTGACACTTTATTCTAGCATTCGTACTAGAAACTAGTCTGAACTAATGTTACATAGAGAATATACTATAGATTCGACAATAAACAATTGCACCAGCAATCAATACGAATAACTATATGTAATAAAGCTAGAAAATATAAGCTAATGTGGTGTTGTAATTCCGTGTCCTGTTTGAGGCACAGTTTGATATTTAATGTACGCATTGATAATTGATACTTCATGTATAATTAATAACGATTAATTTCAAAGTACGTTGCGCTGAGTCGTTCCTACTAATACTCACAATTTTGTCGGACGGGTTATGCCAAAAGAATCGTATTTGTATAAAGTTGTTATTTGAGCATCTATATTAATTTTTATATTTTACAAAACAATATCTGGGTAAATGTTATGAAGCCAGGCCGAGATAGTAGGTAATACGGTGCTATACAAAGATGCGATATGTGGCACGGGTATTATATATGCACATGAGTTTTGAACCTATGTTCAAAATATAAACAAACATTTGTGCTGACACCAAGTCTCGTATCGGTGTTTGAGCGCACATCAAACATTGTGTGCGTAGCGAAGGCTACTTGCGTACTTCAGTACTGAGTAAGTACTATCTACATGTTTGCAAAGCATATCTGCAGAAACATTTTTATTCGTGCTAACATGTGTTCAAACAATTGAAGCTATGCATGTCTAGGGCAGTGATTCTCACCTTTACTCTGTTGCGGAACTGTTACGATTTCAAAATTTGACGAAAACAAAAAACACATATTATAAATTATATATGTAAAAATTTACGGCACACTTTTAGAATTTTGTGGTGCACAAAAGTGGCGCGGCACGGTGGTTGAGAATCACTGGTCTAGAGCCAAGAAATAAGTTGTAAGTACATGAGGTGTGTACAATACGTCACCTGGAGCTGAGCAGTATCTCGGCCTCGTCCGGCGTCATGCTGTCAGGCTGCTTGGTGTCCGCGTCGACGTCGGCATCGTCCCAACGCGCTTCTGCCTCGGGCTCGCGACCGCACTCTCCAGATGCGTTCTCCCCTTCCGACACGCTCCATTGGCTAGTGGTCGACTTGTCGAGCACTTCTATGGAGCCTTGACTCGCCTCGCTCACCACCACGCCTGAATCCTGAAACAGTAGCCATACAATATATAAGTCAATTGTGCCGTTTTATAGTAGTATTACAAACAAACATTTTAAAATCTCAAATTCAGGTAGTTGTTCGCAAAATAACACGGGAAGACATACCCAATTTTATAAATTAAAAGCTGATCCGGGTCCACTTCGCTGGGCAGGAAACATTTTTACTTGTAAGTTATAGACAACCGAAGAGAAAAGGTAGTATTAGTAAGTACTTATTTACGCTATTTAAAAATAGGGGTTGATAGTAGAAGGAAGAACATTTGCAACAATGCAGAGCATTAAAAAATACATACAACCCTACACCCTATACATACATTTCTTCATTATATATATTATTTATCATAATAAAAATGAATTTGATCAAAAAAAAAATTCTTGGGTCGTTCACTGTTATTGTTTAGGGTTTTAAAAAAATTGTTTACGTTATACATTATAGTTTACATACAAATTTTAGACATACTAAATATGCAATTGTGCACGCAAAAATTCATAAGATTCAGTCAAGCCGTTTCTGAGGAGTTTTGTTACACGAGACACAGAGTTGTGTGTGACACGAGAATTTTATATATTAAATAAATATATATAAATTAAAGGTAAAAAATATTTACGTACACAATAGTATGTATAGGTTCATTATGAATTAACAAACTGTTATCGGTTTTTAATGTTAATCTTTGTCCTATCTGTGATGATTGCTGCCTACTACGTAATATATGTGTATAATAATATTATAAGTATGACTGCCACAGGAGTAAAGATATCCCTATGTACGTGTAGTACTATAAAATAAAATCGAAACTGTATACTCTAGTTACTCTTTGTAGTCTAGTCCCAAAATTGTAGCATTGTATTGTAGCAACAATAGCAAAATGTTTATATATAAAGCCACCACGTATTCTTTAAGATGACGGGACATTATTTAAAGCACCATTATACTATTATTTCTGTACCTTGGACAATTTACATAGTACTCTGATATATTTTGAAAATATATACCATATATAGGAAATATTACTTAACTAAATGGGGATCAAAATGAAATCGTAAAATAGGTGCTGACTTATTTCCATCTATGAACCATCGGCAGATCACACAGCACATTAAGTGGTAGTGTAAAGTAGGTAAATGAAATCTATCTTCCTTTTACGATTAATGTGATATGAATAATCTATCTATCTAAAGGGCGGTATACATCACGGCTATACCCCGATACAACTTTTAATTGCACTAGTAGTAAGTCCTTATGATATCAAAGAAATCAATTAGTTTTTACTGTCCCTATGACCAGCGAGACCTGACACCTAATTCTTCACAGGCAATTATAAATGTCTCATAACATTATAATAATTGATTTAATATAAATTTAGGTACTTGTTGTAAAACAGATAGCGTATCGGGATCGGAGCGAGCGCGTTCAGCATCCCGGTGGTCGCGGGTGAGCGGCGGCGGCGGCGGTTCGCGGTAGTCGGCGGGCCGAAGTCGCGCCACCACTTCGGGCGACGGCTCGTTGAAGCCTCCTTCGTCCGACACACTTGACGCACGGGAACCAGGCCGCCGCGGCGTCTCCTCCGCCTCTGAAGACTTGCGACCTCCGCCCACTATAACCATACATACAAAACATTAAGTATAATTAAAGTTATTCAATAACATTCTTGGACAATTCACAATGTGCCATCTAGTCACAAGCTAAGCAGAGCCTGTGGTTATGGGTACTAAACTATTGACATAAATACATAGATACTATTTTTCTGTAAATATATACATAACAAACATCCAGACCGCTAAACGCAATCATACTCATGAATTGTTTATAACAACATTGGAGGTAAAGCGGTGTTCTAAACCGTAAGACCACCGCTGGGGCCGTCCAATTTATTACAATTTTGTTAGGTCTTGTTTGTATATTTATAATTATTATTTTTATTTATTTTAATTCAGATTACATCCATATTATATTTAATAAGATTGAATAAACAAAGGAATATGTGAATAATAGTTCTGCGTTTTGGTCACTCTCTCTCTCTCTCTTTGTGGTCAGATATCCAACGTGACATACTTGTTTAATAGAAATAGACTTCTATTTGTTAATTAGTCTATTTTCACTCTTCTTATGCACATCTATTTTCATAAAAAACAGGTATGTTTTTTTACATATTTATTAAAAATACAAGATACGCAATATGACAAACAAACACTGCAATGTGAGGTTTCCGGAAGAACAATAATATTAGTAATCACCTATAATAAATTGATACTAAATTCATTGAAGAAATGTTTACAGACAATAAGAATAAAATCGAATCAGGTTAATATGCTCGCTATTTTTAACACTACACACAGGTGGAGATCGTACAGGTGGTTAATATGAATGAAATTAGTACACATACCGAGTTATTCAAAAAGCTTCGCTATTTTTTTGCATTAATGTACTATGTGTTTCTTTAACTAGTATTATTTTTTATATTTTTTGACATATCTAATTATTCATAGTTCAAAGTTTGACAAGTACATCGTAGTTCTTAGTAATTCGTGAAAATAATACTTTATATAGTTTTAGAAAATGTATTTCGAAATTACCTAATTGACTAAAAAGAACATGAATGAAGTAGTATATTTAAACCTCTTGTCTAACATAGAACCGTATTAATATAATAAGTATTATTATTATAAGCAATTATAATGCAAGATGAGAATAGTATTTGTGCTATAAGTTATTTGTGATGTGCTACCCAAGTTTTTATATATTTCTTATTATTTATATATCTTCAGAAATTGTAGAAAAGGGTCCGATTGAAAACCCGCGCAGAACAGGTGCATCCTTTCGGCATATGCTGAACGGAGTCCGTTGGCCGCCTTTAATTAAGTATGCTTTAAATGTATTTCTTTCGTGTAATTTAATTGGTAGCAATAAATTATTTTTATTCTAGTTTGAGTACCTACTGAAAAATCGTTCAAATATATTAGTGTGTTTTATACATTTAAACATGTTAATACATTAAAAGCAATCCTGATTATATGTGGTGACCTTGGTTAACCGTAAAGTACGAAGCAGTTCATTCAACGGTTGTACGTCTTACCAACACAACAAAATGAATGCATGCTAACGGAAATATAGTAAATTTATATTACAAAGACCATCTTGTAGTGTGGCTATCAACGGAACATTCAAGAGTCGTAATAATCTATGCAAAGCATGAATTCACAATGAACCGTTGCAACTATCACGCGATCTCGAGACAGCGAGAGCGACTCGTAAGTCGTAACCACTTTACTAATTAATTAACACTCCGCTACAAAATTAACCGGAACGTTATTAGAAAATATACTCACATCGCGCTATAGGCTAGACTAGACCATCTTTTATTCATAACATTTCATCTTGATAGTACTTTGTAATTTTTTAATGGATTTTAATTACTTTATTACATGTATACAATTCTTTTCACAAAATAAGTAATAGATAACAATATACACAATTTATAAAATTTAACCATTTATAATAGTGTACTTTTCAAATGTAAAAAAGTGTTACAAACAGTGGTCGAAGATCATTCTTCAAAGACACAAAAATTGCATCTTGCAAAATCTTTATACCTATAATATCGGTCTAAATATTAGCTAAATGGGACCATATATAAATATTAATTTATATTTGGATGTCAAATAAAGCCGCGTCGCATTCATAAGTGTCTATGCATTTTTCCATTAATCATTGGTATTGATATAGTTAGGTAATACGCAAGGATGAAGAAAATCTATTAAGTACTTAAAAGAAAACGGTCGGTTATTGGCGTAAAAAGCGAGCGAAAAACATATTACTCCGAACTCAAACGAACATAGCATTAAGACGATGTATTTATAAAAACACAAAAAGCGCATTGAAATTATTAACTAAAAGATCCAGCAGTCATTCAATCAAAATATATGAAACACGTGACTGCGTCCATAAGCACTTTGTAGTAATAAATACGTGTTCAACCAATACATGAATAGGGATTGATGCATAATATATTCTGAAATAAGCCAAACATTTTGTATAGATTTTATTTCTCTCTAGTGAAACGTTCTCTAGAGTTACGAACAAATTAATTATTATTGTATTGACTAACATCTTCGACAAGACATAATATCTGAACAAATAAGAGTGGAGTAATTGAATTTAACCGTAAGTTCCTACTTCTTAATACTTGCATTTGACATGTATGTATTAGTCCATTTAGGTTTTGAAGCATCATCGTCTAGTTTACAGCTTATTTGGTAGCGAACTTGATTATAAACTCGATAATAATTAGCATTAAAAAAACATGATAATATAAGCAGGACCTGTAGCAAGGAATTAAACGAAGGCAAAGAACCAGGCTAAGATGATTTAAATAGGTTAATTACTAGAAAACCGGCAATGTGTAAAATATGTTGTGAGTCGTGCAATAAAAATGTAATAGATAAGCAAATCAAGAAGCTCGCAAGTGAACACGATGTGAAGATGTTAACCAACCGAGACAACAACCGCAGAGGCGCATATTGAGCGTGCGCATGCGAGGAGAGCTCGCGGCGACGGCCGCACCCGCGGGACCTGGCTCATCACCGCACCATTGTCGATTGTTTCTTGGGTTCACACCTCGCACACTAACGCGAACGTTAAACTCAACGCGTCGTATTTTGTTTGCTTTAAACCAACACTATTTTCTTAATGAAATCACTTATATCATGCATTCTGTAATCTTGAAGTCACTACAATATAGAATATTTGAAATATATTACACTCTGTTTAATTCGTCTCGGGCTGTCAAAATCTAAGAATATTTAACCCAATATGTGTTGTAGTAAAAGTTTACGAGCGTATCGTTGCCGGACACCGGTGCTAGAACACCATGTAAACAAACACCGCCACAGATAAACAATTTGGCAACGTTAGACGAATGAATTAGTGCTCCCAAAAATAATAAAAATAGTTGTAGGTAGGTCATACGTATGCAAACTAGAGCTCAATAAGTTGACAATGATAATAAAATCCTGAACTCAATAAAATAAGTTGACTTCGACCATATGTCGATCGATCGATTCGGAAATGTTTCACAATAAATATAATATTTAGAATTTTGATTTAGAATATGGACCGATTTTCACAGACTCGTGTGTTTCGCAGACAGTCAAGTTGATAGACAATCAAATTGTGAGTTTATTTTGATGTTTTACCAACATACCGAGTAAATCGGAGATACGGGATTGCGTTATGAACGTTTGTATGAAAATGTATACATACTTTCCGCAGTCAAATATAAAAAAAAATGATAATGAACAATATAATGATTAACACGTATATCCAGTAAGCGATATTAAATAAAGGAGCGTATGAAAGGGAGCGCGCAGGACGACGTCGCTCGGGTTACTGCGTCGCGACGGCGGAGGCGGCGGCGCCGGAGCATCTAAATCGGGATCCACATCGACTAGCAAGTCTCACAACGACTCAAATACCTTGACTTCCTCAATATTACATTGAACCCGCCGACCACGAGATCGCCAAACGTACGTCAATCGACGCCCACTAAGCTTCTTTATAAGATAATTATTTACTTCCCACTATGCAAAAACAAAGCATCTAACTTAACGCAATCAATGAAATAAAGTTACGCTAAATTCAGACGGAATTGTTAGATATAATAACCTATACATTAAAAAGATGTTGAATAGACAATATTTCCACTATTTTATCTTCATCTCTACTATATTTTGAGTTAGATAAAAGAAACTCAGTAGTTTTTCCCTCAATGTATTTCTATAGCTACAACTCTGCTATATTCTTTTTAATGCATATTGTCTATACACACTTCAATTACATTCAGTCTCAAAAGGTATTACGGTCGATTTAATTGTGATAGGTCAGTACTATGTATATTGATACCGACTACATTATTCCATATTCGCGGTTGTTATCCACGTTATTTAAATTATACATTTAACAAGTATAATAATATATTTATGTTGGCAGGAAGGAATAGATAGAACTTTGAAATCATGGATGACAATCTAAGGGGCTAATTATGCTATACAATACAATACTGAATTTCATAGAAATATCATAGAAATTTTAGATTTAGGGCAAGAGATTTTAGATTTAGATCCACATATAACACACAATGCAATAAAATTAAAATTATAAATAAAAAATAACTTCGTTAAAAATCGTTAGGTCAGAAGTTATATTTTATTTATACTGCTTTATGTACTGCCACACTAACTTGAAATAGTAAGTACGAACTGTAGTTCGTACTTACTGTTTCAAGTTATGTTATAAATAAAATATATGAGATCAAATGAAGACAAAAACTGCTCCAGGTTTGTTTGCTGATTTACGTGCAATGCTGAATGCATTTCATACGATTGTCAAGCATATAATAGCAATCCTACATATGTTCGTTATTAACCTATACAGTAAATATGTGTAAACTTTAAAACATAAAATACTATTGTATAATTATATTGTGAATAAAATAACATACCCGGCGAAGGTGAAGTGTGAAGAGAAGGCGGAGCTGAAGAGTCGGTATGATGTACTGGCGACGCTAGCGGTGATGCAATAGGAGACTGGGTTGTTGCGCTCGTCTCTGCCCCACATCCTGGAGACTCGGGCGTTGATGTACGCCGTTTGGATTTCTCTTCCCACTGGTCATCATAATTCACCGCTTCATATCCATCCTCTTCTAAACTAGTAGTTTCTAATAATTTTGGCGAAACAGAGACACTATCGAAATTGTCTGGGTTAACCGGTTCTGGAGAACAATGATCGGTACTACTTTTTTCATCATTTTCTTCATATACTTTAGCCGGTATAGTAGGAGATATAGATGATCTTGTAATATTCGAATACGTGTAATGGGAATCGGTTTGATCAGCATTGTCTGACGTAAATTTATGGCCGTTTTCGGCAGGTAAATGTGACAAAGGAGTTTCTCGTTCTATGTCTATCAAATCCTCCTGAGAATCAGATATAAGTGGTGATTTTGGTGACCTCGGTGGGGACGAAGATAAAGATTTTCTAGGCACAGAATCCACTGATAGTGGTGATATACGTTCTATTGGTTTCGATATCGAATTGGGAGATTGCAAATAGTCTTTTGGTTTAGATGACGATAAATCACTTTTTTCTTTTGTTAGTTCACCTTTGTCACTTATAGATGAAATTGACGATCGGGATTTCGGTAGAAGTCGTTCAACTGAAGATGTTTCATTGCACGGTTTAACAGGTGAACTTGAACTTTCCCTTCTTATTACGGGCGAAGGTATATCGGATCTTGCGGTGGGTGAACTAACAGATCTAGATGAAGGAGACACATTAGCATTTGTTTTTATAGGACTAGGAGATTTCGTGCCACTTCGATTAATTAAACTAGAAGGGAAGTTATTAGGGCGTTCTATCTGTGAATCACCAGCGCCAGGTGACTGGGGCGGAGAATACACGCGCGAAGGAACAACATATCTCTCCGTTACTTCTAAAGATTTATTATCTTGATAACTAATTTGATGTTTAGGATCCGCTCTATGCTCATGCTCAGCTCGGGGCGGTCGAACTTTATTAAAATGGGCAGTCCAATTTTTCTGCTTTTCGATCAATTCCTTGTTAAATCGCCTGTCAGGTTTATCTGGTTTAGGCAATACACTAGGTTTTGTAGGTTTCGCTGGGGGTTGGGTAGCACCATTGGAAAGACGATCACCATTTAGCGTAGTTGATACCACAGGTGTTGGAGTAACTATACGTCTAGGTGGACTCACTGAACCCGCGGAACTGGAACGAGAACGTGATGGTGCCGGAGGTGTAACACCACGGGTGCCAGCAAAACTTGCTGCAGCCGATGATGATTTTTCAATTCTAAAACCACGATTTTCCTCACCCAATTTCTCGAAAAGAGCCCTAGCATTATTAAACCGCGTTAGATGGCTCTCTGTTCGCACAACTGTCACATCACTACCACGCATTTCTTCGTCTTCCCTTGATGGCATTCCTTGAAAAATATTGGCAATTTTTGAAACTTTAGTCCCTGTATGCCTTTTCTTGCACTCCTCCATGCTAGCCGGGTACGCCCGTTTTAATCCAATCTGGAAAGGAATATTTCAGAATGTAAATACACAATCGGTAACATAAGTTGAAACAACAATTGGAACGGTTTTGTAGGAAAATAATGATAAAATATAAGATAAGCACCGCCGCAAGTGTGGAGGCACGAGCAGGCGTATGGCGTTCTCAAGGCAGGCACAGGCGCGCGCGACAACCAGCGCGGCCAGACTTGATTGTTTTTCGCATAATTTGACTTGAGATAGCGATAGCACTGATAACACTACATACTTACTCAATCCTAAATACTATATATTATTACATGCTTCTTTACGATTATTTTTTGTGATATATAAATGACTGGCCGCTGCTCAATATTACGAACGCGTGACAATGATGATTTATTTGCATACCTTTGTTATTCTCCAAATGCTACAAATGTGTCAAATTTGATAATTGAGAAAGTGTTAAATAATGAAAGTGAAACAAACACCCTTTCGCAGTTATAATATTAGGATCATAATATATAAATATTACATTTCCTTATTCTTTTACTTCGGCATCTACGGCTTTTTAATATAGAGTAATACACTCTGTTGCAATACAATTTACATAACAAACAACTGTCACTAATGAAATTTCTTTCAGTAATCTTATTTATAGCTTTATATTTACAATTAATTTTCTTATCATGCCACTAGGTTTTAAATTTTGGCTTGGATGACTGTGACAGTATAAGAATAAGGTTTCATTGCATTCATTCAGTATAGTGACAAGGTGAATAAACATGACTCAACTACCAACTCGATATTATCAATCCGATAAGTTTCCGCTGATAATGTATAATGATTAATTTGCTATTAATTTTTGAGTTTATTAATTCAGTATCAGTAGTACAAGCAAAGTAATTTATAGCTGCACAAGTACAATGACGAAGTTTTATTTAAGTTTAATTACTGCTCTATGTTTACTAAGGGATCTAACAAAAGCAAGTTCGTGTAACGTAGCGCAAATATGTGTGACCGATCTTACAGATGCAGATTGTGCTAGAGACAATATGGTTCTAGTGCAAAATTCTAACATACATGGATGTTGTCCTAGGTGCGAGTTACCAACTGGTAAGAGAAAAACATCTTTATAGTAATAATTTATAGAAACTTCGCCTAAAGAACTTTGACCAAATGCAAATGATAAACCCTTAACGCAAATTTAGGGTTTAGTGAGCCTTTCCCATGACTAATACTATCTCACGGCGTTCTTTGTTTATAATGAAGGGAATGGTAATCGACCCGATGGAAAGTCGCATATAGACTTGAAAAGTATCACAGAGTAGACATCGCTATCTGACCCTCGTATTTACCCTCCCTGTACAGTGTAATTTCACTGTCGCATTTCATCTTTGACACCAAAACACGGATTACAAAACAAGCTGCTTGGTGTTATTCACACAGTGATGATGATGATGATGATTACTATATGTTACAAGCCATAAAGAACTTAATTATGAATGAAAAACAGGTATGCTTGCATGTCTTATAACTATAATCTTATGTTCATTATTAATTGAATGATAGAAGTCGTTCAGAATATATAGTATTCTCAGAAGCAGCTATTGTCTATTTTGCAACGTCTATGTACATAAACACTTAAGTATACATATAATGCCAAAGTAGGCTGTTAGCAGCAAAAAATGATACTTACTGCTATGAAATTTGAACATTATTTGGTAAAAACGTGTTCAAATTTCATAGCAGTAAGTAGCATTTTTTGCTGCTAACAGCCTACTTTGCAACTCAGAATTTTTTATATTTATTTACATGTATATTATTTAATGTACTCATATAAACAAAGATTTACTTCTATTACTTAGTAATTTGATATAGGTTTCTCTGTAATTTGGATATTTTTAACGATATGTGTGTATAGAACAACTAAGTATATATATATATATATAATTTACAACTAAGTATATCTAATTTATATCTTAAGTTCCTGGAAACACCTATATGGAAATTGTCATTACATGCTGTTTTGGTGACCGTGAGGAATAATTACTAACGTATTTGATATAAGATAGTATATAAATAAAAAAACTAACACTAACCAGTAAGTTTTTTTCTGAAATTCTGCAACTATAACTGTATACACGACATTAATTATAAACGAGGGTATTCAGTACACTTGCGAATATCCAGACTGTACTTATAGTATATTATACGATTAAGCCCTTGGGATTGGATTCTCACTTTGAAAGAGCTTGGCATAAATAAGGTAAAGAGTTTGAATCTAATGACAAAGAACCATATCAATGTTTGTTACACACACGCGAACCGCTATCACACATGACGTTACGTTTCTAGATATTACCTACATAATATACATCAAATCAAGGAGATATGCGGTTGCGGGTGATATCAACTATATACATACGTTTAAATCTGAACTAGCCGATGTCTGTATACTTATCTACATATTAATACGTGAAGTAAATACTTTTTTAAGAAAACTATGCTTAAACGTAAAATAAAGACGGTGTAAGCAATTTGAAATAGTTACATTTTTTTAATAATACTTAAAATACTTTATAAATAGTAAAAATATACTCTGCCATGCGTTTGATGTATATATAGAAATTTAGTTTTTTACGAATTTTGACAAACCTGAACAGGGTTCACCTTCAGATTTCAAACAATTATAGGCAAATTTCGTGCACTTGGTAACCACTAGTATAAATAAAAATGTTGAGACGTAAATCTATAGAGTTGTAAAACAACTAATATTGACTGTGGAACTGAAACATTATCCCTATGCTGAGTAGGGCGTCTCACGAGGAGCGATGACGTCAAAAATATTGCAATGAATCGATGAGTGCAGATGGCTCAGAACAGTATTAATTCGTAATATGAAAGAAACCAGTATATTCGGCAGTGGGCGATCGATATCTCGTAAACTTAACATTATAGTAGAATCGCTTTATATGGTTGTTAAAGTTGTAAACATGTATTTTTAAGCCTCTTAATTTAGTAGACAGTACGAACTAATGAATCTTGCATGAAATAACTACAGTAAAATAAAGTAATAAAAATAGCATTGTCTATATTTAAAGTTCTGTTGTTGTTATACAAATGTTCTAATGAAAATGTATGGACTATAGGTACTCCAGACACAGGGTGCACTGCTCCAGCTAATTGTCTTTCTGATGGCCGATACGCACCAGTTCAATGTAAAGGCGATTTATTCACCGGAAGGTAAATAGTTAAACGTGCTACTAAAATATGATATGAATCACTAAACTTACAGTACAATTGTAAACAGTTAAGGCGATTATGAATATTGATAAATATATTAAATTTAATTTAGTTGATGAAAGAAAAACGTATATAACGTAAGTATTCATTTAATTACTTTTGTCTTACCCACCTGAATTAGACCCATAAATAGTAATCTATCATAATAACCTTCATTTAACTGCCGCAAATAAAGTATTATTATCTAATAACTATATATATTGAATTACAACTTGTCCTGATATAAGTTAACTACTAACAAATATCCTATCCCATACATATCGGCATTGTGGAAAAGAAATAATATACCAATATGGAATTGCTTTAAAAGTTTATTTTAATTAATTAAATTAGACCCAATAGGTAATATATCAATCATTTATTATATATATATATATATATATCTACTTATTACGTACAGGTGTTTCTGTAGCGATGAAAATGGAAAAAGATTATTTGGCCAAATGTGGAGAGATGAAGCAAGTGAAATGACATGTGGTAAGTAACAATAACGAAATAAATATGTATAAGTAAAAAAAGTATAAGAAAATTAATTTATATATAATTTTAGTTGTTTTTATAATCCGATACACATACATCACATTAAAGTACCTGAATAGACATGATGTGAATATTATTATACGTCGTCGTTATTTATGAAGTAACATTAATAAGTACTTGATTACACTTGAAATTTTAATCCATAAGAAATTTAAAAGAATTAAAAATTATAATTGGCATATATCATTTTCAATGAAATAATAATTCTAATATTTACTTAGAAACATTAATTTCAATAAGGTAGAACTGACACGTGTCATAAAATTACATACAACAAAAAGTTTTTAGAGAATTAAAATTTACAAAGAACATAAAAAAAAACGAGGTTATATTTTACTTGCTCATACAAAATTGTTATTATACTACTGTCGTTTTGGTTTATATGTGTTCCTTGTCAGCACATTCTCGTTTTCGATTATGTCAAAATATTGCATACATATACGAATAATAGTGATGAGGCTGTGATTCGATCTGTTCTGATGATAAAGACGGAAAATAGTCATAGGAACTTAATAATAAGCGAATACTATCCAATCGAGTTTGGTGTCCTTACATTAGTTTCAATTTAGCTTCTGATCATAAAACCTGAAGGCTCTAAGTGATACGTGTAAAAGCTTAATAATAATGTGTTAAAATAAAATTACTAGCATGCAGCAGAAGGAGAGCCGAATTAGAAGCTACTGAAAGTAGAAGTGTAACACTTCACTGCACCCCAAATGGAGACTACGAACCACTGCAGTGTGACAACGGGATATGCTGGTGCGCTGTACCCAAAACTGGCCAACCCACTGTCACGCCTGTACCCGAAAAGGATATGACACGATTACCTTGTTGTGAGTATGAAATCTACTATCTACTGCAACGCATCACTGAATTTTTTTAAACCGACAATAACAATATCAACTATAATAAATACATATAGATTGACCCATAGCTATATGTCGTAAATATTCTCAAATCGTCAAGATCCTACTGAATGTAATAAGTCAATAAATATTAATTGAAACCATACATAACAAGAATTTGGGTAGGTATTTACTTAAATCACACATACGAGTATATACAGATGAGGTTACAAGCCATTTAAAATTAAAATCTGAATGATTTAAAACATATTCAAGTGAATTGTTTGTTTAGTACGTAATAATTTCTCGTTGTATCCTACTCTTACACAAAATATTAAAGTAATTACAAGAAACACATGAGTACTATAATACATATAAGAAAGATTTAAATATTATTTAAACGGCAATAAGGGCAATACCTACTACAAAATAAAAAAAAAATGAACTTACCACATCTATAAGCAGTACCATAATTAAAAAGTCAACTAGAATCACACTCTTACATGCGTTAACTGTGAAATGTAGATGGGTATCTAATGAGAAATAAATATGCAACCACTGAACGCCTATCTCACACAAATATTATGTAACTTGTAACTACTGTTCCAAAAAACACACATTATTCTACTAAAAATTTATATATCTGATGAGTGCAATTCTTATTCAAATATTTCCACATGATCACTACAAGAGATATCATTCTTCAATGATTCACTGTAACAAGCACAGATGACCAAACGCAACTGTAACCAATCGTAACAAAGAATTGTGTAGTGCATTTGTGCAAATAACATTCAATGTCTTACAAATATATTATTATCTCTGACACACTTTGTCTACATTTCTTGTATTTTTTCATATAGTATATACATTATACATTTAAGTTTAACCAACAAAAAAGAGAACAGTTTTAAACGAACTCACACACTATGCTTCTTGCTGTTTAGAGAAAATAGTTTAGTGTATGTACTACTAGCACATAGACCGGATGGGGACCGAATTGGGATTTAGGGTTTTCTCTTGTTCTTAGATCAAATAATATATTCTTGAGGATTAGTGGGCTCATAAATATCTTTTTTTATGTTTTCCATTGGCTGCCACTGCTTAAAACCATATTCTAATTTCTTATATCGCAGACAGTACAGGAGCAATCGGCGAGAGTTATCTAAGAAGATGTGAGAGCGTAGTGCAGAGTCTAAAAATCATTCACCACGAACTGTTGGAACACGGGAGTAATTTTATTGGTGAACAAATCACATTCTGCGACTACGACGGTAGTTACGGATCTTATCAAGTGGATAGCGGAACGTGAGTACATGTGATTAATACAAATAAAATTTTAATATGTCTACAGCTCCAATATTGAGACTCTCCAACTCTCCCATAATGCTATTTTAAAGACCATTCGTATAGGGCACCATGGTTTCTAAACAATTAGGAAATCCATCACTTTTCGAATTTAACCACAGCACGAGAGGAGATTGCTAGCACATGCTCAAAATACACGCCTGAATGTCCACCCTAATAAGATAGCTCAAAGGGTATTCACTGACAACCTCCCAAAACGCCTACAAATAACACATCTACTGGATTTGGATAAACAACACTCTTGATCTTAATTCCTAAATAATATGCAGTCCATTGGGTGCAAGATTTCTTGTTTAAAGTGGCCTTCTGCTCTTTAAACAAGAAATCTTGCACCCAATGGACTGCAGACTCTCATTTTTCATCTACTAACCAATCCGATTATAGTACTAAACACGCTGATTGCGGATATACAAAGACAAAAAAATCTACAAATTTTTCAAAATTTTTTCAATGTATTTAATATTCACTCTTAATAACTATAACTATTACACTATAATAAACATCCTGCTTATGCTGTTGGTTCGGCTCATAAGTGGACGCAATATACTGTAATGTTTATTGTTTATATTGGTCTGGTGATTTCTATGTATTAAGAAAAAAAACTATTTCTATCAACCAGTACCCACAACACAAGCTCTGCCGCTGGGAAGTGATGGCACTGTGTGAATTGTCCAGGGTTATTACTGGTATGTAATAAACACGGCGGAGGGCTATGCCAAATCCCTCGTTATATTATTTTGCATGGGGTTAATTTATTGTATTAAAAAAAATATTCTTGGTGTTTACAGTGCTTATTGTACCGGTCGTGATGGAACTATTTTGGGTTTATGGCATGCGGAAACAACTATAATGGCTGGAATGAATTGCAGTAAGTACCTACATAAAGATTGCCCTAAAGTTTATACCACATAAAAAGTAAAAATATAACCAACCACCTAATCAATTCGTACTTCTTACACATAAATTAGGTACTTGTCGTCATGGCAGGTATCTAGATAGAGAGATCACCAACGGTATCTGTTCTTACTTACTACTTCTTACACTCTTGTTTAAAATTTTATTCGTCTCTTACATATACAACAATTTAGAAGTTGTGCCTGATCTCGCGTCATCTTATCTGCATTATTGGTCGCATCATTACTACCACACTGCATATACCTGTTTACGTTATGCTTACATCTAAATTAGCCCGACATTCTTACCATTGCGATGTAGATAACGATGTTTCCTTACTGTCCTAGTTCCGATTTAACTATCACAGTAAGTAGTGTATTTAAAAAGTTAGTATCATAACAACTAAGTTTCAAATACTAAATAAAAAAAATAGATAGGTTTATACAATCGGCTTCACAAAGATATAATACATGGCGGTTAATATGTTGGTATTAGAATCAAGTATTTTTATAACAATACTAGCCGTCCCCGAAAACGTTATTTTGGCATATAAATTTAAGTACTAAAATTTGGTATTAAAAAATAGGCGTTGGTATATAGCCTGGTAATTTAGGGTTGTATGTATTTTTTAATGCCACATTATAAAAATATAATAAAATGTTAGGGGTGGACAACCCTTATCACTTTAAGGTATTAAAAATAGATAGTAGCCGATTCTCAGACATACTGTATATGCATAAATAATTTCATAAAAATAGGTAACTAACATTGTGACACAAGAATTTTATATATTAGATTATAGAATTAAATTTATCTAGATTTGTTAATCCTCTAATGGATCCTCTTCTTCACCTCAAGTCACCAATTGCATTAAAGGGAAATGTTCAGTCTAGTACAATATATTATTTCAATAATAATGTACTGCAACGATATAATTGACAACGTGGGTGGTGTACGGCGTGTACAATATCGCATTTAATTAAATGTAGTACAATTATAAGAATTAATTATATTGCATAAAATATATTGTAAATTTTATTAGATTAACGTGATGTGGGTAAACGTCATAGTATGTATTTTTTGGAATTATATAAACTCGGTGGAGGGCGTCGATATTCGCAACACAGTTTTATACTCCTCTGAATGTCATCATTTCTTCGGTGAATTGGTACACATGTTTCTGTTTTAAATAAATAAATAAATAAAATAAATTCTAGTATATTATACGAATACCTATACATCTGCACATATAACAAACTAGTAACAATTACATACAATTAATATTTGAAGAAAAGTAGTTAATAGGTACAATATTATTTACGAATTTGATTGGTTTCTGGTAATTTTCTTTGTCTATGTGTGTGTTACTAATTCACGTAAATGCGGCTATAGCGATTAATTGTATTGAAAATTGTATTAAGATAATATAGATCATATTACGGTTTTTAGTAATTTGTCAAATTGCTAGGAGACTCTAATATAAAAGAAAATAGTTGGAGTCGACAGGACACCAGCGTACCGTTAGTATGGTGCATTCGCATTGTCACGGCGCGACCAGTTGCCGGCCGTGACCCTGTTCTCTGTTCCCTATACGTTTTACGCTCCCACCCATTCCACTATTCTGGTGGAATGCGGAGACCGCAACACTTAACCATCCAATTTACAAATTTTGTACATATTATCTGGATAATTATAGTACGTTTGTCTCTATAACTGCAAATATACATAATACAGTTGTTTTGTCGCGCAAACTTCTTATCTAACGTTCCCATGAAAGTTTTGGAAAAATTGCTTATATTATAAAGAGCCCATATTTGAAAATTCCTGTTTCTAACGTCAATAGTTTAGTAGATAACTTAGTAAATAATATGGGCACATCTCATTATATATATTAATCGGACTAACTTTACACATTGCTATGCACGCAAAGTGTCATAGTCCAATATTAATGGATGCTTATATTATAAAATAAACCTTTTTAGACTCGGAAGTTTTGGAAGTCAGTCTAGACAAACTAATATATATTTTTTAGATAAATATTTAAATAGAATTTAATTTTGACGGTTATTGACACTAATAAGTAAAAAAACTTAATAACGTCACGAAATCGCAGGTTCACAAGCACAATATGAATATAAGGTGGTAATACATACAGGTTAACACAATATAGAACAGGGCTGCGAATTATTATATAGATAAACTAGCTAACGTCGTCGCTAGCGACGTCGTCCGCTTGAAAATTACCTTTTATTTATTTTTAAATAAAAGTAGCCTCAGTTACCTTTCACAAAATTAACTATTTCCGAGTGGATGACCCGTCAAAAACAGTCCAGTCCTTAACAACTTTAAATTAATAAGAAACAGAACATTTTGTTAAAAATATATTTTGATATTCTTAAATACCAGATATACTTTCATATGCATTTAGTGAAAAGCAGTTAATTTGAAATTATAGAGAGGCACTTCAATTTTATATATTTGTAGCTATAGATATTTTCATAAACAACATACCTATATATTCCAACAAATTGATAGTATTCTTTGTCATTAGATAGCATTTTTCATTAACAAAGAATGTTTATCATTCTTTGTTAAACATTTGCAGAGATAACATTCTACCACCCTATATTGCTTTTTCACTTCTCAAAAATAACAAATAAAAATAAAACCCAATCTAACCAAATTATTGCAGATGCTCTGTCTAACCAATAAATTTCAACAAGAACAATAACAATAGTGCTATAATTGGCGATTGTTGACGAATTATACAACATCCGTATGGCATTGAACGAACTAGCATTCGCGTATTCATGTGGTTTAATGGTTTGAAAACCTGCCACCGCGGTGAAGCGCGGGCGGTAACTGTTTTACCATATTAGGTTGGATACATACGTTCATCTTCTGATTCATATCAAAATAATCAAAACCGACAAAATGCGAGTCGGTCTCGTAACAATGGTTCCGAATTCATATTATAGAGTGTTTTATTTTCATAATTTGTAGACACTAAGATGTATAGCTTTAAGATACAGATCCATGTCTACTCGTAATTAATTTTTCTGTGGTTTAGATAATATATGACTCTATAAAATATAAGCGCTCAACTAAGTTTGGGTTTGTTTTCGTTTTCTTAAAAAACTTTGTAACTAACACTAGTTAGAAACATAATTACAATTTACTATAATGTTTCATGTCCTTATTTCAGACGTATTTGCAAGTAAGTAATATGTATATTGCAAGTAAGAAGTTTTTTTTTTAGTGAACCATATCTAAACATACATATATAACAAATTTCGAATGAACAGCATTTAGAGATATTGCGACGGTCAAAGTAACAAGCAGCATATTTAGTAGTGTGACTAACCATAAAAAGGCTCACCCATACCTACTACAAAATATGCGAATAAAATTATTTTTGCGGCATAAAGACCTTGATGGCAGATTTGATAAGACGATTCTTATAAACCTTAGTATGTGTCACTAAATGATCAAATTTATATATTTTTTTCACTTTCCTTTATTAAGCGATATAATCAATTTGACCATGAACCTTGATATAACATTTAATGCGGTAAATCTAAACTGAAGTACTTCAGAGTAAAGGAACCTTGAAAAAATCAACCTTGATGTATATTGTTACGTATAAAAATAGGTCATAGCTTCCACACACAATATAAATTAACCAGACGTCCCATCGCATGAGATTGCAGTGATAGATAAAGGATCTACGTCTAATATTTTTGTACTAACATTATCAAACAAATTTAGACAACTACTTATGAGATGACGAATTCATCTCATGTGTCCTTGGTGAATTTAGGAATCATTCTAAACACTTCAAAATAGAACTTCTTCGCCGAGTCTAATTTCAAGACTCTTACAATAGACTGTCTTAATAACAAATTTAATACTTTTACAGGAAATATAAACTATATTTCATTGCACTATATTTTTATATATGTTGTAGAACTCTTCATTCAATTTATGTTTGTATTTGTAAGAAAATTAAATGTTTATTTCATATATTTCATATATTTCATGCATATAATTTTGCCTGAACCATTTTCTTTACAGACTGCGCTCGCGATTCAATGATATACTTCCCAGCAAGTGGAAAGACGGTCACGGCGGAGTGTCGGCAGGATGGAAACTACCGGCCTAATCAAAGAGCTGGTGATAAGTATTATTGTGTGGACACCGACGGTTACATGACCAAGGAAGGATTAATGGACGCATGGCCAGCTGATTATTGCTTAAGCTATCAGTAATATCCTACGTCATAAACATCTGTCATCACTACGATCTAATAAGTCCATTTATCACTGCTAAAATATATTTTATATCGCGACATATAAAATAAATATTATACACTACGCTTTCTTATTGATTATTCTCGTTGTACATATAAAAAAAGGTCTGCATTTATAAAACTGTTTGAAAAGACAGCTATATTATAAAAAATAAGTAAATTACATTCTTTTCGTCAAGATATATGTATACTATATTTTATAGTAAAAATTTAACTTTAATCCAAATTATCCCATTACTTTTTTTTCCTACCTTACCTTTATTTTAGATTTTCTTAACTTTCATTTTCTTAGCAGAAATGTTTGCATTTAATAAATTAATCTATTCACTTTACATAAAATACAGTCAATTGTGTACATATAAATACAATGGTTTATTTCACTTAATTTTTACAAGCGCATAATAAATGACTTGACTTTTCTATTCAATCACATACCCATTCTATAGTCTCAAAAAATAAATCACTCTCATAAAACTTCATCATGATCGTTTATACTAACTATTTCAGTTTAGGTTATGTTTTGTCTAGGTCACGAAGTTTTAGCCAGAGTTTTTCATAGTCAATCTACAGATTTATTTAATTAATCTTATTCGTAGAAAAAGCTCATTGTATGTATATAGACTTCTTCAGATAAAACTTCAAATAACACACTACTCAACATTTAAGATCTGGTGTTATGTACAAACACAGTAAAAGTCTACTATACATTGACTTGAAAAGCCCTAGGTTAAACTTACTAACAAGCAAGAACAGAATTCCATCTGTCAATGGCAAACCGCACCGTTCCAATTTTTTATTTTTTATTAGCAATTTGGATGATCGTTACATCTGTTCATTAATCGCAGCAACGACATGTATATACTCGTTCTTGTAAACTGTAAAATAAAACGTATACTAAATATTGTGAGATTATTACTAGGTACACTTAAGACCTTATATCTGTATATTGTCGTCTAAAATATCGTCTTCCATAGTAAAATAATAAAACATTTTTCTGTTTCTACTAAAAATGGAACTGTACCATATGGTACTTGTGAAGTATTAATAATAATTAATTCTAGTATACGCACCGGACTAAAGGGTGCTTGCCGAATTTCTGGAGCTTGGAGTCGCACATGTCACCCGACGCTGGCAAAACGCCGCCCGGTAGTTGTGCGCGATCGCCCATCTGAAACACACGACTTGAATTACTACTGACAGAATGACTGCACCTCGCCGCTACACAGGCAAGGCCGATTGATTGCATTCTGTTGCATTACTTTACCCAATCAAATAGAAACTATCGAAAAACATTATATAGGATTCAATTTACAGCATGAGAAAGAGGGTGGTAGAATATTAATAATAATGGCTTTTTTTATTGCAATCATAGATTGTGTTACACAGTTAAGACTCCCGAACTAGTATAAAATTATACTATATCTCAAGTGTCACTGGTATTGTCAGTAATATAAACTAGCGCCTCGTTTCTATCAATAATAAGAATACAATAATATTCCTGTGCAATTCTCACAGAGCATTCTAATCCCAAGCTAAGCAAAGCTTGTATTATGGGTACTAGACAACTCATAGATATCCTTACATATTTTTTTTACAAATACTTACATAATATACATAGAAAACACACAGACCGATACAATCATAGTTATGAATACAAATGTGTGTACTGTGTGAGGAATCGAAACCGTGACCAAATGAGGTAAAGTGGTGTAATAATTCGTTAGACCACCGAGGCCGTCATATCAATGTTTGTCGATCTCCACGCGGTCAGCCCTAGAAAGCATCGTGGGTAATTCCTATATATACAGCAGAATTTCAAGTGCAACACTTGAAATTTTGCTGGATATATTTTCACCTTGGCCTAACCTGATGCTCTATCTATCATCCGCCAGCATATGCCGTCAGTCTATAGCAATATTATTATTTTCTTTAAAGGATAATCAACCTTCATATCTTGAACTATTAGTGACCTATCTATCGTAAGATTAAAAGTTCTGCCTTCTTTGCAATAAAGATTGCTAACAATTATAAGACAGTACGGTCTTATTATTGTTGGTCTAATATAATATCTATAATAAAAAAAATACAAGTAACTGATCAATATTATTTACGTTAAAATGGTTGTTTATTCTATTAATATATAATTCTATTCTTTTCTATTTGTTAGTTTTTGTGTAAACCACACACACAAATAAAGCATACTTTCTTGCTTTTTCTATATGCAATTTTATAGCATTTCTAGATCCTAACAAGAATTATTATTGATTTGAGGTTGGGTGCTATTCGAATGCGTCTTCAGTATCACATTGTAAACACATTTGACTCGCATTTATAGATTTCGAAGAGTTCGATTTGTTCATCCGCTGAAATTAATGGTCTAAACGGTAAAGTACCTACCTGAATTAATATAATTTTTATTGTAATATCTAGCCACAAAATGCTATTAAAAATTGATTAAATAGAGTTTATTTAAATAAAGTTTTGTTTGTTGTTTTGTTAGCCTGTTCAGAAGTATTCATTATCAACGTATGAGATATGTAATACAATAGTCATAAAAGTCCTTAAATTTACATACTTTTAAAAAACTCTAAACAAAATGTATTAAATACACAATTTTATTAAATTTACGCAGGGTTTCGAAGCAATACTAACTTAAAATACTACAAAACGCGGTAGCGTGGAAAGAGGTCACTGGCTTCGATATAATTTAACATAGGGTTGTGTGTTGGCACCTTAATTTAACATGTAATATCCATTAAAGCGTTCCTGTGACCCGTGTAAATTCACACGGCGCATTTAGTTATTATAAAGCGCACCTTTATAATCTACAGCTACCGCGTTACAATTTATTTTTTCACATAACAATGTCATAATTAAACAAAAGATTGCGTGTTTGCCGAAATATTGTGAGCCGCATCTCGCATATAATTAAGAACGTTGCCACGTTACATTTAAATTGTATTAGTCATAATCTTATCAATTAGTATGTAACTATGTTCAACTTTGCTATGTAGTTTAGTATTCTAATTAATCTTTACATAAGTAGTATAAAATCAAGTCGCTTCCGCTGTCTGTTTGTTTAAAGTACATAAAGGATTTTAATGCACTTTTTAGTTATAGATAGAGTGATTCAAGAGGAAGGTTATATGTATAATACTTGAACACCCGTGCAAAGCCGGGGCAAGTAAATAATTAAGTAGCATAGTTTAATTCAACCATTTGACAAGTAGAGTCTGCGATTGCAACAAAACTAATATTAAACTATGAGTGACATTTACCAAGATATATTAGAAAAAACCCCGAATCGAGTAAGCCATTTCTGAGATTAGCGTGCTCAAACGATTGTGCGTTAAATACACAAAATTTCTAACAACTGTTACGTCGATCTATAATATAACGAAAAATCGTTCTTTCGAATATCCGTTATATTTTTGCTATATTTATTTATATTAGGAAGATTAATGGTATAATTTTGCATGTTATGATCATACTAGCTGATCTGAGCAACTTCGGCTGCGTCACACTTACTTAACATTTATCAGTATATTTCGCCCAATTAACATAATATATTTTTAAATTGTAGTGTATGTATAGTGTTATTCTGATATATAAGTTATATTATCGACTGTAAAGATTCATATTTCATTAAAATCCGTTCAGTAGATTTAGCGTGAAAAAGTAACAAACATCCTCTTATACTTTCGCATTTAATATATTAAGATTATTAAGTATATAAAAATAGATGTTTTAATAATATGTGTGTATGTATGTAATATAATTATCAAAACACTAATTCTATGTCTGTATTTTCTTATTATATATGTCCGTATATTAAAAATATAAAAGTACGTTTATTTTTTAATGGCGGGGTCAATCAATTGCCATGGCATGGTAAAAAATTGGCATAGACATTATTTGAGAACTGTTGTACAATAACACAGAGTATTATATTTTATCGTAGTCAATCTATATTATACCGCGAAACGCGGGTAAGACTACTAACTAAAACTATACTACTAGATCTTCATGCTACTTGGTTAATACAGATCTCAGTTTTTTTTTATATACTTAATTGGAATAGCAAACAAGCTGGATGGTACCTTATAGTAGCCGTCGTCTACATACATGGACTACTTAGTACTAATTGTCACTACATCTACTTTTTAAGTTATTTAGTTACTTCATAATCAAAATAGGAAGCATGAGATGCGCTGAAAGTTACTGTGCAGGACTTGTATGTTCTTTAAACCAGCAGTAGTCATGGAGATTGCAAGCGCCGACCAATATTCCGATTGGCAATAAAAGAGATGAACGAAGTAAGTATACGGCCTATCGTATGAGATAAAAAATACTTATAATTTTTACGATGCTATACGCTCTAAGGATAATTTATTTACTATTTTCTCCGGCAAAAAAAGGGGTTATAACAGATTTTAATCCTTTATCTGGTTGGATTTACAGGTGGGTAACTGTATGTACCCCGTCTTAAAAATAAAATGCAACTACTCATAGATTTTATTGACGTCTTTCAGTTATGTTAGACAGGCTTAAATAAAGTGAACCACTAACGAGCAAAGTCATTGTAAATGGAGTCGAGGGTTGTTGATAGAGGGCCGACGCGCGACGTCGGCAGGGGCTCACACCGTACTATACCTAATCCGCCACTCGGGCACGTTACACAACCCCTTGTGCGCGCACGCGGTGCTCCTGAAATTCGATTGTCGAGTACACATACACGCCAAAGTTATTGATATTTTTAGAAGTACCCCTATGCCGCAAACTCAGTAATTCTGCTGTGGATGAATACCTCAGTTTATTAAAACCATGTTCTATATAGATTTTCTGAGAAATTGAGAATGAACAATCTTAGAGGGCCTACAGTTACAATTTTTTTTCAATGAAGACATTTCTAAATTGATATAAAATTTATAAATGTATCTTTATTTTTTTATATAAGAAACATATCAAACTAGAATATTTTATTTAATTTCTAGTAAGATTTCTATCTATATATCAATAGTTAGTGAAATTTGTAATATAACACCAGATTTAATAAATGATAAAAAATGTACCAATTAAAGTTTTTTATATGTCCTATATCTTGTCATACAGGTCCATTATTAGGTTTTCCTTATAATTTTGACTCCTGTGATTAATAGAATATTATTTTTGGAAATTAACATAGAAGTAGTGTTATATAAAATAAACTATAGGAGCTTTGCATTAAATAATTACAGATTATAATTTAATAAACATTTAAATAAATATAAAAAGATGAAATAATTACATATATGCACAAGTTGAGTTTCATATGAAAAAAAGTGTACAAGTAATATTTTAAGTTACAGCAAATTTATTTAATCAAGATAAAACTGAGCAATACTGTCTTGGGGCAGAATTCCTTGTATTATATTTATTTTATGTAAGACAAATGTATATACTTAAGACAAATTATAAAAAATTACATATATCATGATAATTGACTAAATAGGCAAAATATTATTTATATAAATCTTACAGTACATGTATAAGTTTATTTAATATAGTACATTATTAATTATCATAAGACTTTCAACAATTAAAATAGATTTATTACACAATATTGTGATCTTAGTATTACTCTATAGACCATAAAAATTAGAGTGGTTATTATAATTTCTGATTCTAACGAACCCTCAATAAAAATACTACTGGTATTATTTTGTTTTTCTGCAAATACAAAATTATATAATTTCCCACCTGAAAGTTAAGGTGAAGAAATATATTTAAAATTCACTGCCAATAAACTTAAGTTTCAATCAATATTAGTCTTTTTATAATAGACATTGGAATAGTACTTTCACCTACACTAATAGTTCACATGTACATATTTTATCTATTTTCACTGTGAATAAAGAACCACAAATTAATAATTTAGGTAATGAATCTCTAAGGTTTGAAAATTATGTTTGACTTGTAATCAGATTTGCTAAAAGTAGATTCAGGCATCAGGCAGCCGATACTTGTTTTTAGTTTTTTATTTAAACATAGTAAATTTCAGGAAGATAAATTATTATTACTATTAAAAAACTAAAAAGTTCCCAAATTATATAACAATGAGAAGAAAGGAGAATGTAGACACTATTTAGCAACAAAAATATCATTTATTTAATGTTTTTATTTATTTCAAAAAGTGACTTCCATTTACCTCTTGTCAATCTGTAAACATAACTTGATAATCAGTAGTTAAGAATTTATACATATATTTATGGATTGCTGTTTATCTTTTATTAATTATATATGTTTTATTCTAGATGTTCAAATTTCCACCGATAGTCAAGCACGGCATGACATGGTAGATGGTAATTTAATTGTATATCTCAGAACTGCCTTTCTATTGTATCCTGAAGATAACCCAAGATATTGTCCCATTCAACTTATAACTATAAAAGCGACCACCTCTGGTAGGTAGACGATATTTTTGTTTGGGTTTCTTCAGAGGCCACACACGAAGTTCATACTTTCGTCAATAATAACGGTACTTCAACCCAATAAGAATTTTCAGAACTAAAATTATACAATTAACAGTAAATTATACCTGAGTAAGCAATATACATTTATGAAGCTAACACTGACCTTACAACAGCGTCACGTTTTCTCCAGCTTGGTGTAATCCGGTTTGCCACATCAATGCAAACTCATATCACATAATAAATAACCACAGTTGCACTATTACAGTTGATATTTTTTACTATTCACTTCTAGACAACACGCCCATGATTAGCGTACACAAACAACATTAGAAAGCTAAGTTTCTATGTAGATACATGAAATAAACGTCAATACCCGGGACGCAATCAGCCACCATCAAAAGTGTAATATCATAAACAACTGAAATTTGAGATTGTAGACATGGATAATTTCAGACTATAGCATGTGCGTATCATCGAACAAATATAATAGTGTGTAATACAGGACACTTCATTCAAGAATAAAGTAAAATCACTTATTTTCTTTTTCGTAGTGCTAGTAAACTGTAAATCGGTAGGTATGGCATGTAGGTGATTTGATAATTCTTCGCCACTTGATTCGATCCAGTCAATTCCAGTCACTACAACCACAGATATAGAAGAGTGTGACTACCATTATCCCACAGATTAAATTATTTACAAATACTCAAAGAACTGTGCTATCCTTACGACTAAATAATTGAAGGGATATTTAAAATAATTTGAACCTTATGTGTAATATTAATAAAATACAATTTTATTCTGTTCATGAATTAGTAAAACAAGGTTATTTTATGAAACATGGCGGTAAATCATTCCATCCCTTTCGCACATTTCGCCAATCTATCATATGGCTTCATTAAATTACTGTTTGTAATTGTATTTTATATATGAGTGTATACAAAATATAATATAAATTCAATAAGCCTAAACCATGCTTCTGATTCCTATTAGTCATCGAAGCATTCTGTCACATCAGTTCGTTTTTTTATTGTACTTCTAATTATTCAGAGCTTCCTGTATATATTAATCATTATTTAGTACAAATTTTATTAACTATATATATGTGCGTGGTTGTGAGCTACAAAACATAAAAAAATTAGCAAACATTTTACAATAATTTAGGACCTGCTGATTAAGAAACAACATATTCTTACTGACGAGTATTAAAATAAAAATAAAAACATTAAATACAACTGAATAGGATATATTTTTCTTAAATTGCTCCAACTAAAGAGGTTTTCTGTACCTACAAAATAACACAACATTTCCCTTGTTTTCTCCAGCGTGATTCCATGGAACGTGTTTTATACGCTTTGTGTATGCGTTTTCTGTGCGATTTAAAACCTCTTTTGTTAGAGAATCTCGAATCTTTAGATTGCACCCTGGCACATTCGCAAGGAGAGCCGGCACGGGTGACGGTATCCATCGCACTGGGGCATTTTATTTTGCTCTTAACACATCTACGGTAACATTTGTCTGGTTGAGGACATGGTGCTGGTCGTGGTCTGTGTTTGTGAGCACTGCATGTTGGTGCGGATACACACGGCTTTAAACTCTTGGTAGAATAAACGGCTGAAACATCATCATCATTATCATCACTAGATAGTATTAAAATAAAGACGCTGTCGCAGTCTGTCCCTATGCATATTTAAATCTTCAAAACTACGACACAGATTTTGAAGAGGTTTTTTTAATAAGTAGATAGAGTGATTGAAGAGGAAGGTTTATATATAATATTACATGTACACCCGTACGAAGCCGGGGCGGGTAGCTAGTACCTAATTTAATCAAATAATATTCAGTAATGTACACTCTGTTGAAGAAATAGATATTAAAAGCTTTTTGTATTTTTAAATTTAAAAACATGATAATTTCTGACCACATCTTGGGAAAGATAAATAATTATTAACAATAAAAAATATAATGCGAGAAACAACTGCAGGACACAGAACGCTTACTATCAAACGATCGTATTGTACCAATAAAGTTTCACAAACGGGCACAATAGTTTCGGCCATCACACTTACATACATACCAACTTGCAAAATAAGAATTATTAGCTGAAAAGTAGCTGATAAAAAGGGAGATATTTTTTCTAATTTCTATGAATATGTAAAACAATATTATGAGATCAATGTTACGGCTACGGCCACCCGGTAGGTATATTAATACGAGTATCTATATATTAACTGAACAACAAAACAAATTAGGTAGATTATCATTTTTATATAATTATAACAAAGTGTAAAGTTATTCATACATCAGAATAAGTTTTTATATGTAATTGTGTGTGATGGAATTTGTTTATTTCTAACTAGAAATTTATTATTTTTATTTTAATAACAGTCTTATTATCTGTAGGTAAACAATGAAAATATTATTTCCAACCATTTATAATTACAGTGTTGTGTAGCAGAACTCTAATTTAGTAAGCGCTTGTAGTTTATAATTTCAAAGTATTTCGCAGCATTTTCTTCTTTTGAGACGTCCTCTGTGACCTTTACCCGCACAGCAACTACTTTCCGACCTCGGGTTTCCCTTCTTCCTTGTATATTTTAAATAGGTATTGCTTCCAGTTAATCTATCTTGTTTTCTCATTTGTGATTCCTTTGATTTCCGTTTTAGAAATTTTTCAACTGATGACACATTCCTGGGGTTTGAAATAGACCTAATGAATTTACCACAACTCGAACACTTTGATTTAGATCTCGTCGCCATAATTGAAACTGCGCTTTGACATGGCTTTATGCCTTTTGAAATAGTTCTTTTCAAACATTTTTCCGGATTTTTACAAGGTGGGGGTGTCGGGTGACAACGAACCGGAGTGCATGAAGCTTGCGGTGTACACGGTGGATGTATAGATGGGGCCATTGTTACGATTATGACTCTGCAACATTAACAAGCAGACAGGTATTATTGTGTCATTGATTACAAAAAAATAGTTATTTCGCTTTACATTTATAGCAAAACTACTAATATAAAAGCATTAACACACAATAGAAGCCAGCTACATTAAACAATTTTAACTGCCACTCACCCTCTACTATTACGTTGTAATTATAAAAGCACAGAAATTGAACGTAGACATCATTATTACAATTATATATGGTAGAATAGAACATTAGCGAACAGTAGCGAAAAAGTAGTATAATGTCGCGTGTGATTGTTGATGTCAGTCGGAAACAGACTGAAGGTAGGCAGTACTCACAGTATTTGCTCATGTTATATTGGTAGACACTTCTGGTGCTATAGGTACGCAGAATCTGCACCGGCTTCAAACTTTTACACTAAAGTAAGAAAAAAATAATTTAAAACATTTCTGTCGAGTTATGTGGTGAAACAATTTTTTTTTTGCAATAGATGACGATAGAATCATGCACCATTTCAATTACTAGTAACGGCGCCAATAATCTCCATTACTAACAATTTCTTCCACTCTGGTGAACTAATGCTGGATTTAGATAGTAAAGAAAAAATAAATAAGAAAGAGAATTTGTTTGTTACTTTTCGGTGGGTTAAGAGCACAATTTAATTCGTGATATGCAGCGTACCTATCTACTGCTAGCTATTGTATTATTAGATAGGGAAGAACAAAGACCTACCCATCGTGGGTAATTCCTACACTAATTCCCCGCCAACACTGGCAAGTACACATTAATCTATACCGTTAACGTAGACTGGTGCACCATTTGATAAAGGAGGAACGGGATTGTTAATAGTGTGGCCTGTTGGCTTAATTGGTAGCAATATACCATGACACTCCAAATATAACAAACACCAAAAGGAACCGCGTGGAGGTCAGGTTCCTACAAGGAGTTTGTTACGGTGCACTAACTTACCTGTCCTCATGATCATCTTATCACCCTCCACTAGTACTCGCCAGCATAAACCGTTAGCGCAGACGGATGCATCATTCCATTATCATCAATTAAAAAACCATTCGATATTCATCCATAAATAAAAATTTTGATACCTCCTTAATAATTAGATATTGAAATAAAAAAATACACAATTACGCAGACAACTTTGTACAAAAGTTCAATGCCTGATAATAATAGAGAAACGTACATAATTAAGGATATAGGTAGGCACTTATGCATAGGTATAAAGATTACAGTTTACAGAGACAGATGACAGAACCAGTACCTATGTTTCATTAATGTAATTGAACTTTTGTATGCAGTTGCATTTACTTTTACGAGTAGATAGGACGAGTGGCAGCTTATTTTATTAGTGGCTGGTTTCTAAGACCATTATAAGCAGGTTTCTTTGTACAAAGCTGTCAATAGCTATGTCTACCTATTGTTTAAAAATTTAAGCTTACCCATAATATTTCTAATGCCAAATGTAATGGATGCTGGTAATAATAAACGAACCGTTACTGTTTCATTTCGATATTTTTTTTTATTGAGTTTTGTACACTAACATACAGATTTTACACATTTCGATTTTCTAATTTCAACGTTGACGTTTATCTTATTCTTCTTTAAGTGACGTTGTTTCTTAAATAAGCCACGCAAATAGTCTATATGGGAGAGAGCATTGAGTAATTGTAACTAAATATTCGTCAAATTTTTCCGCAAATACCTACTGCCTACTTTTTCATTCTTGTAGCTCTAGTGGGTACGACAAATACATCTTTCTATATAAAGATGATAGAAATATGACAAAAACTGTCCCTAAACAACATTAAACAGAATAATCGATAGCGAAGAGATCTTTTAGAGATTACCAATTTATAGGTACGTAATCAGCCAGCCAGGCACTATTGCCTCAGAATGTTCGGTAAATACAACACCTAACTATTACCAATGGCCATCCGCCGCTACTCACATATATTGCGATAAATGAACGCAAGAACGCACTTGTCACAATTTTACAAAAAACTTTACTGATATCGAAACGAGCATTTCAATTTTTACCTACATATTTGTATAGTAGGTATATAATAAGTTCTGCATTATGTTTCTATTCTTCTAGAATTTCATTCGAAAAATCAATGCAAACCAATATTTTTAGATGCAGAAATTATAGTATTACAATTTAGTACGGAGTAAAATATTCTTCTTAATATAATATTATTTTTGTAAGGATATACGAGTAATGTCAGATTATGACTATGATATCGGAGTCAATTACTTATGAATAACAACAAATTATATGCAACATAGATAAGCCATTTATTGACATAACGATAACACTAGTAACACTTGCAATAAATAAAAAAATCACATAACATATATGACTATACAACTAAATTTTGAATAAAATATTTATTTAACAAAGATGGTTCAAGTCACAATAACTAAATACTAATAAAATTCAAAATATTACATGTGATAAATATACAACAAACTCGTACAGAATTAACGCAATCCCTGAATCAGATACCAAAGCCATATCACCCATTTTTAATATACTACAGTTTTTAAAAATATATTGTGTAATTGGGTCACAGGAATAGTGGAAAAACATGTTTTACCATAACCTAGTTACGATTAACAGCATGTATTAGTTGTCCTTTACATTAGAAACGAAATAACGTAAAAAATATAATTAATTATTCTAAAATGATATTTACGTGATTAGCGTACAATATTTTCTAATTGGGTATAGAAGGAATATCGGTAATTCTGTAACATGTTGTACATGTCTATTAAAAATATACTCTGTAATGGACCAAATTGTACATAGATTAAATACATTCGGTACAATAATGGTAATAATTTTCAAAAATAAAATAAACATACATAACCGCAATCCCAAAGGTATTCAATTTATTGTGTAGAGCAAGCCACGCAAGCCACAATGTTATACTGAATGTTAACATTTTTAAATTAATAAGAAATTTATCATCGTTAGAATGTCCAACAACTGCCTAAATTCTCTAAGATGAATAATTTATCGATCTCTATACAAGCCAATTTTATTGTCTCTGTAATAATTTAACATTTTATAAAGTCACAACTGTATTTGTATTTTATACAATATTTGTAGGTACGAGCTTTAACCGCGTTTATTTAAATCTCTTAACAAAATAACCACAGCATATTTATATATGCTGTGGTTATTTTGTTAAGAGATTTATTTAATTTTAATGATATAATACTTATGTATTATATCATTAAAATTACTCTACAGTTACTACTAAATCCAATAAGTAAGCAAATATACAATACTGCGGTAATTGTTTACCAAGGTAGTTCTAAGTTAATTTAAACCTTTAATAGTAGTTTAAATTATTATAGACCCATATTTTGTAATATTTAACCGACATAACCATATTCTTTGTTCAATAACATAATTAATCCATTTATATTTTTAATTTTATTTAACATACATAAATAAATGTTTCAATGATAATGCAAATTATATCTATTTTAAACATCATATTTGTTATTTAAATAATATATTACACCATGCAAACGTGATGCTAAGTTGTAGGCTGCAAACATAATTTACTTCGCATACGAATTACAAAGATTTTTTAAATTTATACTTTGTATTTTATACACTTACAATTTATAGCTTAAATTTCGTATTATTATGTCAGTCCTTTTACAGTAGGCAACACCATTTTCCATAATAATAATTGTGATTAATAGTACTAAACAATTATAAATTCAGCAGATGATATTATTAAACATCTCATGGAATGTTATTTGCAAGAATGAAGTTTCCATTGAAAAAATTGCCACTAGAGATTTGGGACTAGGATTTGTCAAATGTATTCTGTTTCTTTAAATCAGTTTATATCATTATTTTAATACTAAAAATTTCAGTGTGGAGATGCAAGTACACTGTTACAGAGTAAACTTTGACTTTAGATACTCTCAAACCAGATTTATACATTTGACTACCGTAAATAGACTACTAAAACCATAATAATCAATAGAACAAATAATTTAAACAATATTAAGGTGACCAACTATACTCATTTACTGAGTTTTGTACTCTTTTTTCGCAAACATGTACTCTGAAAGCACTCAATTGTATAATTTTATACTCATTTGAAGTAAAAGTAAATTTATGTTTAAATGAAGAAATATTTAAGAAATGGAATGATGAGAAAATAGAACTTGACTAAAGACGGGTAGAAATCTGTCGGCATTTTAGAGTAGAATATTGGCATTTAAAAGTAAATTTTAATATAAATTTCCTTATGTTGTCCAGGCACTAATGCTGTTGTTGAATTTTCACTAGGGAATGATTATTGTATTTGATTAGTGAGAAGTCGCAACTTTCTGTAAAAACATTATTTGCCGTCTTAACAGTCAAATTTAATATGCAAAATGAAATTTGTTCGGATGTGGCTACATTATTAGACAAATATCCTCATTTATCAAAAAAATTCCACTCCGAAGACAAATCTGTTTTTAGAAGAAAATAAAGTTTTTATTGTTATTTCTTCTTTTCTTTTCACCTATGAAATACTTGCAAAGTGTACTATTTTTGAACAAAAAACAGTTGGTCACCTTAACAATATAGATAATTAATTTTCTGTCTCTTAATGTAATATACACTGTAATATGATAAAATATATAGCATAGTGTATATCGAATTAGCAAATCAGTTCCATTCTTCTATAGTGAAGCAAAAACTACATACAAGAATATAAATAGGCAAAAGCGATATATAGCAATTGTCAGTTTTTTTGAGGCGCAATTTCCAAAATACGGTCATTCAAATTTCAGCGTGGTCTGGATTTTGAAAATCATCGTACTTTGGAGGGGCAGAAACCTTTGCTTTTATATCAGTGTTCTTACGGCAGTAAAATGTATAGTCTCTACTGTATTCCTAGTGGAGCTTATAATGGAAGTTCCTAATGAGAAATCATATTTTAACCGTGAAATAATTGTGTATGTATAAACATTGGAATAAAAAATAACTCTAGACACTTTGATTAGTATCTTTTTTCGAAGCCATGTGAAAATGAGGACAGTGCATTAGTTTTCTTTCTTTGATGTCGACTCCTGATAAGTTGGTGGTTGATCCTGTGAAATCACATTTTGAAAATAAATAAATACTCTACGCGTTTAATAAGGTAGTGAACAAAAGTAAGACAGAACATAGCACAGTGTCCTTTGTTATATAATCGGAATGGGAAACAAGCTGGCCTACCTGATAGTAAGCAGTAACCATTGACTATATACTTGAACAGCATTAAAAAAAGTCATATTGGCAGTTATCACCCGCGATACCCTTACAGAGGTCTAAGATGTCTTGTATTTTATCCTGTAATTTCTCTGACTGGCGGCTGAAGTAGGAGAAAGGTTCTCTTTAAAGTAGTAGACTTTAGCTGCAAGTTTCTTTTGTTTATTACAATGTATTTTTTTTAGGAATTACTAGAAATCATCGACTGACTATTCTTTGTCTTTTTCTCTTTTTGGAAATTCCAAAACATTAGGATCGTTTATAGATAAGTAGAAATTAGATATTAGCGTTATCTTTGACAGACTCTAAAAGATAATAAAAATCAGATACGCGAACTCTCCCTATCAATATTTTTGTACCTTTTAAAGGATTCCGTACAATAAAAGTAATTTGCAAAAATATTCTACTCCAAAGATGTCCTATTTTATATCTAAGATACATATTGTACTTACATTATAAGGTGGTGGAACATAAGCAGTTTGTGGCCTGTTGGGGTCGTAATAAGCGCTCTGGGCTGCCTCCGCCGCTTTAGCATCTGGAAACATCAAGTAATCTACTGCAACTATCTGCAAAATACTTTATATATACAACGAAATCCTAAAGGCAACTGATTCTATTTCTCTAATTAACTAATTTCTAGCTACATATATAACATAGCTTATATAACACGCTATAACACTATAAAATAAATAAAGCTAAATTACATATAAGGCTACTCACACAGGAGCCTCGGCATGAACTGTTTTGAAGTATGAAATTTTTTGCATCAAATTGGGTATTAGTATCAAATTTCAAATACCACATTATATATTGGTATAGAATTTAGAATTTAAATGAGTTATGCTTGTTCTCACCGCTTGCAGACATGCCGGCCGTGGCTCCTGGTACTGAAAACCCGCCCGGATAACCGGGCGGCATCGACGGATTACCCGGGTAACCTGGCGGCATCGAGGCGTTACCCGGGTAACCTGGAGGTGCGTTAGGAGCGTAGCCCCCACCTGCCGTTGAGGGTGATGGGCCGCCCGAGAAACCAGCACCTGGGGGATAGTTCACGCCGGATACGCCCGGGTATGGTGGAGGGTTGTCCGACACAAACACCGAATTTGGTGGCGGTTGGTTGGGGAATGCCTGTAAAATTAAATTTTAGTATACTTTATTCTAGATTGTGATATTCTGTGTACCGTTCTTCTATTCACATTGTGCACGACGGCCATATTGCATATTAAGTCTATAAAAAATAATGACTATTAAGAGAACATGCTCAAATGCATAAAAGTATATAACATTATATACATATTCATTACAGCTTTTAAATCAATAAAATGTTTTAACAATATATTTTATATTTTAACAAGGTCACAATTTGAATCCTCTTACTGGGTGAACTTAATATCATCCACATAATTTGTAATATTACATTAAGATGTATTTGATTAGTACTATAATTCAAAATTATATTTTGTAATGATTACAAATTAACAAAATGTAACAGACAGTAAATGCAAAAAATAATTCAATAACCAGTGCTCTCTTGACTTTAAATGAGAAAGCTGAAAAAATATTATTACTCTGTAGCCTAAATTTGTATGATGAATATTATTTTCTGTATTACACCTTGTACCATTAAACACTACATGAAATTGTGAACATATTATATACAACTATGAAGTGGTTATTGCTGTATTACCTACATACATTAATATTTTATAATTGAATAATGAAATCTGATAAAGTTTATTAATAATAATAAAGCTGTTAGGAATGGTGAACTTTCTTTAGTAATTGAAAGGTAACCTACTTTAATATCCTTTATTTCAAACCCTACCTACACTGATAATTTTAAGAGGAATTCATTATTCATTCAGGACAAGACAATTGCTAGTATCCTATAAAATAACTATAACTCTTTATATTTAATGGGTAGTACTATTATAATACTAACACTGTATGGTGGTACCCATCCGTAGTAGCCCTGAGGTGGTGGAGCATAGGCAGGAGGTGGCGCAGCATACCACGGGCCTGTCGGTGGCGAGTAAGGCGGCGGTGTCGCGCCAGGCGCCAAGTGTCTCGAAGCTGTGTTACAATATTTATTATCTACTCATATTTTTACTACTTATACAAGATTTAGTTATCCTTCGGTATTATTATTATTCCTTGTGATAGGTGTCACACTACATACACTTTCATACATTTGATTATAACTGGGCTTATCTATACCTATTATAAAACTAAGCTCCCACATGTCTGTCCATATGTTTCTGATAACATCAAAAATTACTAAACAGATTTTCATGTGGTATTCCTATGAACAGAGTATTTCCTGGTAAATTTAGGTGTTCACATTTTGCGTAAATTAACTGAATTACCAGAATTGGCGGGACCAACATGGAGAAGGAAGGCATTGGACAGAGGAGCCTGGAGTCTTTTGGAGGAGACCTATGTCTTGGGACAAGCTGATGATTGTCAGCACAAAGGCTATAAGTGATAAAAATAAATAAACTGAATTACTGCTATAGTCGCTAGTAGAATATATATTGAGAATTAAACTGATTAAGGATATTGATTTTTTAAAAAGCAAGTTTTGGTTAAATCTGTACTATTAATATCACCTAAAACATGCAAAAATCATGATTAGTTATTATTTTTTATGATTTTAAAATGCCCCTTATATTATTACTGCATAAATAAATGAAAAATAGTTATTTTTTTTATTGTTATTATCAGAAAAGTAGCAGATTATAAGATGATGATTCATAACAGTTATTATAGTATTATTCCAGAACTTACCAAGATGGGCTGCTTTCAGCATGGCCTGGCCGAATTCAATAGCTCCACCTGATTTGAATGTCAGTTTAAATTTCACTTCACCAATAAAATTACCATTCGCTTGGGCTCGCACTTTTCCTTTAATATAATTTGCTGAAAACATAGGCTGTTCAACTGTTACCTGGAAACATAAATAGAGTGAAAATATATGCCTACAATAATAACAAAAACTCCAATCAACTCTTGTAAATAATTTTTTATAAATAATTTAAGTACTTAATCATTGTATTTTAAGTCCAATAATTATGATCAATAATTTTAGATGTTAATAAAAATAAATGAGTAAATTAAAACAAAGGATACTTATTAATAAACTAGTAAAAATCAAATGAACTACAAAAATAATATAATAGCTTACTTACATCTTGCAAAGCAATAAATGGAAAACTGAATGACCTCATGGGATCTGTGTTTGCCTTGGAATTGTAGATCATTCTGTGAGTGGTAAGATACATGCGACCATTCTTAACACCCTTGAATTCAGCTGTATCATTACCATAAAACTCCACTGTCACATTGTCAGAAAAGAGTATAATACTGTAAAAAATTAATTAAAAGTGGCTCAGTAAAGACATATTGTAAAATTATAGAGAAGAAAAACATTTTTTATACATATATAAGCATTAGATTGGAACTGTTCCTACAACTTTTTTGTTTATCCAGAATCACAATCAGTACTATAATTTTGGATTGTTTGATAGATAAACAGGTAAATAATCAGTAGTGCCCTGTAATTTGAGCTTGTACTAACACAATTTTATTGATGTTATACTATAGAAATGTTTTTCGAGCAAATTAAATGGGGAATCTAATATCATCTTGACTTTGCTATGTTTTTAGCATGGTTTATCTACTAAATTTGGATACTACTGTGGCTATACTCATTTGTTATTCTGATTCTGCAGACAAATTTCAGAGTTGCGCATATTAATAAATTTAATCATAATTGTTCCAATACAGCTTATAAATTCAAATTTTACCACATGTGCTTATTATTTCCTGCATTGCATTAAGAAATTGTCATAATAAGAATACTGTATTTCTAAAATATCACGTAAATTAATCATTATGATATGGAAGTTTGTGGAGTGTTCTTTATCGTCAATGACTCACCCTTCTCCGGCGTGTATCAAAACACCGTGATCAGCGTGAGCTGTATTAAGTGACATGATTAAGTTAAAACCTGTCTCCAAAAATGAAACAATCGATTAAATACCAGTATACAAAAAACAACGTTACAATTAAATGTTGAAAAACTAGTATTCACTTTTGTCTTTATGTATGAACACTAAAAACAAATATAAAATTTAATCAACTAAGCGTCATGCGTATGACTGACATTAAATTGACATAACAATATGACAGAATTTTGCAGATTTTGCTCCATATTGCATTTTTAAGTCGCGTAATCTCTGTTTTTAAAATAGTCTGTGTACGTACTTTTCTAAAATCTAGTCTGTGGCTCAATATTGGTGTTCTGTGCTGTGGCTAGTTCAAATTACGAATTCAAAAACAAGGCGGCATTGGCATATATATTTTTATAGTGTTTATTACTTTTGTTATTTTTTAACAATGATTTAATTGCTACATTTTTTTATATTTGTTTTTGCAAACTGGCAAACTATCTTTTTTACTTGTTTAATAATCAATTCGAAATATATTTTTTAATAGATAGTACATTAGAAAGTTTACTTATTATCATGGACTCTGAAGCGGTAGAGCATTCTATTAAGCCTATTAACGTGGACACAGTACATAAAATATGTTCTGGACAAGTAAGTTTTAGAAACACACCATCGCCTCCTTATATTTTTCATATTTCATTTAATGTATTTGTATATCCTTTTGCAGTAATGTTTTACGCTGGTCGAGATAATATGGAGAGTTGTTAAGATGAGAATGAAGTAGCAGGTTTACCAGAAATTAACCACAATGGTTGCCAATGAGACCGCATAGAGGTCTACCTAATACAGTATATTGCAAACAAGTACAATGATAGCAAGGCGGGCACTAGTTCCTGATACTAGTAATTCCCTCCACCCCCCACTTATCATGTATACTTATATGTAACTTTTCATTTTAAACATATTTATCAAAAAAAATCCCTGTAACTGTATACTATATCATGGTAACTGGAGTGAGCCACTCCAGTTACCATGAAATGCCCTCACAACTAAAGCTATCCAGAAATTTGTTATATTATTACGGATAGGGATAATATACTAGGAAACGTTTTATTCCAGTTAATCAACATAATCTCTTAATACTTTTTTTGTTACTTATGTTTAATATGAAAATTTGGAAAGTGAAAAAACCTTCACTGGTGCCCAGTTATTAGTAATAGTTGTACCAGTATATACCATTGCTCCATTATATTTGTATTTATTCAAAAATTCCCTTTCAATAACCTTTTATTCCTCTCAGCTCCCTAATCCTAATAATTGACATGAAGTAAATTACTACAAATACAATAATATAACTCATTATATTTAATATATATTTATTTATGAATAATTATTTAATCAGTACTATTATGAACTACAATAACAATAATTGACGTAACAATTTTAGGTTTATTATAAATGCTAACTGTTCACAGGTAGTGCTCAGTCTGGCTGTTGCGGTTAAAGAATTGGTTGAAAATTCACTGGATGCTGGTGCTACGGTCATAGATGTAAGATTAAAAAATTATGGCATTGAATTAATAGAAGTTTCGGACAATGGTACTGGAGTTACAGAAGATAATTTCACTGCACTGAGTAAGTATATTATGTAAGTAAGTATATATCATAAGCCTAATTACTATTTATTCAATATTTTACAAAGTCCTTTATATATTTTTATACTTACCCAACCTAGAAATAATGCCAATAATAAAATAGTCGAGGTGTAAATAATACAGACTTGTGATTTCATTTACAACCTTTAGAAAGTAAAGTACTATTACTAACTAATCTTAAAATTGTTTAGAGACAACATATTATTTTTTTTGTTATTACATGTTTTACTTTATTATTAATCTATCAACTAATATGAAATTATTGAGCAGAATTAATATATTTTAATATTGGACTACTTAAATCAATTACATAGTTTAATTTTTCAGCTTTGAAATATCATACATCTAAACTTAGTGATTACTCAGACCTTTTGGGTGTAACAAGTTTTGGATTCAGAGGAGAAGCTTTAAGTTCACTTTGTGCATTAGCAGATCTTACAATTACTACGAGACACAAGAGTTGTGAATATGGTAAATAATTTGTTTTATTAGTATTATGTTGTTGAATATAATCTGATATAAAGCACATTTTACTGGTGTAAACTATAAAAATTTCTGACAATATAAATATTTTTGTTTTCAGCAACTAAAATAGAATATGACCATAAAGGCAATATAACCAAAAAGACCCCATGCTCACGTCAAATAGGAACAACAGTCAGTTTATCCAATCTTTTCACATCTCTCCCTGTCCGCCTAAAAGAGTTTCATAAAAATGCAAAGAGAGAGTTCAATAAGATGACCCAGTTACTTTATGCATATTGCTTGATATCTTTAGGAGTAAAGTAAGTCTGTGAAACATTCTATAGAAGTAAAATTACTAATTAAATTATTTCACAATCCTATTGGCTTCACTTGTTTTGTGTTGTGATTTTATTTAATATAAGGTGTCTATCATATGCAAAAAATAATTAGAATTATATTTTTTCAGAATAACTTGTAGTAACCAAACAAGTGCCAATTCAAAATCACTAGCTGTAGCAACTCAAGGCTCCATGTCATATAAAGATAACATTGCTTGTATATTTGGGTTAAAGCAATTGCAAAATATTTTAGAAATCAAACCAGAAGGTACTACAAATATAAAAGATAATATATTTAAAGGATTGTCTGGTGAAGTGCAATCTTCTGAAGATAATTTTGACATAGAAGATATAGAAATAGATTTATCTGAAGACTCTAACGAAGCAGACAATACTGTACAAAACAATTCACAAGAAAGTATAACAAATTCACAAAAATCATTTGGTTATAAAAATATTGGCAAACCTGTAGAATTTACTGGATATATATCTTCATGTGCACATGGAAATGGTAGGTCAAGCACTGACAGACAATTTTTCTATGTTAACTCTAGACCTTGTGAACCAAGTAAGGTAATAAAGCTGATTAATGAAATATACAGGCAGTATAACTCTAATCAGTATCCATTCGTATTTCTCAATATAAACACTGAAAGAACATCTATTGATATAAATGTTACACCAGATAAAAGAAAAATATTTTTGATAAAGGAAAAGATTATATTAGATACATTAAAAATGTCTTTATTAAAATTATTTGAAAGTATACCAAGAACTCTAAAAGTAGACCCAATAAATAATTTAATTAGTGAAGGTTCAAATAATCTGAAACCTGAGATGAGTCAACCTAGAATTTTCAATTCATTCTTACAGCAGTTTAGTAGTAAATCTAAAAATACTTGTGAACTACCACAAAACATAAGTAGTAATGATAAAAAAGAATTAAAAAGGAAATCCACTTCAATATTAGAATTTGTATCAACTAAGTCAATGAAAAAAGGATTGGATACCAGTGATGACTTAGAAATCAAATTAGAAGAAAAGAAATCATTAACAGATAATGTAATTAACAAATCAGAAAAATCTAACACATGTATATCTGTAAAAGAAGAAAGCATTAATTATGTAGGAGACAGTGAAAATATAATTTATTTGGAAAGTACTGACAATTTACCAAATACTCAAATTAGGAATTTAAATGATGTTATTATAGAAAGAGAACACACTATAAAATGCAAAACGACGAAAGCTACTGCAAATAATAGTTCTGTAGAAAAAAATATTAGAACAAAAATAGTGACTGACAAAGAGGATTTGGGAAATCACAATAGAAGATCAATTAACATGAAAACATCTTTGGATGAAATTAAGTTATTAGCTAATATTTATAATAAATTTAATTGTATCAAATCAATACCTGAAAAAATTAAGTTTAAAAGTAAAATCAATCCAGTCCACAACAAAACATGTGAAGAAGAATTGAGTAGAGAAATATCAAAATACTCTTTTAAGGAAATGAGTGTAGTAGGGCAATTTAATTTAGGTTTCATTATAACTAAGTTAGGTGATGATCTTTTTATTATTGATCAACATGCAACTGACGAAATATATAATTTTGAGACATTACAAAAAAATACAGAACTCACTAATCAGAAACTTGTTATGTAAGTATTTGTTTGTTTTGATTGATTGTGTAAATGAGTAATATTCTGCTCAATCCAATAAGATGTGTTATCGATTGCTTAAATTTCAGAGGATTGCACAATAGAATACCATTAAAACATTTTTGAAAAAAAGAAATAAATTAGCCAAAAGAGTTTTGGATTTTTCATGTCATAATTAAGTATTATATTTTCAGCCCAAAGCAATTAGATCTTACAAGTATCAATGAACAAATATTAATGGATAATTTAGTTGTTTTTAAGAAAAATGGATATACATTTGATATTAATGAAAATGCACCACCAACGAAAAGAGTTAAACTTCTGACTATACCAATGTTTAAAAACTGGGTCTTTGGGAAAGAAGATATTGAAGAACTTCTATTTATGTTGAGGGTGAGCTTTTAATCTGTTACTGTTTTGTGACTTGTATTCAATATTTCTGTCAACAGTTGTTATTTCTATCTAAAATTTTGCCCTCTAGGGTTTAATTGTTGTATCTAATTCTGTATTCAATTATGTTGACATATCTTATACCTATAATTATAACGTACATTAAAGTACGCCTTCAATTCTCTAATTGATTTATAAGTAATTTTTAGCAGAACAAACGATGTTTTCGTATTTACAGGAATCACCATCAGAATATTGTAGGCCTAGTAGAGTCAGAGCAATGTTTGCATCGAGAGCATGTCGAAAATCTGTTATGATTGGAACAGCACTAAGTAAATCTGATATGAAAAAGCTTGTAGATCACATGGCGGAAATCGAGAAACCATGGGTAATGTACAATTAACATAGTATACGTTATAGCAATAGTGTTATGTTCCTCTATTACTTATAACTAACAGTCATACCCGCCTGCATTTTTTTGCGGCACATGCAGATTTTTTTTTTATTTCCATGTGAATTTACTTTTATATTAAATGAATAGCCTTAACGAGCCTGCCACATTAAATTCAAAATATATCGAGCCAAATATGAGCACATGAGAATATGTCAATTGTTGCGTTCACCACAACATCAACAGTTGACAATTATTCTAACTACTGCACCTAGGATGACAGTCGTGATGAATAAAAATTTAAGTGCCTATAATAATATTACAATTCCTTATTGTTCCAGAACTGTCCACATGGAAGACCTACAATAAGACATTTAGTTAATCTTGCTATGATACATACAAATAATGATGCATGATTTCATCGAGTAACCCATACTCTTTTGTATAATAACTGTTTTTGTTGTATTAATTATTAAATCATGGTTAATATTTAAGTGAAATAAATTAAAAGATCTGCCTAAATTTTTTTTTATTTCATACACTGATTGTTTTGAAAATATTGAACCCCGTGTGAGCAGTAGTCACTATTACTCCTGGTATTTGTTTGTGCCAATGTAATTCTTTTATGTCATTTTGACCTTGATGGATAAAGAGTAATTGTGGAGGCAGATTCTGTAAAAAAAAATACACATCCATCTTAGAATTTAGAATATTTATAACAGAGTTATTTTGGGAGGAAGAAATTGTAATGAGGTCTAATGATCCCATTGCTAGCAATGCACTAAGTCAACTTGATCTCCATGTGGTTCGCCCTAGAAAGCATCATGATAAATTCCTCGTGAATTGGTCACGATTGGCCAACTAACCTGACCTCTTGCTGATCCTATCATCCTCCACTGCCAGCGTAAATCGAAAGCGCACGCTGTTGTACCATTCCATAATACCCAATTTAAAAAGCAGTCTGCTTATTATACTAAGCAATTTAATTATTTTGTGAAAATACAGAATAATGTTCTACCCTCCATGTAGATACGTATGCGATGCTATACAATGTATATACTTTCATAATAAAAATAATATTATATTTTTGTTAACTAATTATAACCTTAATTATAAGATCAGATTTGTAAGAAAGGCTAATTATTTTGAGAATTTTCCTCAATTTAAATGTTTGGGGAAATCTAAGTATCGGTATTGAAAAATGTTGTAAAAACGGGGAAAATGTAACACAGACGAATTTAGGCGGATCAGGTAGTACACAATAGATCCATTTGTATAGCGCTTTGTCCTGTAGTTTTTAGTACACGATATAAATACTTTAAAAAAAGTTAAACAATTATATACCTTAAGTTCTTCATCAATGATTTCGTCGTCATCACGCTCGACTGCTAGGTCCCAAAGTGCAACTTGATTGTCCTCTCCAGCCGAGGCCAAAACACTGGGCTCAGTCCAGTGCCATTCAACTGACGTAACTGGCGCAGTGTGGTGTTTAAATGTACCGACTGGGGTACTAGTGGTAAATTGTCTCAAATCCCATATGTGAAGAAAGCCATCGTCACCACCTGAAGAGATTGTTATAGTTTGTTTGTTTGAAATTAACTTAAAAATAGGAAATTATTCTTCTTTGCCCACACAGAATAACAGCACTGTGACAGTAAGTTGTCACAGCATATGCTGAGTGTTGCATATTGGTATTTTATATAACATATATAAAACATTTTGTATAGTCTTATATTTCTCGTCTTTATGTATAGTCTATATGTTATATTTGGTTTTTTTAAATCATATTATTGATTGACAATCAATTTCTTTTCTTCTTTTTGTAGAGTTACTTTTGTATTTATTTAACATTAGTTTTGTCAGTATTTACCTCATACCTGGCTATAATTTATTAATATTGTTTTAGTTTGATGTTAAAACATACTAAATCATAATTACCGCTGGCTATAAACGGCTCTTTGCTGTTCCAGGATATGACGTTGATATCACTTTCATGTGCGTTGTTTGCTGTGAGCATGCAAGCTTTGTGGGGTGCTGCTCGCGTGTCCCATATTCTTATTGTTTTATCCACAGAACATGTTGCCAACACATTTCTAAAAACATATATTTATGGGCTATAATGAACTGTCGCTTAAATCTCTTATAAAAGCTTTACATATAATAAAATTGTAAAAACACGAAAACGACAAAAGGAGAAAACTTTTCTTGATTTTTTTTATTGGATATAGGAATGGAATACATGCTTGCTCTAATGATCAGTTTAGCATACTGCTTTACTTCCTAGGGTTAAAAGTTTGATTCTTTGCATGTACAAAATCCTTTTATTTAAGAAAACATCCAGATTGATTCAGACAGTCACAGTCGCATGACTGACTGTTTGAATCAATCTGGGTGATTTCTATATAAATTATGTATAAAATTAGATAAAAAAAATTTAATTATGTATATTAATTGTGTAGTACCCATAACAAAAGCTCTACTTAACTTGGGAGTAGATGGCACTGAATTGTTCTGGGTTATTATTATTATATATACACAATTTGAATCGAAATTCAAACTGTCTTAAAATATAAATTATAATTATTACCGTTCATTAGGTGACCATTGTATATCTTCAACAGAGCTAGTATGACCTACAAGAGGCCTTTGGTCTACATCCCATGTGCCTGCTTCATTTGGTTTCCAAATATGTATATCCCTCCTGCAGTCACCTGTTGCCAAAACCTGTGAAATGGCAAATTTAGCTATATTGAAAAAAAAATGTAATACAGTCAACCCTCCTATAACGCGGTACTCTCAGAACGCGGTTTCCATATAACGCGGAGCTAAAATTGCGACAGCCCTCCTATAACGCGGTACTCTTACAGCGCGGTTTCCGTTCAACAACGTCCCATCAGTTCTTTCCGTGCACCCAATGAATGGTTTTAACTGGATATGTTTATATCAGCGTGGTTCACGGGTGGGGCTCCTCATGCGCTATCTTCCACTTCTATTAACTAAATAGTTTCGCATCGACAGCGTGCCATGCGTGTGTGTGTCTAACGAAACTGTAACATGAAAGATATATATGTGATCTTTTGACTACATTGTCGCGTGAACTATAGAAAAACTACGTTCTGCTTATGTCTTAGCCGCTTAAAACCAATGTGAAGATCAACCAAGTGAGGAAGACATTTTGCCCATTAAAAGAAGGCGAGTTAGGCGACTCATATCTGACAGTGAGGATGAGTGTTGAAAGATTACATCATTTTACAAAAGTCTTTGTTTTGTTTTTGTTGGAAAACAGTTTTTTAGTTTAGTTTTTGTTTCATTTTTTTCATCATCAAATAATTTATAATTTATCTTGTCTTTTGTATTTATTGGTCTCCATATAACGCGGTACGAATGATGTGATTTGTACTTATTCTGAGTCTCTTGTAGCGCGGTTTCCATACAACGCGGTAGACGGTTTCCATAGAACGCGCTACGAATTAGCCTGGTTTGTATGGTTAAATCCGAGTTTCTTATAGCGCGGTTTCCATACAACGCGGTACGCACTCACCGCGTTATAGGAGGGTGGACTGTACACAGCTTTTTTAATTTAATAATTTAGCAAATTTGACTTAATACAAACATTTGTATGTATGGTTGTTTAAATTGTTTTCTATATAATTAATTTTTCTATCTATTGTTTAGTACTTATAAAACAAACTCTGATTAGTTTGACATAAAATGGCATTGTGTATAACAATAATAATAATACAATTTGTCGTTATTATTATATCAACAATAACATTACTCATTTTAATAAGAAAAAGTGGGAAACATCATAAATCATAAAAATACCATTATTATATAAGCAGATAAACATTGTGTATGCCTAAACAAAAGCAATAAACTAAAACTGTGTGGGCACTTACACCAGGTTCTGATGCACACCAATCAATGGCAAAACCTTCCTGCTGGTGGCCATTGAAGGAGTATACAGGTTTAACAGGATTTGTTACGGTGTCTAGATTATATCTTTCTAGTAGTACTGGATCATCTACAGCTTGTAATTGTTGTGTTACATTCCAGATGTCTACCCTGCCCAATTCAGACCAACTTGCTGCAAGTACAGAATTCTTGAAATTTGCTGTCTGTAATTGAAATTGTTAGACTGTAGAAGATACCTATTTATTACTACACTGTACTATTAAATAGTACATCCAAGACAAATCATATTACAGGCCGTAAAAAACCATGTCGGATCCGATGGACCAGCCATTTGGTATTGATATAATTGTCGTAAAAAAATATAGTACTGCTTACTTTTTTACATCCCTATCGGATCCGACATGGTTTTTTACGGTCTGTAAAAATAGTTAGTTTATAAAAAATGCTGTAAAAGTTAGTATTACACAATTAAACTACAAAGGGATTTTCTTTTATAAATGTTGATGTTAATTCACATTATTTATATAGTTAATCAGGTCTTAACATAATTTATTTTATGGTATAAAGGTAAATTTACCATCATATTATCTCTCTTGCAAAGAGATTGCCCTTGGTTACCTAACTATGCGTTAGGTAACCAAGGGCCCCAGGGCAAATAAAAAAATGGGCCCTACATTAAAGTTTTATTAAAACTCACATATCACTATCCATTACATTGACAACTCTGCCAACCCACAGAAAGAATTTATGGGAATTTTAAAGGTATAGCTTTTCAATTTCATTCATCTGATTTGCCATGATTAAAGTTGAAATTTTCAACAGTCCAGTTCGATCAAGATTTTCAGCTAAGGGTTCGAGGGCCCCAGGGCACTGCCCCGCCTAGCCCCTATGAAGCTCTGCCGTTACTCTCTTGAATTTCGACTATGTTGTACTAGATATGGTCATGAACTGACTGTGGAGAATAGCTTTTGAACTGTCAGTAGGTGCCAATAGATTTTCTTATACGGTCACAAAATTGTTCAATGAACTGCTGAGTGCACACTGCACTCAGCAGTTCATTGAACAATTTTGTGATAACAAACTCATGATATCCAGATACTTATTGATTGACTGTAATTGAAATTTGTTTAAACTTATGTATCACTAGAATCCATGCAGATGATTACAAACTATCCTCTCAGCAGAAATTAGTATTTTTAAATTTCTATACCCTTCCTATCTGCTCAATGCTTGAACAAATCATTAATTATTATTAATGATTTGTTCAAGCATTAAGCATGATTGGCAATCACAAAACTGTGAAGTAATCGTAGAAACTAGTTGAAATGTCGAGAGAAATACCTTTATTTATTTATGACCCAATTAAGTACAATAATAATGTAAGTCATGTATAAAAAATAAGATTTAATTATAGAGCAATTAGATTTATTACTTAATAATAAAAACCAACTGAAAATCAGAAATAAATTTCAATCTTTTCACATACAAAATTTATCATAATCAAAGATTTCTCTTACACTTGCTATCATTGAGTCTGTACTGTCTACAACAAACCCTATACAACAAAGAGAAATAGTACAAATAATATAATATTACACACCCTTATTCTGTTAACACAGCCCTGATGTTTAATGAATGAGAATGTCATTTGAGGTTTCTTCTCCTCATCTTCCTCTTCATCGTCATCTTCATCGTCAGATTCCTCATCATCCTCACCTTTTGAAGTAGAATGTAAGTTTGACATTTTTATTACCAATAAACTGAAATTAAATTAAAAACATGGAAGAATGAAGAGTTAAATTACAGCTTATAACTTATGAATAATTTGAATTGAGATAAGTAGAGACAGCTTGTATCCTGGCAGGTAGCCTTTTTTTCTAAGTGTTAAAAGTGTATACTACTAAATATATAAATCTTGCAAAATATATAATCAAAAACAATTAAATTATCAACTGCTAATTGTAAGTGTATAACTACAAAATCATTGCACCTATAAGATATACATAAAAATACAAAAGATTTTGTTTGTTTGTTTCTCTAATTAATGGAAAAAATCTTTGTGAAAGAAATTATTGAAAAATCTATTACTTATTTAAATGTGCACTTGAAGCCTGGGTGCCGGCAATTAAGTATGCCGACATAGGATATTGATCTCGATCATATCCCAAATTGTCTGTTATAATATCGAAACTAAGACACGGGGCGCCGGTTTGGGCCTGATGAAGCATCACATAAGCGGATTGGTCACAGACTAGTTGCTCTCCATCCTTTAAAGGATCTCCTGGAAGATAAGTTTTAGGCGCTTCTCCATTATTATCTTCTTCTTCCTCCATATCATTATCTTCACTTTCACTGCTGCTGGCATCCATTTGTTCTTCCATATTATTCGACATAGTACAAGAAAGCAAACCTTTACTAAAATAAAATAATATTTTCTAATAGCAAGTAAATTGGTATATAAGGTTTCAACCGAACAAAATCAGTGAATATTATAATTAGTCAGTAGTCTCCGTAGTTAACGTTTCTCAAACAAATTTTATGATAACATGCTGAAAATAAGGTTAGGAATGGGAAGTAGAAAATAAATTCGCTATGACAGTTGACAGTTCCTGACAGATTCAATAGTGCTGCACATATTTTTTAATTCACTCATAACAAATATAAATTGCTATATAGAGTACTCGATTGAATTCGTCAAACTTGCGAACTCGCGTTAGTGGCAATTTATATATAATAATTCTGTATTTTTGTAAGTACATATTATTATAGGTACGTGATTGTTTAACATATGGATATTGTCAATGAACCAACGATATACAACGCCAAGTAAAATATTTTAAACGTAAAGTTACCCTTGTTTTATTAATAATAGTAATTTTAAAAAATTTGTTTGTCATTAATCTTACAAATGGAATCTCAGTCGCCATAAAATTAACAGGTTATTGGAGTTGCTTCTTATTGGACTTAACCATGTGATTTTAAATCTAAGGAACGATTAGAGTCATAGATATAATAATAAAGTTACTCGATTTCTTTGAGACAGTATTCCTGTTTTGTCACTACGAAATACTACTCAAGATATGCATGGCACTGATTGTAAGGATTCATCACTGTTTTAATAAAGTTTTTATCGCTTTCCCTAAACAACCATTTATTTATAATTATTATATTAAACTGACGATACAATTATTACTCTAACTATTAATCAAGGATTTAAAGGTGACTAGTGGTTGTCAAAAGACTGCTTCCTTCCAGTCCATAAAACAAAATCATATATTTAAAAAAAAAATGTCCATGCTACAGCCGACGATTCTTAAAATTTTTACTAATTTATAATACATCGTCTTTATATTATGTTTGTTGAACTCCAGAAAAAATAAACGATTAATTAATAATAGTATGTGATACTTCTTTTAATAAATAAAGATAATATGGCTTCTCGTTGTTTAATGTTATTAAGAATTTTCAAAAATAATACTCCGTCTACTATTCGTCGTAACCTAATGTCATGTTCAGTCCCAGAAGACAAAAGAATTTCTACACCAAAGGAATACAAAACTGAAAAGAGTCTTATCTATATAGAAGATCCGGACACTTTTGGTACTTTATCATTGAAATCTCCGTCACACAATGATATTTTGCAGGATGAAGGAGATATTAAAGAAGAACAATATTCACAAAATAAACCATTAAAATCACAACAATTAACCATAGGACAATATGCTGATTTAATTAAGCAATATTTGAAATACAAAAGATTTAAAGAGGCTATGGATGTTTTAGAAGTTAGAATGTTAACTCAAGATAGGGTAAAACCTGAAAATTATATTTATAATATTTTAATTGGAGCCTGTGCAGAGGTTGGTTTTACAAAAAAAGCATTTAAATTATATAATGAAATGAAAAGACGTGCTCTTAAACCAACTGGAGACACATATACATGTTTATTTGAAGCATGCGCTAATAGTCCATGGCCTTCATATGGTTTAAAAAATGCAAAACATTTACGGTCACTTATGATTGAAAAAGGAATTGAACCAAATTTAACAAATTACAATTCAATGATAAAGGCATATGGTCGGTGTGGCGACATATCAGGAGCATTTAAAATAGTTGATGAAATGGTCTCTAAAAAAATTAAAATAAGAGTTCATACATATAACCATCTTTTCCATGCCTGTATTTCTGACAAAAACACAGGGTTAAGACATGCTCTTGTAGTTTGGAGAAAGATGTTGAAATCAAGAGAGAAGCCTAATATATATTCATTTAATTTAATGTTGAAATGTGTAAAAGAATGTAATTTAGGTACTAAGGAAGATATTGAAGAATTAATATTTATAATTCAAAGTCAAAATTTAATTGATGTTAGAAGATCTAACACTACTTTGCAGATAAATACAAAAGGGGAGAGCACACTTGCTATTAAAGAAAAAGCTAATCAAATATTTCTAGAATCTACTATATATCCAGTCAATAATGAAAACAATAAGGTTAATCCTATAGAGAAAATGGCAATAGGTTCTGAAAAAAAGACATTCGACAGTGAATCAATTCCATTAACAGATAATAAACAATTAACTGTTAGTAACAAAGATGAGAATGTAACTATGGAACTCATTGGGGAATTAGCTAAACCACTAATAGAAGAAAGAGCAGTACCAAATTTACTTTCAAAAGTTTTACAAATGGATAATGTACTGTCATTGCAGGAGGTTGAAACTGTACAAGATAAATTTGCTGTTTTAGGAGGAATGGAAGATTTTCTAAAGGAAATGAAAAAAGCAGATGTGATACCTGATATCAAAGTTTTCACACAAATGCTGCCATTAGTTGAAGAAACTAGGGAAGCTGAGATGCAATTAATTGATAGTATGAAAGAATTAAATGTTATACCTGATATAGATTTTTACAATATGTTAATTAAGAAAAGATGTTTGAGATCTGATTATGACGGTGCCTTTGTAAGTATTTGATTATAATAAGATTGAAATATCAATTTCAAATATTAATATTATAAATTCAAAAGTGGGTCTGTTAGTTTTTTTTAGTATGTTAATAGAATTAATTAGCAGGTAAGTATACCTACTTACCTGGTAATTAATGTGTCTAATAAATTAGGTATTTGAGATGTAGATAAAAAATTGTTTTGTAACAGGATTAATGAAAATAAATTATTATTACAAAATTATATGTAAAAAATAAACTTAAAATCTGAAAAATTTGATATCCTGCTTAACATTTGGTTTTTGTTAAGCAAGTTAATACATGTAGTCTTTATTGAATTGAAAAAAAATATTGTATCTTCCTGGGATATGAATAATGCTTTTCTATTACTTCTGATTAAAAATGAGAATATTTATAACTGTAAATATTCTCATTTTCTATCGACAACATTGTCTATGTAGCTATCTAGTTACATAGACAATGTTCTTGTCTTCTTATAATATAATGTATTGATGTGTCCCTGTACTGTACTGTAGATACTATTAATATGGCATTCTACTGCTTACACTTTGTTTTATACCTCAATGGTGTTGTCAGTTGAGACCTGATCAAGTTTTTAATTTCATTTTAGGATATAAATAATATGATTGAAGATGAAAGCAAGTTACGTAAAAAGAGGTACCCATTGAAGAAAAAATTAAGGTTAAAACGTAATATAATGACATATGGTGTTCTTGCTATGGCTTGTAAAACTAAAGACCATGCAGATAAACTGCTTAATGAAATGAAGACTGCACAAATTAAGTATGTAATTTGTTCACTTGAAACTTATATTCCTAATAATTTATATTGACATAACTACAAATTCTTTTAAAGGATAATAATCAACAAAAACCCCTATAATCAATATAGATAATAAAAAAAAAGATGATAATGTAATGGTGCACTCATCAGCACTAATGGTTTATGCTAGCGGGACAACAGTGAACATTATAAGATGAGCATGAGGGTAGGTCAGTTAGTACATTCTGGTAAATTTACCAGGAATTTGTTATTATGATCTCTAGCATTGAGGTCAACCTGACATGGCACATTAGCTCCATAGCTAACAACTGGACTAATGGACCCATGTCCATTAGTCCCCATTAGTAATAATCCCTACCTCCATGTCTATATTATCTGTAAAAAATACAACAGGAGTTTGTTTTCTAATGTATAATTCATTGACAATTATATCTCATACTTGTACATGAATATGGATAAAATCATGATTGAATCTAGAATAATAATTAGAAAATAATATTATTTTTTACTTATTTGTTTTCAGGGTAAACATAGAAATTTTAGGAACTCTACTCAAACATGGTGCTACACATGCTAGGTTTAGCTATGTCCTTTATATAATGAAAATTGTGAAAGAAGAAAATATAATAGTGAATGACATATTTATTAAACATTTGGAAGCCTTTAATGATAAATGTACAACCATAATTCAGGTAATTTGAACTATTGATATAAATGGATTAAGAGATCTCATAATTATGTAACAGATCTAGTAATATGTATTTAATTTTTTTACCCCTTGTCACAGCTCACATATGTGGATTTCCCCCAAATGTGAAGAAATTATTAAATATTTACTTTCATATATTCGATTTTGAAATCTAACGATATTTAGACACCACCTACCCTTATTGTGTGATGTAATTAGTGAATAGCCCCTTATTATTGATGTTAATATGAATAAATTTGTAACAACTTGTTTTGCAGAATAAAGAAAATAAACAGCAAGACATATTTGTCCAATCTTATAACAAATTTTTAGAGTACTACAAGAATTGGTTAGAAGATGTCAATATAGAGAAGGCACTGCAACGAGAACATCCTTGGGTACAATTTAAGGAATCTTATCCAGATACAGTACAACATCAGAATATAAAAATTCAAGAACCTAAAAAGTTTTATAAGAGAAATAAGAAATATGTTAAATATAAAGTATTGAAATAAGTAAAATAAAAACAACACATTTTATGTTTAATACATTGTTTTATTACTGTAATTACAAATATGTAGTTTAAGATATATTATATTTTAAAATGATGTAGCTTTCGGTTGAGCTCTTCAAATTTGAGAAGTTTCCGAATGAAGAAGTCGCCATAGCGATGTGCCACCTTCGTATCGGCGATATGAATCATGTCATTGTCAATGTAAAAATCCAACTGCAAGGAAAAATCTTAAATTAGAAAAGCTTGTTTTAAACATATTCATTATCTCAAGAAAAGCTATATGTACAGAATGTATATGTAATGAAATTACAATAGATCACGGTGATCATGAGATGCTGTTTGTCGAGCTTTATAGATCACACCATAATTGGAAATGAAGTTAATCACTTTGTGCATTGGCATTCATAATAATAATAAACGGACTGGATACTTTATCTTTTTAATATGAACATGGAATATACAGACAAATAGATTCCTTAAAATATTACTTCATTAACTCTAAAAAGAGCATTTCTATTTGATTCTGAATATCTCTTCGCCTATATAGTATCAATTTCCATTATTATTTTTGCAATTGACATTGATGTTGGTGACATAAGTATTTTATATGATTGAATTCTTTTTAATTTACTTACTTCAGACCCGCTCTGGAATTTTCCATCAAGTCCACTAGGGCCCTTAGTCCAGACGACATTCTTCATTTTGTGTTTGAAGCACAACAGGTGGATGGCGAGCGCGGCATGTTCTCTGGCAGCATCACGCTCGCCGCCGCGCGCCGCCGACATGAAAGCGGCCAGCTTGGCCAGTGGCAGGGTCGTGTACAACTTCAAGTATGAACGGATGGTTGGCAACATTTTTTGTTGACGGACCTATATAAATAGAATAGAAATTAATTAACATAGATAACAGTAATTAAGTAGAAACATTCATGCATCGCAAGTATAATAGCATAAGTGATTGAATATATGCTGGATTTAATTTTTTAAATAATATTTGATATCTCTATAGATGCATTGCATATAATCACTGCTTAAAGTGAGAACAGAATACCGCATTAAACGACTGTATGGAGATATTATTTTTCATATTAGGGACATTAGACCATTATTACTCACTTCATCCATAAACACTTGGGTTTGATGTTTAACAGCGTCACGGCCATAGTTGGAGCCCGGCTCAATGGGCGGAGGGCAAGGCGACAGAAATTTGGGACACGCGAAAGTGAAACAACTTTCGAATTCACCCAAATCACCATACTGCATCTTAAACATCTTCTCATGATAGTTCTTCTCGCGAAGCACCTGTAATTTAATTTATTTAGTAAAAAGCACATACAGGTACTTCATATGATCATAGTTGTTAATAAAAAATAATCTGTATACTGATGAAATACGTAAACGAGTGTCAATCTTTTGCATCTCTGAATTTTCCTAAATATAATTAAAATCAAGTCACACTACAATATGAGAAATATTATTCATAGCATACTGGGTCAGCATGAATATATTACCATTACAGTTCCGAGTTAACAAACATCAAAAGATAATCACAAATCTTCTTTATTAATGATTGCTAAAAAGTAGAAAGCAATATGTAATACAAACCTGCTGAATGGATTCGTCGACACATTGGGGATGCAGTACCAAACAAATGGCCAACAGATGGTACATCTGTTCAGTCTGCTTGTTGATCTGATCGTTCTGGTACGAGCGCGAAGAGAACAGCTGTTTGGTGCGTTGCATGTATAGCAACGCCGACGACAGAGTACGGATGGCGTCTGAGTAACGACGCATCATCATGTAAGCAAATCCGACGTAGTAGGACGTCGAAATTTGGCACGCCGGCACATGGGAGTACTGCGACTTCTTGTGCAGTTCAATGTTTTCTAATACCTGATGTTATAACACATTTGATAAAAATGAATCAGTACTTTTGAGCACATTGAAAAGAATAAGTTTCTTGTCAGTTCTACTCATCTCGAAAGCACTCTGAACTAATGCAGGTTTGACATAACATGTCATGTCTATGAATGAAGATATTTTAACTTGTAATGCTTATGCTTATAAACTGTTAGATGGTAAGGTACTTTCTTGTGATTATAAGTTGTTGTTAAGATAAATATAAAGTGGTAGACTTTGTAAAAGAAAATTATTTCTAGGGAGAAACCTCAAGCTAGTCTATATTTTGTTCCTTTACTTTTACAGAAGCTGTTACCTGCGATTATTTAAATTAATAACCGGGTCTTAATACGAATAATTTTATGGCAAATAAAGGTATTTACCTCTCTCTCTGTTCACTTTCGGTTTTTTAGCTTTTGATACGCGCTTATTTTGCCTTCTACTGATTATGTACTCATTTCTCTGGAGTACTTCTTGAACGTGGTATAGTTCTTGCTCCACAAATTCAGGGGTACAGAGATCTTGCGCTCTGTTTGTGAGAGTAGTGACGACTGATTGTAAATGTCGCGGGTGCCAGTCAGCTCGTGACCACGGCTAGTACAACCTAGTCGAAACGTCGAGAGAGGTAAATACCTTTATTTGTCATTAAAAAATTCATTTAAAAAATGTGAAAAATATACCTTGATAGCCTGGTAATAATCGCCAAGCAAGGAGTGTAAGCGCAACAGGCCTACTAATGAGAAGTAGCCCAGCATCTTATATAATGAATGCCGACCAAACTCTCCCGCCACAGACTCAGGGTCGCCTCCAGTAGCATACACCTATAAATTTTATAAAGATCAGGAACAAACGTAGGTAGCTAGGTATCTAATATAACAAATACAGCAGTTATTGGCCCAGAAAGTAATGCAATGACCTAAACACATACAACAAAGGTTGGTATGAGAGGCACCTATTAGATAAATTAGATAAAACTGTAAGGTAATTGGGGATATCTTTGTCTAGACAAGAAAGAATAATAATAATATAATTTATATTGTATATAATGTTAATATGTGACAAAATTTATTTTGAAACCAATGACTTGATGTTGTGCATACATAATATACATGTAGGTGTGTTACTGTGTCTGACCAGGAGTACTCTAATAGAAAATGAATGATGGACCATAAATGAAATGAAATTAAATGAAATATGATGTAATGTAATGTAACAGGGACTTTATTCTCTGCATTTAGCCTCTCATCTGGGCTGTAACTATGGATCACATTAGTAACAGAATTTACCTCCAGCTGTCGTTTAATATTGGACTTGTCCACCAAAGAATGTAGCACATTGAGTATACACAGAACATTCCAAGCTTTATTTTCTGTGTTCAGGGCCTCAATCTCAGCTGGACTCAGCTTAGATGTTCTGGATCTGAATATAGGTAAATGGTCATAATCAATTTATGAAACAAATAATTCAAACCTATGACTTCATATTATATTAATTTCACTACGATATATTCAGCTATTTAGTCATGAAAAATTAAAACAGACATACACACTTTAGCATTTATAATAACAACTGTTACCAGCAATTTGTTTGCTTTTTTTAGTAAAAATGATAGTCAATACATACATAAGCATTTGTCTAACATGGGGTCTGGGGGAAAGGAGATTGTTAGTAATGTGGACTGATGATTGATCTATTGCTAACAAATGTACTGTCAGGTTGACCTCCACCTGACAAATTCCTGGAGAATTTGTCATGATGAGCTAACTGACCTGACCTCATGTTCATCTTATCTTCTTCCATTGGTGCCCCACCAACGTAAACCATTAGCATAGGTTGGTGCATTCAATTAACATTAATAAAAAAATATGAGTCTTACAATTACCTATCTTTACATGAAATGTAATTAAGGCCCCTTTCAGCTGTGATATACAGATACAAGCATACTTTTACTTTATAATTAGTATATATTAATGAGCCATAGTGCCAGTGCCACTCCATATTGCGTGAATATGGAGTGAGACTAGTACTAGGATACTAAATATCTACTCTAAATATAAAGTTATATTTATAATTTTCGATTGTACCTATATTGTGCAAATGACTGAAACTGATAAACAAATTCATCAATCAGTTCCCACAACCATTGGTCTGGCAATTCAAGAGGTACAGGTGTTTCTGCAGATAAGATGTAATTGAAGAGGTCACAGTAGTTGTAGAATGACTGGAATCGCTGGTCAGGCTTGGGACCACCAGGGACACGAGCATAAATGTCACGATAGTACAGCTCTTTGTATAAGATCATGAATACCTGTAATATAGACCAAACATTTATTTATATAAGTAATTATGAATAACACATATGGTTAATTATAGGTTCATGTTGAAATCCAGCATGACAGAACAGTAACAAGATTAATAAAAAGACAGTTTTATTGATATTAAACTTTCTAAAATTTGTTATACATTATTTAGCAAAGATTATTTCATTATTTATTGTTATTTTTTATGTACTTTTACAATTAAGTTTTTTTTACCACAAAAGGTGGCAAGCCCTTTTACTTATTTACTGACATATACTGACAAATGTTAGTAATTGAGGACTGAAATATTTTTTGATAATTTATATTCAGTTTTCAAAAGTTTGATAACATCATTATCATTACTACATACAGAATATCTAGTACATGAAATACTTACATGATCATTATCCACAATAGGGGCAACTTCCGATTCTTCCGGCCATGGGGTGCTCTCAAAATATTGCTCAGTGAGCTTTGGAAAAGTATTCTCATATAGATTCAAAATCTCATATGTTACTCCTTCAGTGATCATATTCCGGAAATAGACAAGAAATTTTTTGACCTGAAAATAAACAAAAGTAAAAATTAAAGGTTGCTCATGCTGATGGCTTCCCATATATTGTGGTGGTGGGAGGTAATCTGGGTTAAGTCATTATCAACATTCTGGATTAAGATTATGAAGAAATATAAAATAATTCAAAGGTTAAAAGAAAGCAGTTATACAAAAACTCCATAAATGTATAAAGATATTATATTATATTGTAAATTAGATCTATCAACATGAATTTTGCACAATAATCTATAATTGAAATTGTCTAACTTTAACAGTGTCATTAGCTAACCAGGATAGGGTCATTGCTAACAAAAATTTCAAATATGCTCAGGTCAAAGTCAGAAGTAGGTACATGATTTTAGTTCGTTTTCTACTTTTGCACAGATGCATTTAGAATGTCTTATAACAATATTATGGTGATAATATAATAAGTAGTTTCTGTAAAAAAGAAGAAATTATATTTGTTGTTTGTTTTTTAAAAGGATGTCACAAAAGCTGTCTATATATAATAGTTGTTCTGTAAAGACGTAAACTTCTTTTATTCCAATTTTCCTCGTAAAACCCTTCAGTTTCTGAGTAATAGAGGAGGTTTACGGCATTTAGTATATATAATTTTATTTAAAAGTAAGTTGTAATTACAATTGTTGATTAATAAACTTACCATGTCTGGCATTTTGTAGTACGATCGATCATAATCCAGATCGTATTGAGGGTCACCGGTATGCGGTTCATAGTCTCCATAAGACTCATATCCACCCTAAAATAAAAGCAATTCAGTAATAAAAATAAAGCCTTTTGTATTTTGCTTACGTACATCGTATTACTTAAAGGTTATTATTATAATAAAATTATTGTAAACGGAAGCTAATATAATACCTCATTGTAGTCATCACTAGAATACATTTCTTTAGTGTTGTAAAGTATATATAATAGCCACAATAGGGTTTTTTACCAATATATGAAAAATAAAATATTAATCAAAAGCGTGTGGTAAGAAATTGAAAAGAATTTAACAGGGTCTAACAGGGTTTAACAGATTAAAAAAAGCTTACACATTAGCTTTATTGTGTCATATGTCATAGACTATTTAGAGAATAATGTTGTCATGAAGAAATATATTAGAAGATACTCACTATAAGTAGATACTACCAGTCTTTTGTTATTAGGATTTTGTCTCAATTTCTTTCGAGATGTCGCTCTATGTAAATTCTGTACGTCGTTTATGATGATATCCGTAAAATTCGGAGAGAGTTTAATACTAACTTTAGGTTGAAATCTTTCACTTTTTCTTTCAGATTATAAGGAATTACTAAAGAAGAATTCTTTATATTATTATTCTTTATAATTGAAATTATCAAAATTCTCAAAACCAACAACATGCCTAGAAGTTCTTTCTCAATTCCAGAGAAATAATTATTTTAACATTCATTTTACGTGCACCATTCATTTTTCGAAGATATAATGGGCAAAAGAATAGGGAGAGAAAAAGAGATAGAAATGGGATATAGAATAGTTTGCATTGAAAAATTGTAACACGGGCTTTTTTTTTACCAATAAATTATTTTCAGTTTTGATTCCTCATGACTTTCATTCCAATTAAACTCAACGTCTTTTTTATATTTCTAAGAGGAGCATTTCTATAACAAAATTAGATATGATTTTACAAATATAATTAACTAGTTCTAGAACTCTTTCCAACACTTTATTCCTTGATTATTCTCTGCACCACCATATTTACATTCTACATTAACTAGAACGGTATACTTAATATATTACCATAATAGTTATTTTATAGTAATAAAGGTTTTTAAAATATTATTATAAAGAATAAAAAGATCAATTCGAGAAGTTGACAGATATTGTTTATTATTTAACTTCTAATTTCTCGTCTTCTGAATATGTCAACTGTCGTCATGTATGGGTTTAAATATTAAAATGGTTTACAAAACTTCTAATTAAATGTCATTAACTATGAAGATTCCAGTATACATAAGGAAGCCGACATCTTATCATCTGGCAATACTGCTTTTGACAGTCTATGTAGTCTGTGAAAAAATCACAAGAGTAAGAAAGAAATAAATTTTCTTACTTCTGACATAAGCCGATTTACATTGCATTGAAAATAAGACATACTTAACTCATAATTTCAGTTTTTATTGAAATTTCTTTTGGTTTCTGCAATTGTAAATTTCTTAGTTCTCGGTTACTGTATTTTTGAATTATCAAGAATAAAAATGTTTTTGAAAAATATTTCAAATCTTATACGCAGTTCGCACGTTTGTAACAACACGGTTTTAATGAGATATTTTTCTGTAACTTCGATAAACGGTGACATTGTTAAAATCCAAAGTACTGATGATTTTAAAGAAAAAGTTATCAATAGTAAAGTGCCAGTAGTAGTTGATTTCTTCGCTACGTAAGTAATATATTTAATTAACCGTGATTTAATTGCATAAAAAAAAATCTCTCACAATAATTATACCAATTATGATTTGCTAAATGAAACTTAATATTTTTTAAATTCCGATTGTCTATTTATTGAAATGTTTCTTTTCACTTAAAATTCAAATTTGATTCTAATATTTTCAGGTGGTGCAATCCTTGTAGACTCTTGACACCACGCTTGGAGTCCGTTATTTCAGAGAGTAAAGGGAAAGTGGTTTTAGCTAAAGTTGATATTGATGAACAGTCTGACTTAGCGCTTGATTATGAAGTGAGCTCAGTTCCTGTACTGGTAGCTATAAAAAATGGAAAAGTACAACAACGACTAGTTGGATTGCAAGATACTGACAAATTGCGAAAATGGATTGAGCAATTTGCATCGGAGGAGTCAAAAGCTGAAGTTAAAGCCTAATTGATGTAATTACTCTTAGGAGTTCATAAATTATTCATTGTTACCAATATGTAGTTGAATAAAAATATAAAAAAAACAAACAGTATTATTCTTCTAGGCATTGTATTAAATCTCTAGCTCTCTTATAGATTACATCATCAGGCTTTTTTGCTTTTGGAATTTCGTCTGCATCTGCAGTTTCCTCTTCTTGATTTTCTTGTGATTCTGTCCATTCTTCCATTTCCTTAATTATTTTATTTGCATCGTTAAGTAGCATATTACGTATATTACCCTTAGAAGATTGCAAATATTCTAATAACAAAGGCCATGATTCATCTGGTATAAGAGTCCTTGAGAATTTGTTTTTGTTTAACCAAATTTGTTTAGCTTTCATAAATTTCCAGTTAGGTTGATCATGTTTCCATTGCGATAAATAGTTGAGACACTGCTCCTTAAGTTGGTCTTTATTTGCCGCTTCTGCTACTGCTAAACGTTCTAAATATTTTTCCCTTTTTAATTGACGTATCGATTTCTTTTTCTGACTTTTAGTTCCTTCTGAACTCTCCGCTGCCACAAATTGTTTCTTTTTTTTCTTGGGTATCTGTTCATTACCAGTATCATCATCATGAGGTCTTTTTTGAGCGATTGTGGAAATTTCTTCTTGTTTGTTTAGATCCAAATCCTGATCTTGCTCTTCCGAGGATAAGTTTTTTAACTCGGCTAGCTTCTTAGACTTTTTTATTTTATTTTTTTTATTATTACGATTATTATTGCGCCTCCTGTTTTTGTTTATCCCACCCATTTTCTTTAGAGAGAAATAAAGATAATATTTTCTTAATATAAATATATTTTTGTCATACAAAGCATGTAATAAATAATGAGCGAAATAAAGTAATCAAAATTATTCAGTGCTGCTATAAAATGTTCTTATTTTAGGTTATGTTCTCAGACACAGATAACACATAGTCACAGAGGTTAATTAGGGATAGGCTAAGACTTTGGAACAAATATTGAATGGACGAATATGGGAAAAAAAACAAATATTGATATATCGATATTTCTAGATATATTCTTAATCGATTTAAACATTATCAAACCAAGTAAAGAATAAAAGTTTTAATTTAAATAATAAATTGTTAGTAATGATTATAAAATATATTTAATCATTTTAGTAAATTCAAACAATTACATAGAGATAGATAGGTATATACGAATATTAATATCCTAAAAATATCGATACAGCGATAGTTTGCCACTACATACATCCCTTGTGTAGGGTTTCCAACTTCCGTAATGATTATGTATTAGAACTAAGAAAGTAATCACTAATACAACTAAATTCTACATACTTTTTACATTTTTACACATTATTATGAGGTTCTAATTAACTAGTTGGTAAAAAGGAAAAGTCTTTAATTTTACTTGTATTATTATTTAAATTATGGAACGTCCTTTTCACACATCATTCGTTATTTATAATTCATATGCTTAAATAATCTTTTAACCCTAATTCTCTCAACAACCTACAAATATTAGCATATCGTTTGTCATAATTTATCAATAGTATTTTATACGGAGTATATATCCAAGTCTTATAGAGATATAGCTATGGAAAGTACTTATTTTCTGTTATTTAAACAAAACAGTTTACAAAAAGAATCGTGTCATTTTGTATAGGTAACAAACATGTAGGCAGATATAATTTCCCTCTATATTTTTTAACTACTATTATTGATAGGCACAAAATGAATAATTATGCAGTGAATAGTGGTATTATTCCAGTTCCTTCCTATTCCTGATATTATTGATGGTCCTACTAGAATGCAATATAAAAGTTTTATATAAAAAGGAGACGTTTTATATAAAACTTTTATATTGCATTCTACAAAACTGCAAGCCAATCGGCCAAATTAATATATACGCAGTATGACCATATATAGCGTTTTAGTGCCATTTCGTCAAAATAATATTATCAGAATTACCATTATTGAAATGTATAGTATGTACATATTAAAAAAAATGTAATACAAGCTGTCTTAAGGCTGGGCCTAGATAGTACTACTACTAGTATGAATTGTCGTGGTATATTATTATTATATAAATTGTCCAATTTAAAAGGGATTTGTACCTACACATACTCCATTAAACTGTAATGTTCAAGGTCGTACTTACGCTGGAATTTTTTTTAATGGTTGGAATGATGCACCCGCTTACACTAACGGTATAAGTACGCTGGCGGCGGGCCACCAGTGAAAGATGATAGCATCGTGACGAATTGAACCACGATTTCCACGGGAGACCGCTTGGAGGTCGACCTAACGTGGTAAATTGTTACTATTCCTCATTACTAACAATTTTTTCACCACGTACGCTGGAGTTTTCTAAGCCTATTTTAGTTCACACATAGTGTTAAAACTGAATATGAAAAGGCTATTTTTTCTTAATTTTAGGAATTACGGGAGTGGACTAAACTAGTGTTAAATAAAGTGTATAAAATAGCTAAAAATTTATATTTTTTAAAGCATTGCCGTAGAACTATTTAGCAAATTTTGCGCCGATGTAGAGCAACATTTGTAATTTCAAAATGGTCACACTGCCAAGAAACCAATCGCAATTTTTGGCACGTCACAGCCGCGTCATCATGTCTCCGTGTCTGCTTTTATCATTGGGGAATTAATTTGTACTACATTATCATACCTTATCGACGCTTTGTATGTGAACTATAAAAATTAAATAGTTCTTCAATAGCATTGAAAATGGAACTGTTAAAATCAGTGTCGTCAAATACACAGATTTTATTCCCTGTTGCTGCTGTTGCCGTTGTTTTAGTATGCGCAGCTCTTGTATTTGTGTTCGGATTTCATACAGCGGAGCAGCCGCAGTTTGATAAGTTACCTCTAGTGGTCGACGACAGAAAGTCTTCTAACAAGAAAAGGAAAACCAAGGAAAAGGTTAGTGCAAATGCAAACAATATGTTCCCGCTCGCCACAGTGGACAGTGCGCTCATTTTATTTTTAACCTTTAAGCATATGCTCGTAGTTTACCGGGAGATACTGATGTAAGTTTAAATCCCATTCTGAGAAACAAACTGAATTGCTTTTAATAATAAGATTTGTTTACTAAATTTACATATCCGATATTATTGACTAAATTGTAAGTCACTGACACGTCAGGTTTGTATTTCCATTAATAATAATGTTATTATGAAGTAATTCTGTTTTACATGATTACTATTATTACAGAAGTCTTCACCCAACCGCACTGGAGGTGATGATGTGAAGACAAAGTCTGATAATGTGAAAAAGTCTCCTGCTAAGGAAAAGAAAGAAGATAAACCGAAAGAAGCAGAGAAACCTAAACCTAAAGCAGCTGAGCCAAAGGTTGTAAGGAAGGAAATTAAAGAAGAACCCAAAAAGGGCAAGAAGAATAAGAATGTTTCTGAACTTGAGAAGCCAGCTGACTTTGATGAGGGAGTATGGGAGGAGGTGCCAAAAAAAAGCGACAAAAAGAAGGTAAAGGGCCCAGAAGAAAAGGAGAAGGAGAAAAAGAAAGACAGCCCTTCAAAGAAAAATAAGAAGAACAAAGATGCAGATATTGAAGCTGCTCGTGTTGTAGTAGAGGAAACACCAGAGGAGACCATCAAGGTGGTTAGTGCTGAAGGGCCACATGTAGACGAGGAATCTGCCCGGGCATTGCAGGCTCAAGTTGAGGAATTACAACGAGTTCTCAAAGAGGTATTGTTTTTAACTTGACTTACTTATTTTGTTTGCTCACTCTCATACTTAAAGGTACTGTCTGAAACAGTATAATCTTAGCAAAAAGATTATACTTAAAAGTACATTAAAAAAAATAAGTATTTGATTTGGCAAGGAACATGTTACATCCTAGTATAGAACTATATTTTTCATATTTTTTTAAAACTTTTTCTGTATATTATTTTGCAGTGTTACCTATTTGTGTTAAATATGTACTTACATGGAATAAAGCAAAAATCTAATATATTTTGTTTAATAGATGTCAGAAAGTGCTTGATATTGCTAAACATAGTAAGAAACAAACATTGAGCAACTTCTATTAATTATCTTAACTACTTATTTATTAATTAACAAGAATGAATATATATGTTAAATATCTCTATAATTATTAAGTAAAATTATATAATACTTTATATGGTAAATGTTCACTGCATAAATATAAGGAATTGTGTCTCAAAATTTATAGGCTGAGCGCCGAGATCAAGCAGCACTGGGTGGTGGTGATAATGAAGATGAGGAGCTGACTGATGTGAAAGATCTCAGGAGCAACAAGAAGAAAGAAAACAAAGAGAAGCAAATCAAGAAGAAGGCCAATGAGGTAATTATTGCATATTATTTATATTAAATTTTTTAATGGTTATTATATAATATGATTTGTTTTGTAATATTAATAATGTGCATATTATGAGTCAAGTAAAAGGTTTCAGTAGACCAGAGGTAGCAGATTTCAACCCTTTTTAACTAGATTAGCATTAATTATGCAATTAAACAAATTGTGAATAGACATTTTTAATTAAGAAAGTAAACAAGGCTTTGTTTTCAAATATGATTATAATTGTTGAAGATATTTGGCATTGAATTTACAAAAAGAAAACTGAAATAAGAACATCTTTAAAATGAATGTTCAATATGTAATTTTGATTTAACCATGATGAATGTTGATTTGATTAGAAAGTAATGTTTAATTACTAAAATATTTTGTTTTTATTTGTTTCAGTCAGTTGCCGCTGCAAAGGCTACTGCCAAACCTGATTCGGTAGACAACTCAGATTCATCTGATAAACAAGAAAATAAACAGAACACACTTGTTTTTGATGAACTTGGAGGTAAGTCAATTAAAAGTTAATAATGATACCATATTCTGTAATTATTCATAAATGTCTAAAACTAAAATATTATATGCTATGGTATGTTAAAAAAACACTGAATTCTACCAGAAGTCATTAATTAAACCTACCTACCTTTTAAAAACGAAAAATGCTGAAATTAATAATTGTAAAGAATTACTATATGTAAACGAGGATATTTTAGAAACTTGATTTATTATATTAACTCATCAGTGATCTCATTGTAATTAAATGTAAGTTGATATTATTGTGAAACTATAAATATAAACCAAATGGACAAAGAAATTATGGAAAGAACATGGTTAAAATGTTGTTTCTCTCACATTATTATTAAGGCTTTGTAATGATGTAAATAAAATTAATAGGCATTCACTTGTTGTAGATTCTTGGACTGATGCTAAAGCATCGAAAAAGAACAAGAAAAAGGCTCGCAAAGACCAGTGAGAGGTGAGTTGTTCACACAGGGTCCACTTGGGTGCTCCACCCTGTTACTAGCTCAATGCCATTCACACCACTGGAAAGAACTACCTTGATCATACTATAAAATTGTATAAGTACATACAAACATTTTGTTTAAATTCGGAAAATCAGTTATTATTATATTATTCATATTGAAATTACCAGTTTTTATTATTATACTTATTTAAATATTTTATTTCAGGGTCATAGATTTACAGGGTGTGAAAGTTTATATAAGTAATATTAGTTTTAATACCTACCATATCTGTTCATACATTCAGGTTATTATACGTCCATGTTTTTAGTTGCATATTTTATTTTATATCTAGCTCATGTTGACTTGTTTTTTTAATAATTTAATTATTGTTTAATATAAAGCATAATATGTTACGTTTTGTGTATGTTATGAGTCATAATTTTTTGTGTTCCGAATTCCTCGTGACCTTTGGGAATCTGCAATATTTTGTTATTAATTAAAGACTGTCGAACATTCGTAATGTTTGTCGAGTTACATAATAATATTAGTAAGTTTTATAACAATAGGTAGCTAACCTGTAGTAGCTATAATGTAAGGATTAGGAATGTAAATCCATTATTAACATTCAAGATCTTCTGGTGCTTGTAGAGTGTAAGTGTCTCGTCTCCTTTCATTCCATGTATGCTGATGTTTTGTCCTTATCTTACTGTTAACTCAATTACCTCTGGCAAATTATGCATATTTCATTGTCTTTTAATGTTTATTAGCTAATTTTATTTAGTATCTACTCGTTATATTAGCTCATTTTGTCTAGTACTGTTATTGTTTTGTCATGACGAAAATATGAGTGAGACCTGAATTTGGACCAATAAAAAATATGCAGTTATGCTGTAATATCTATATCACTGGCAATTAGTGAGCTTCATACTATTATTTATTACGAACCAGTCACCGTTTGTGAAACATAATGTTTAGATTATAATATAGATATTTTCCGTCCGCTATGTAATACAAAATTCTGTGCGCATTCCCTTTTTTCTCTGACTATTTCTGTTAAAATTAATAGTGTACATCTAATGCAAAAGTGATAATTATAATGTAGCTATATCTCAAAATTTCGTCATCAATGTAAGAGAAGTGAACATTACTGTATTATTGCAGATTCCTATTTTATATACCCTAGATATAAGAATAATTCAAGTTTAGGGTAGTGCCGACATTTATATATAAAAAATATTTTAAAATTCTAAATATCTCTGAAGATAATTTATTATCATATTATAATAATAGGATAAGAATCAGAGCGTTTTTGCTATCTAGAGGAAATGGTAAAATAGCTTCGATACAGATACTAAATACGAATGATATTTATTTATCGGCTGTGCAATGTTTTTTACATACATATACGAGTCTATCATTTACAATAAACATTACATAATATATTGAGACATCCTTTGTAGCTATTTTATTTAAACTTATCTTCGATAAAACATGTTATTAATATATATCTATAGTATAATCACTTTTCTTATACAGCTCATGTGTATATTTTGACATAACCTTGTGATATAATATTTTAGGGCAAAATTTTCATATCTGACGATTGCACCAATTCATAGTGCCGAGTGCTGACGAGGACTATTCCATTTTAACGTTTTTGGGTCGTTATAACTATATATGTAACGAGAATTTATTTTCAATACTTTTCAGTTTACATAAATATAATGTAGTGTTTACATCAAACAACGCGAATTGGCGCTCGTTGGAAACGCTAGAATAAAATTACATTGTTTAAGTGGTAATATAATGTTCATATTTGCATGAAATATAAACATTCATTTCCAATGACGACCCACGCGCACACTGTTTGTCGGCCACACATGCATTTTGCAAAACGCAGGTGATTGCGTCTCACTGCTTATCCCGCGCGTCTTACTAGATATTTACTATCTGGTATAGTCCGTTGCGGACGTATCGGAATGCATCCGCTCCGATTCGCGCCGTTTGATATAAATCATCCATTAGAATATCATCGATTGAATTCTCAAATATGAATTTAATTCGTATATTGATTATTAGGTACATTAGTTGTAATGTATATTTTGGCTTCATATTCACTAGAGTAGTGTTCGGTGGCGGGCACGCGGCCTGCGAGCAGGGCTAACGATGCCAACATATTGTATAGAGACATTTGTATCTTGAGAATGTTATTTGTTTTTATAGGCTCTAAAATATAATGAATGTGTAATATAAATATTTTTTTAAAATCAATAAAGAGTGATATTGATATATTGGTGTAATTTTATTTTTTCTCCATACCTTCACTTATAGAAATCCTTACTAAATGTGAAAGTAGGGATGTTTGTTAAGCTTTCACGCAAAAACCTACTACTGAACCGATCATCTTGAAATTTTGTACACTTGTTCTTGGAGGTATTAGAATGAACATAGGATACTTCTTATTAAAAAAACAAATATTTTATAAAAAACAAAAAGATAAATATATACATACATACAAACATAAAATATCAAAATTTTGCTACTTCGGCGCTATCTAGCAGCCAAAATGAAGTTATCCGAGCGAAGCCGCAAGTAAAAGCTAGTGGTTAATAAAACAATGTTTTAGTATAAGATAATTTATAATTGTATAAATAGAAAATGTAATTATAAAAAACACGAGATTCCAAGTTTGTATATTGGAGAAACGTCTTACAGCTATAATGATTATATTGCATTTAATTTGACAATTTAAAGCGTGTAGTGTAAGTACATACTAATAATAGATATTTCATAATACAAGGCACACAATGCTATCATAATTCAATAGTATCTTAACTGACTTAAAAAATCCAAATAGTTTGTAGTATTCAGTATTTGTTATAATTGAAAATGGCAAATAAATTATTAATTGTATTCGAGTGCATATAGAAACGAAACCAACTTTACATTTGGGTCTACCGCCAAATGTAAAGTTGGATTGCGTAGGTATATTTTATATTCTTTCCACCGACCCATTCTGACTTCATTTCAAATGAAAATCTTTTATAAGCGAATTTGTAACTTCAACGTTCAGCAGGTTCGTTCAAAGTCATATACCTATCGATTTTAATTCCTTTCAATTGTGAATTGTTAGCAGCTGTCATTTATAATTAAGGGGCCATACATAAATTGCGTCCTTGCGTCACAGCTGGTCACATTTTTGAGACCTTTGCTGTAGTATGAGGACATATTTTGCAATGCCTGGTGCATTAAACCAGTAGTAGACTAATTGAAGATATTTTGAAGTTATTCGTTGATAGTCTAATATTTATATTTTAAATGAGACAATTGAAATTTAGGACCCCTACCTTGTCACACTGTTGTCCTCTTTAATGTGTGACGAAATTTTAGGATGGCCCCTTAAGTAGATATGTTTTATAAGACTTTTATAGCGGTAGTGGTTTGTTTATATAGTTTCTAATCGCTCTTGGCACCTGACTTGACATTGGGTTTGCGTGTCACGGGCGCTGCGCTCTTACTGCGCGGTTTTCGTCGCACACGTCGTTTCAGGCGACGTAATTTGCCGCCAGATTGCGCAGGCGCCGCCTGAGTCCGTGTCTTCGTCTCCACTTCAATTTTTAGGCGGGCAAACATATCGTAGTTTGTGATGGCGCACATTTTACCTGTAAACAAAATAAATTATAAATAGCTTTTATTGTATAAAATGAAATACGTATTACCACAGATAAGAGATTGAAACTGTTTAAGAAAGTATATATATATTTTCCGGGAGTATATTATATATTTTTTTATACTACGATTATACTTATTACCCTAAATAGCATTTATAATTCATATAGCCTAATATTATAAATGAGTAAGCGTGTCTGTCTGTCTGTTACCTAAAAATGCAGAGATCTTATAAGATATAATGCGAGGACGTAGGTAAATAAATAGGGTAGACATCTGCCTCTGGAATAATCTGAAAAAAACACTGGAAGGGGTAAAATCAGGGGTGCTGAAATCAGAGGGGTTTGTGTTTAGTTTGTGCAGAGGATGTCACGGGTAACAGATAGTTATGTATAATATACAGGTATGGTAAACACAAAATAAATAGATGGACTAGTATTCTTAAAAAGATTAAATAAGTGTTGGTACCTCATGGCCCACTAGGACCCAAACAATTAGAATGAAAATATAAGCAAACGTTCACTGGTTTTTACGTAATACTGCATACCTAATAACAATGGCTGATGGGTCTTTGTCGATAGGTCAACTTCCCCCTTAGGATATTTTTTGCAAAATATTTGATGTACAGACAATGTGTAAAAAAAGTATAAATTGATATATTACGAACGTTAATTAAATTGAGGCACCTACTACTAACCATTGCAGTATTCTTCGCCACATTCCAGACATGTCAGGATTCTAGTTTCTGTAACGCCGGAGCGATTCTTTGTTTTCCTGATCATAGTATTTTTGGTCATCTCTCTTTTATCCCGAGCTTTGGTTTTTAATTCAGCTTTGCCAAGTTCTATCAATCTACAAATCAGAAGTAAGTATATTATTACTGTGTATTACTGAAATTATACAACTAATAAGCAAGCCCTAGTTATTTATACATATAATAAAAATGTACAATTTCTGTTCATGAAAGATATCTATATAGTATTAGAAAGTTTATTAATGGTAACTTAATCAATAAAACAATGGTAGAACGGGCTGTGCGCTTGGTTTTCATTAATGTATTGTGAAGTATGACGGTATATTTAGGGTATCTGTGTATATGTTTTATATCAATCAATTTACAAACATAAAGTTAATTGCGTACAAAGTCACTGATTCAGCTAGTTCAGTAATAGAGTAAATCTAATACTTCATGTAGCCAAATAATTTAATATGTACCTATGTGAAATAAATGATATATCTATAACATGTAACCAATATTCATTAATTACGTAATTTTGTACGGATGTTATAATTGAGGTAGATGTTCTACGAAGTCTTCGAAGCAGGTTGCTTTGACTGATATGTTTCGGTTGAAGGATGAGATAAGATAATGAAATTACAGAGTATGAATTCATGATATCTTAGTCTCCAGAATGTGTTGATGTATGAGTTGTACCGGGGGAGTTACGTGATATCGAGAGGTACGTGATGCTGATAATGTAGGTACAAAATCGACGGTTACCTTACCTCAGTCCTTGCTTTCCAGTCCATTATCATAAAATAAAAAAAAAACTCTTCTATCTTTATCACTATCCACTTGTATGAAAACATCCATAAGCAGATATTATTTGTACGACATACCTAAAGTTCTCTAAACCTAACTTAGGCTTGTATCTAACATTCTTTGCAAATGTTATAATAATAGGTACACGAAAACAATTAAATGACTCCACTTACCTATTAAAATATTCTTCGTCCGACTTTAATTTAGGCCTAATTGAAGTGAGCATTTTCCATTCTATGGGCACGGCACATAGTTCTTCAAATTTCAGTCCTCTCATTTCGACAGGTATAGGATCCATAAACGTAAATTGCTTTTCTTCGTAACCTCGCGTTCCTAACTTTTCATAAGCGCGAATTTCTTTTTTAGGTGTTTTTGTTTTATGATCTTCGGCTTTGTCCTTTATTTTTATATCATCAGCTTTTACCTGGTTTTTAGCCAACAAATGTTTACACATTTACATACACTTTCTGTATTTAAAAGTGATTTTATTATATGATTTAAAGTGATAAAAGATAGATAATTTTATGTATAAAAATCATATAAATACATCTACGTAGTAAGTAGCTAACTTACCTTTTCTGGTCTAGTTTTGAAGTCCGGAACTTTGTCTAAAACAGCTCTATATTCCTCTGCTGTATTAATAATAGTTTTTGATAAATCAAGCATCGGTGCCTCATCTTTCTTTTTATCAAAAAAATCGTCTAATTTAGACATATTTTTAAATTTGTCAACGAAATAACGAGGAGACGCGACGTCTACATTAGAAGCTTAACTTAACATTTTTATCGACCTAACTTTGGTTTGACCTATTTCCTAGAAACGGTTGAATCGATAGCATTAGTTCAGTATCTTTAGGTAACTTAATGCCAACTACAAACGGCGCGCTATAATTATGAAGTGCTCATTGTTGTGTACCTACTTATTTCTTTTATATATATTCTTAATATTTCGTTTTAAATATAAGATTTTCTTGATCCTCATGTCTTTCTAAATAATCTCTTTTTGCTACGTTTAATTGGTCTATAACTCTTTTTCTATTTTCAACATCAAATATATTATTATTTGATTTGTTATTTCGCTCATTGATATCGTCGATCCATAATTTCCTATTCCCATATTTATCATTAATAAATTTTTGCGAAAGAGTCATTCTCTTATTAGGCGACATTTTGGGAGATTTTTTATTATCTCCAATGTCGTTCACTATTTGATTTAAATTATTGAATTCTGATGTATTTTGATCAGTTTCTGTTATAAGAACACTTCTAGATAAATCTTGACTAGATCTTTTATTTTTCCAATATGATTGACTTAGTGAATTACGATGTTTATGACCAGATTCTGATATTTTTTCGGCTTGTCTCAATGGCGGACTCGGAGAACGACTATCTTCACTTGATTGTGATAAATACTGTCTTACTTGTGGTCTATATTTTTGTCTTATTTTTCTTTTTTGACTGTAAAAGGGATCTTTTTCGCTTTGTTTTTTATATTGAGCGGCTGGTCTATTTACACCCCACTTAGGTCGATTTTCTATTTCCTTTTTATATCTTTCTTCTGAACGAAAACGTCTATCTTTTTTTAAAGTGTTATGATGACTTTCTTGTGGTGCGTTTTCGTCAATATTCGGATAATTTTTATCTATATTTCTTTCAAGTTCTGTTTCCACTATTTTGTCCATAGTAGATATACAGGGAATCACATCTGTTTGTGTTGAAGCGTCTTTTGTTTTTCCTGATCGGTATTTTCTAGGTGTTAATATTTTTCCAGTATCCGTTAATTCTTGTATATTATTAAGTGAATTTAATGAAACACTATACAAACTATTAGTTAGATTTTGGGGCACTAAAACTGCTAACTGTATACTATTTGGTTGGCCACTTAATATATCACCATTTCCATTAACGCCGATTGGAACAATGTTGAACTGATTATCAGCAAGCGCTAATGGGGGCACGCTGTGTATAAACAAATTTAAATTCCCTGGTCCAACAGATCGGGGAGAGTTAAATCCTGTACTTTGCTGGGATTCGCAATCTTTTTTTTTACTTTTTGCTGAGTGTAAATCGTAGGTCCTATTTGTCTTTGTAGGGCTTATACTTTCATTTCTAAATACACTACTATTTATACCACTTTCAGCGTTATCTTCCTCCTTAGATATTTTCTCACATGGAAGAACCGCATTCACATGTTGTCTATGGCTACTAAACTTTTTTTCTTTCTCTAATCTAGCTTTTTTTTCCGCATCTTCTAAAGCTTTTTTAAGAGTTTCTAATTTTTTTTGTTCCATCAATTGTTTTTCTTCAAGCTTTCGTTTTTCTTCCTCTAATCTAAGTCTGTCTTCCTCTTGCTGTCTTTGCATCCTTAATTCTTCTAGTCTTTCTTCTCTTATACATCTTTCTCTTTCTTCTTGACGACGTTTCTCTCGATCCTCTAGCTGACTTAATATGGCCGATTGCAATTCTAAAGCTTTAATCCTTTTATTTTCACGTTGCGCTTTAATTTCTGGTTCTAATGGAACATTCTGTCCTCGAAGAAATGTTCTGAAAGGTAATTTCAATATTATATAATTTAATGGTATAAGTATGTAATATTATGTTATCTGTGGTATAAGTATCATAAATACTATAATAATATAATTACATTCGCATATAATTATTACATTTTTTTGGGTTTAGTTGTCCCGGTAATGATTGTTTGTAATCAGTATCGAGTTTCTGTAGAAATTACACGATGTTTAGGTACTGTAACAAAATGTATGTTTATGTCATGCGTATGAAATGCTAGTACAATATGTCGAAAAATAGAGTTGCGTATCACTTACCTAGATTACTTGCTTGGAAAAGAAATTATAATGTTTCCTACATTATAATTTCTACTGAGTTAAAGTTTTAAATATGTTTAGATTTATTAATAATGGACTTTATGATACAGTAATGTACTAAAGTGTACACATGTGTATGTTATTCTATATAGAGCAGTTATGCAAGCGTAAGAGTAATACTCATACATAGAAAATTCACGTACTTTCCTTCATCGCTTCCGTTACAGGAAGATCTATCGCACTCGAAACCTGAATTCGTCGAACTTGTTTGATCAATAACAAGAACTTCTGCTGTATTTTCGATCATATTTAATCCACGTTCCACCCACGATGGCGTGCCTTTCTTCTCATTTTTCATCTGTATATGGTTATAAATTATTTGCTTTATACTTAGGTATATAAGGATATCACAATTTTGTTAACTCTCATCGTAAAAAGAGGGATGTTATAAGTTTGTCGTGTCGTGTCTTTTTATTTATTTTGTATGAAATCTAACGTGATCAAGATAGTTTTTTTTTTATACGGGAATCACTTATTTGTCAAAAGATTGTATTCCTGATGCATGGAAGCTGATATCTCCCATTCCCGCAGAAATTAGGAATCCACTAAAAAGGTTGAAAAGGCTTTGCACGTTAGGTCAGTCAATAAAAGTTGTCATATGTACCTATGATTTGTATGATTATTTGCGGTTTACTTAAGAATTAAAAATTTTAAGTGACACAAGAAAAAGTCAAATTTAAAATAAAAATAAAAGGAAAGTACCTGTGGTAGTCTAGCATTAGGCGCAGTTGGCTCCCACAAGCGGCCAGTAGCGACGCCTCGGTCTCCCCACCGCGGACGTCCTTCTTCTGCGGTGCTGCTTCTTGGACTCCGTGCTGACCATGTACCGTCCGCAGACCTTCCACCACTCGAACTTAGATTCCTAGTTTCAGTAAGGAGTCTATAAACATATTGTTGTATTATGTTCTCGATGTCACTTACAGAGTCAAATATAAAATTACTTTCATACTGAATGAATAGAAAATACTGCACTAAGTCATACATAATTTTGCATTTGTTGAAAATAGCTCACCTGAAGCTTACTTAAAAGTTCAATTACATAAGAATTACTTGGAAATTATTATTCGACTACTATTTTTATATTTAACTAGCTGTACCCGCGACTTGTCCGCGTGGAATTTAACTTAATAAACAGACAGACAGATAGACAAAAATTGTAAAAAATGTTAATTTGTTGTATGTACCGTACTTATAATCATATGCACGTAGTAAAAAAGGGTTATTTCAATATTACAAACAGACACTCCAATTTTATTTATATGTATAGGCTTGCAGTACCCGCGACTTCGTCCGCGTGGAATTTAACTTTATTTTTCTAACATAAAAGTAGCCTAAGTTACTCCTTATCACATCAGCTACCTGCCAAAAAAAGTCTCGTCAAAATCGGTCCAGTCATTTCAGAGATTGGCCGGAACAAACAGACAGACAAAAATTGAAAAAAAAATTATTTTGGTGTATGTACCGTATTCATGTTTATTTGAATATTACAAACTGACGCTCCAATTTTATTATATGTAGATATAGATTATGAATTTATGTCAGTTTTGGATTTATAAATAAATGCCGTTGATTTCTTTTTCGTTTTGATTGGTATCACACGCGAAAACTGGGAGTGTCTAACCGTTTTAAGATTACTATGTTTTTCTTATTTATTGAAATATTAATAAGTATAGGGAAATTCTATTGCTTATTTAATAATACTCGGTAAGTTGAATTACCTGTTTTCTTTGCCATGTTGCCACGCTACAACGGGAGTATTAGTGACATTGTGAACTGTATCATTTTGATTTCTATTCATGTGATTAATTGTTTCACTTCCATATCCAGACGTGTCTCCTTCCGCATCTTCGTCATAAAATGAGAATCTTTTCGCACTAGGTATGTTTCGATTTAACGTATTTGATCTTTTATCGTCTCTACTTCGCTCTGGGTCGGTGCTGCGAATGGGAGGTAGACTAGGACTTCGCTGGCGTTGTATAGGCTCTTGGTATTCGTAAGATGACTGTTTATGTAGTTCAAGTGTGCTCGCGAACTGATTCCGTACTTGTAAACGATTTGTATACCGCTCTCCGGAACCCCATGGCAGATAAAGTTGTGACATTTCTTCTGTAAATAATTGAAATACTTCATTTATGGTTTTGCGAGTACTAAATTATTTAAGTTGTAATTCAATAAACTAAAAGAACTAATATACGACTGATGGTTGCATAGGTATACAAGTTTTCTTTAAAAATGTAATAGAAACAAAATTAAGAACCTTCCATGACAACAGTCGGCAAAGAATTAACTATTCAATCGAAGGAAAAATAAAAGAGTTCCCCTTTTCGTAAGAACATATTGCTAATGGGCTTTTATGTTTTGTCGATACCGCATGCAAGGAAAGCAGTTAGTCCTACATATTATGTGCAACTCTTTCTTTGTAATGTGACAGCAAAACATGGGTACATAAGTATTAGTCATGGTTAGAACAGCAGTATGACACGGAAAACCATAAACGAATATATTTAATGTTCGCTTTAATTTTCCGACGAATAGTCAAGTAAGAAATTTAAACACCCGAATTATCTGAACTGTATTTATCTCTCTTTACTCCTTATAACACAATACTCAATACAAAATCTAGTTGCTGGAAAAATATACGATTATTGATACATAATATTTATATGTATTTCGATTTATCCATAGTACTGATAATGACGAAAGAAACAACTGCTCCGATTGAAATATCTTTCAGCTTGTTGAGACTTTAGAACAATGTACTTTACATTATTCTAATATGTGTGTGTGTAGTGATATAGAGTATGTAATAAATACACAACTAAAAAAAGTTATGAGTGCACGGGCGAAGCCGGATCGAATTGCTAGTGTTTTAAAACTATACTTTATTCGAATATTTTTAATACTACATCTAACTTTTACTAGCACAAATGAAATGAAATAATTCATTCGTGTCGGTTAGAAGTCTAAACGCCTTGATGTCGAAACAAGAAAAATGTTAATAGATTTGAGTAACACGCGATATAAAATCGAGAATGGCTACCTAGGTACATATATATAGCTCAAATGCTAAGCCAGGGCTAGTGTACAGTTGTTTCCCTACTTTCTTTATTTCATTGCGGAGTTCTTATTATAATATTATAAATAGAAAGTTAATGAATATGTATTACTCGAATATGTTTAGATATAATACAACATATACCTACATAGCTATTTGAAATATTTGTCAAAGCGTGAAGGAGTAAAATGGCCGGATTACATAAGTTTTTGAAGCATTTAATTTTAGGAGTAACTTTCATTTACAATGATAGATACGTACCAAGCTTGTTATTTAGATTATAGTATTGATTAAAATATATATAATTTAAAAAAGTATCTGATTTAAATAATGGTGGTTTCGTGGTGTTTAATGCACCAAATGTACTATTATTTTTTGTAATGTGTGCTTTGAAGTTATTTAAATAAATAGATTTACTGATCCACTATCTATTATCCAATCAAATATCGAGCTTCCATGTAAATTTTAGATTGTCAATTCCTGCCGCATAATTCGGTGAAGCACATTTAGTTGAGAAAAATGGGTGTGATTTATATATACTTGTATATATGGATTATTCTTAATGAAAGAGATTGTCTATGTTATAATGTATAATGATAGTCGGATGTAAAACAAGTGTGCGTCTAGTAAATATAATAGCATGTTATATTTTGTTTGCGTCGATACGCTCTCGTGCGCGCCAGCTGAATTAACTAAGTAATAAGTATAACGAGTCTGGTTTAGTTTTATTATTTAACGCTACGGTAAGTTACTTACAGTGTATATGTATACCTGTTATTATATGGGGTAATCAAAACATTTAATGACAGGTTAGTTGTAATTTATTAGTGCTCCACTTTTGTTTGATCGGTCACTACGTCTGTTATAGATAGATTATTATATTACTCGTTCTAGTATACAAAGACATAGCATACTTATGACAATTAGTCATAAACAAAAATTATTTACCTCTCCCTAATTTAACACTAATTAGTCCTAGTTTAGGTTTCGATACAGTTATAGAAAGTGTCTAGGTCAAATTACGATTATTATTCTTTTTGTTATGTCCTATATAAAAATAAGTAGTTTAAATAAAAGACTTCCTAGTAATAATTAAGGTTCAAATATGCTGATTATGTGCATATTTAAAAATTATTAAAGGAAAATCTTTAATCACTGAAACAAAAATTAAAAACTCTAGAGTTGCTTTTCTTCCCGTCATGCGTCACCTCACTTACTGGGTAGATACAGAGAACGCAGTGCCATAAGATTCTGTTCACTCACTCTTTGTAAATTAATCAATGATGCGATACCCTATTATATGATGTGATGTGATACCATACTAAATTAATTGAAAATTCAGCACTTATATTTAGATATATCTGACGATACTTGCGTAGGAACTACATAAAATGTACAAATAAAAACAAACCGAAGGCAATGAATAATTTTTTTTTTATGTAATAGGAAGAATAGTACTAATTAAGTACATATGTATATAATAAGACTGTTACTTTATTATCGTTTCGCCCTTGCAACCACTGGAACGGGTTATGTAGGATATGTCGAATATGTATAATAATCCGTTCGCCCCGGTTTTGCACGGGTATTTAATAAAAATTATAAAGCTACGAATAATGTGGTCTAGTTCGTTCCGGCGTTACTATTGCATATTTTAACTTGAAAAAGTAGTAAACTGTGAAAGTAAAATAAATGGTATCATGGACTTTTTTGTAGATATTGACGTCTTCTGCACATCATTTGGTTAATAATTTCTGCAGAGTACGCGATATAAGATTTTGCATAGGGATCCCTATAATTTTTGAAAATATACGATTGACGATGTTCGTTCATCAGGGATAATGTAGGTCTCTTATGGTAAAAAAAAATTTAAATCGGTTTTTTAGTTTAGGCGCCTATCAAAATCAAAAATAATAAAATCTTTATAGTATTAGTACAGATGAACAGTCGAAATGTTTTACATAAATCAATCAAGGTATTGCGAAAATATAGGTATCATATATATTTTCGTAATAACTTAGTATTCGCTAAACTATAATATGTAAAGAAATAATATTACTATATCTGTTGGTCTCAGTTTCAAACACTGCTAGTTATGTTTTTTAAATATTTTTAGAAATGATGATATTTTGGAGTTATTGTTATTGCAAAGTATAGAGACGGTACGGACGGACGTTCTTAAGAGAGTTGTAATCACGCAGACGACATTCTATCTTATAAGGGGTTGATTAGTTTTTCGTAGCATTATATTGGACAAACACACGACGACACAGGTCACACATAGTTATATTTTGCTAACTAACCTGCGCACTTCTGCATAAGCTAAGAGGAGAAATCTCTCAAAAGGAATAAATTTTCGCAACATCTCTCATTGATGCTCGAATCGTCCGATTTCATTGATGCTGTTGTCCGTCGCATAATATTATATTATTTATTGATTAATTTCTGAGATTATCGCAATAATAAAGGCGACGGCAGGGACTTTGTTTTATAATAGGGATGTGTGGATGATAATTCATTACAATGAATATGGAAGATAAAAAGAAAAAATGACAATAGAAATCAAGTTGATTTTTTTAACGATAACAGTAGGTATATAATTTTGTTTTTTGTATACAGTTTTTTTATGGATAGAGGGCGTCCCTGACATTAGTCCTTGAATGTTAGATCGTTACATTGACAATTATTGCGGTGTGTTAGGTCTTTTTACGTTATTGTTTGTGTAAATGGGAAATAACTATTGTCAGTAGAGACGCTTTACAGGAAATCGATTGATGGCCGATTATTTTGATTTGGGTAGATAAAGGGTCATTGTAGAAGTTCAATGCCTAATATAATTTGTTGAAAGCCCAAAATGTGGCGTATTAAAAATATTATGCTGCTAAAATATATGTATGTATGAATATGTACCAGATGAATATAAGCCAAGCGTTTGGTATACATAGGTATATATATTATTTACTTGCATGGGCAAAGTAGTATAGTGAAGACAATCTGACATGTAGGTATTCTATATATAAAATTCAAATACAAATTAAAAAATAATTTATTCATGTAGGACATTTTAGCCGCTTATGAACGTCAAGTTTTTACATTATATTTTTTTTCCCTACCGTCCAGTTTGGTTTATAGATCCAATTGAGAAGAACTGGCAAGAAACTCAATTAAATTACTTTTTTTTTATATCCAGTTTATTTACAATGCATAGGTATTTATATAGGTGTCTATGTCTAACATTAAATGAAAATCTCGAACATGAAAACTATTGCCATGCACGCTCGTCATTCAAGTAATCGTTTAGTGAGTAATAGGCCTTGCTCAGTAAATATGATTTAACAGATGTTTTGAATTTATTTAAGGGTAATTCCAATATATCCATTGGTATCTTATTGTAAATTTTTATACCTATTCCCATAAAAGACCTATTGACTTTTTCTAAACGATACTTGGGGACAGCAAGTTTGTCTTAAATCTAGTATTAATATTATGAATGTTTTTTGGAAATAAGTCAAGATTTTTATAAACATATAGGATATTTGAATATATAAATTGAGAAGCAATGGTGAGAATATTTGCCTCTTTGAATTTCTCTGTTAATGAGTCACAACTCTTTATACAGTAGATCGCTCGATAGAGATATTATACGATATAGATATTATATCTTACTAATAAATATTATAAACGCAAATGTTTGTGAGTATGGATAGACATAGATCCTAGACTAGGCATAGATATGTATAGACGGATGGATGATTGTTCCTCCTTCACAATTTTTTATGACGGCTACTGAACGGATTTTGATGAAACTTTACAGTAATATAACTTATATATCAGAATAATACATAGGCTATAAATTTCATGCCGATGAAACCGCGGGATCATATAGTTTCAGAATAATGTAATTATAGCGGTCTAACATCGCATCGCATTAGGTATAAGAAAAGCTTTGGGAATGATGATAAATCTATGGATTTACAAAACCGTAAAATGACTTATACAGACAGTATTTGAAATATTTATTTCTTGAATTAATTGTCGTAAACACAAAAATAATGTGCTTAGGTGTTGCATCATAGAGGTTAATTTAACCGATATATAATATAATAATTGAACTAAAAAAGTATTTGAGGCAAGCGATTTTATATTTCTATTATAAACAAAATAGTACACAAGACAATTAACAAAAGTATCAAATAAGAAAATCAGATATAGGTACGTACCAGTCTGTGCAAAGATTATTGTTTTGATTTCGAAATGCGCTCAAGTTTTTATTGCTCGCGTGTCGTGCTTATACTAAATAACTAAACGTACCCACCCACAACTGAGACGTGAGTGGACATACAACTCCTTGAGGAAACCACGACCGTGAAAGATGTTGCAAAATAACTAGAATGATGCAGTCACGAGCATGCACCGGTAGACTGCCCATTAGTTAAAGCACACAGTCTAACAACTGTATAAGGCTACAACTCCCGCACCGACACCGGCGACATCCTCGTCGCCGCGCTACAACTACGGTATACACACCTCTCTCCCGTGCCCACTGCTCCTTCTTCTGTTGGACTAGTGATGCCGGCTTGCCCACCGACAGCATCGCACTACACAAATTACATTACACTTTCTAATGCCCGTATTGCACACACGTTGCGTTTCTTCTAACCGCTGCGTAGTTACGGTGCACCGGTTAATGAGTGCTCTAAAGTGCTTTTCAAAAACGGACGCTCGCGCATCAGCGGCCGCGCGTCGCGGTTCGTTTCGCGCGTGCAGTCATTGTCCACGGCTGCTGGACCCACCCCACCTACACCGCTTCATGTGATCCCACGGAATACAATCGCTTTAAAATTAACGGTAATACGTTCAAGAGCAAATAAATATTATGTTAGTTGCGACGTATTATTTCGATCATCCATAAACAGACCGCTTATCTAGATCTTCAGACTAATACTGTTTCAGTCCTCATTGTTTCAGCGTGCGTCACGCGAATGAGAGTTTCAGACGAAAGCCTCGGAAAAGCCGCCGGTCGATATGGTAGTCATGGAAACGTTTGTTTCACGTGCTCGCAAAGAGTCGTGGCATTTTTCTTCTATTTGCATTTTAGGCCACGAGGCGACGTGGCAATTGAAGGGAAGATTAATTGTGGCACTTACGCGGCGTCGTGCACTAATATGATGAATAAGCTAGAAACAAATACGAGCGGCCTTCGAATAGGTTTTCTTACTGCGTATAGATTCTCGAGGTGAAAGTTGGGTGAAATAAACTTCTCTGACCGTACTGTACATTTAGTATTCATTAAACGTAGAAATAAAGAACAGTCTATATAATCATAGCCATCTAAGTGTATAAAATGACATAATACAGCTACCATAGTATAAAACTATTATAACTTACAGCTCGTCTACTTTGGTTGTAATAAGTTAGGTTTGGTTGTCATAAGTATTTAATTAATAAATGAAGTTTAAATTACACAAGGAAATAAAGAAAAAAGCTTTTCTATTTTTCACGTTATGACATGTTTACCTGTGGTAAAGAACTGCCTACCTACACGTACCTCTACCTTTCGCTTAGTTTCATAAATATTAGATTATGTAAGAAAATATTCAGGTCTACACTCGTTTCCGAGAATGAGTTTGATTAAGTACATTTAGATGGCATTTTTAACTGTTGATATCTTGATATAGGCAACATTTAACATGCCTATATTGGCTTAAATTCAGCGGGGCAGAAGGCAAGCCGTTACCGTTTCTCGGATTAGCTGGTTGTGTCAGTATTTTCATCACCAGAAGGCCAATCAGAAATGCGTCAAAATTTGTCAAAGCCAAACTCATGTTATTTGCTGTCGGACTGAAATCAATAAACATATCAAGAGCTAGGAATAGTGCTTGCCTTTAAAATAAATTATTAATATTGTAAAAGTATATGTAAAAACAAGTGCTTATTCGTGAACATGAGATACGGTTGTCATAAATATGTATTGGTATACATATATTGCGCAACTCATATCTTAACTAGCGCTACTGAACTGTTTATTTTTATCGCCAGTATAATACATAAGGAATGAACATAGAAAGTAAAAGGATAATGTAGATTAGTAGACCAAAAATCTTGTACTACGAAATAAAATTTTATCTTGAAAATCTTTCTAGAAATACTACGTGTATTATTCCAGCATAAAAAAATAGTGATAGAGCGCTTTTCGTTTTTATACTATTGAAACAACTCACATTTTAGACCCTCTAAGCTCAAGTTGAATGACAAAATGGAATAGCAAACGAGCTGACGTAGTAATTTACCATCCAATAAATGTTAAGCGTCGTCGATTAATAGAATCACGGACATCACGTTATCATGTGACACCCGCGATACAACTCATGCGTTGCCATTCTAAAGGACAAATATATCACACCTCTAATTTTGTAATTTCGCTAAGTAACCAGCATCGTACAAAGTTGTTTGGCGGCGAAAATATTTTATCTGTGCCTCTAATAAAAATTTTAGTTTTTTGTTGAAAATACTTTATATACTATTCGTATATAAACTATTTTTAACAAATCTAAATGGACACGACTGTAAGCAATGAAAGTATTATAAGGGCTCAACTGTGAGCAGCAATTGTGCGCTAACTAGCTGTTCTAGCTCGGTTCAGTAATAATTTCGTGACGATTAAATTTTATTTTAATCTGTAGAATGTCATTTTAAAATATAACCGTCTTAGTGCAATAAATTTTTTCGCAATGTATGTGAAAAGTGCCAAGAATAATTACCCTCTTTTTCAATTTTGGAGTAGAGAAAATTGTGTAATTTTTGTAAAAATATTTCAATTTTCAAAATAGCGGACCATATTAAAAAACACAATGACGCGTGAGTCGCTACCGCGCATCTGGCACTTTTAGATAAGATGCGCAGGCGCGTGATTGCGCGCCTTGGCACTAAGACCGTGTTAGTGCCAATTATACACGGAACCCGTCATTCCTATGTGAATTTTAAGAAACATTTCCATGTGTTAACATTTGTTATATTGCACACATATGATAAGCATGACTGAAATTAGTTACTGTGTATTGTTATATAGTAGCGCTTTAGATCCCAAGATATACAGCCTTGGCCAAAAGTATTAGGCACCCTACATTTTACTAAAAATAATAATTAAAAACAACTTATACTTTTTGAATTGATTTATTACCATTAAATTACACAAAAAAGAATAAAAAAAAACTTAAAATCTAGTCGGTTCTTCTTTGGATTTCATTATTGCACTAATTTTAGCTGGCATGCTGCGTACAAGCATAGTGCAATCCTCCCTTATAATGGCATACCATTCTTGTACTAACCCATTTTTAATGCCGTTTTCGATGTAGTACTATGCTCTTTAATCTTGCGCTTCAAAATGCTCCAAAGATGCTCAATTGGGTTCAAATCTGGGGGCTGTGCTGGCCCATGCAACAAAACAATGTTGTTTTCAGTAAACCAATATATCAAAGTCGCTGACTTATGACAAGGTACATTGTTTTGCTAGAATATAACTCCGTCTAAGTTGGTATCGTCGAAAATACTCGTTTGCGAAGGTATAAGCGCAGTTTCAAGCACTTTTATGTACTTTTCGCTGTTCTTATGACCTTCACAAACAAACATTTCGTCAACCCCTTGAGCATCCATGCAGCCCCAGATCATTACGCTGCCTCCTCCGTGCTTTACCGTAGGTACAACGCAATCTGAATGGTATTCTTCGCCCACACGTCGCTTCACGAAGGTCACACCTGGCGTTCCAAATATCTGTTGAAAAATGAAAATAAAAAGTTTTTTTAAACTACCCTAACTTTTATTATTTCAGTAAAATAAATAGTTGACAATGATTATTAATAACAAAAGCAGTAAAATTTACTTACTTCAAAGTTAGATTCGTCAAACCACAGCACATTGGCCCAAACTTCCTCACTAAAATGTCAATGCCATAGAGCCAATTCAAGCCGTTTTCTTTTGTTAGCTTCTGAAAGCCAAAGCTTCTTCCTGGCTTTGTATCCTTTTAAGCCCGTTTCTTGAAGTCGTCTTCTGGTGGTACGAGCACTTATTGGCTTTCCAGCCTCTTCGGACAAAGCAGCAGCAAGGTTTGATGATGTTTTCTTCCGATCTTTCATAGATTCGCGTATTAATTTTCTATCCTCATGCTTCGAAGTCACACGTTTTCTGCCTGTTTTTGGATTAATAGCATGACTGCCAGCCTGAGTAAACCATTTGATGGCAAATTGCACGGCGAATCGCGAACATTTCAGTAACTTAGTAATTTCTTTTTGCGATTTCCCCTGTTCATGGAGAAGTTATATTTTTACTAGATTTTCCAAACTAATTTCACTTATTTTCGGTATATTTAAGTAAATTAGGTGTCAATTTAATCACTGAGTTAGATATAAAAACTTGTTTACTAGTTAGTCTTGAATACAAGTGACCAAACATTGACTAATAATAATGCAAAAAGTCGAATCCTTTCTTTTCAGTCACCAGGTGTTTTATGACCATCAAAAATAGAGGTTTGCTTTTCTAAGAAGGTATTTGTGACCCCGGTATGCCATCTAAGATAAGCATTTTATCATTGTTCAATTGGTAAACATGAATTGTGCGCTTTTCTGGGGTGCCTAATACTTTTGGCCAAGGCTGTATATGTTTGGGTATATTTATATTTAATCACAATTAATAAATAATTATTCTATGACATAATTAGTGTAATTCTTACTATTCGTTATTAAATAAATAATTTATTTGATCCTCCTATATAATGTTATATGCCTAGTCCTTTCTACATGATGTAATAATTATATGAGGGTAATCCACTTTTCTAACGAGGCCAGCAGGAAGAATACATCACGCAACAAGCTGGAAATAATAAAAATATGATATTTCTTCCAAATGCATTGTATTTCTTACAATTAATTACAACATACACTTAAATATTATAATATAAACTAAATTAAAATGCATATCTGGTTCTAATGTCTTCCAGTTTTTTTGACACTTCAGCTGGTGTTCGCTCTAAGTCCCCAGCAATGGCTTTTTGTTTTTCTGGATCCAATGAATTGAACTGTTCACAGAGATCCCCATCTATGACATTCTAGAACAAAAGAGAAGTAATATGAGGACTATTTATTCAAAAAAATAATTAAATAGGGTATAATGGTAACAATATAAAAATTGTGTGCAAGTCCGACTTCTATTTGACTGATTTTTCATTATATCATGTATACTGTATAGATTGTTCGTCCCAAATACTACAGGAGCGCCAAAAAAACGCGCGCGACTCTCAGGGACGTGGCCGGCGGCAGCAGCGTACGGCCTCCAGTACGGAGAGCTTGTGCGGCACCGCTCACCGGACATATTCTACCAACAGTGTAACACAGCTCATGATATCATTATCATTAGCTGTTGACTTACTGTTGATATATTTCTTGACTTTTATATTGGGTCTGCACAAAATGTGTAGCAAATCTGTTCTCGATACTCCAGTCTAACATTTAGATTAAGATATTTCGAAATTAATTTTGCTTGCTCAATACATCCAACATATGCAAGTGCACAATTCTAAAATGATATTATAATGTGAAATCTTACCTTTACTGGATAGTAGTAACTTCTGAATGACAAATGGTCTCGACCACAAAGTGGTGAATTTTCACTTCTCATATGCATCTCTAAGTGCTGGAAGAAGTCATGGTCCTCTCTTGATGTGAAGGGAAGTAGTACACCGAGGGATCCACTGACAGTAGCATACAGAAGAGCTTCAGAGCCCCCAGGAATTAAGGTTGCTCTCTGTAGTGACGTCACAGTCTCACCAACATGGAAGTTTATTACTATTTCTCCTTTTTGTGATGCGCCATTTAAAAGACCTATGGAATTTCAAATTTATAAGAAAAAAAATCTTACATATTCTATCAGAATTCCATATGGTTTGAGTCAGATTAAAATATAGAATCATTTAAGATTATCATAAGTCTAGCATGTGTGATTTAGATGGTATCATCATATCTGGCAGAATAGAAAGTTCTTCTACATTCCCTAAGATTGGGTAATCGAGAATGCTATTAGAATTAAACACTTGTATAGAATTCAACGATGATTAAAAAAAATTCCCAATTTTGCAAGGAAATGTGATTATAGCTGGCAAGGCTGATCACAGATAGAAAAAAAAAATTTGCAAGGAATTATGTATGATATGGGAACGATTATAGTGACCCTAATTCAGTATACAAGTATATATTTGTCTCCACAAATTACAATAAGATGCAGTACAAGATTATATTAGTATGCAAGTAAGATGTATTATTGTGTATATTGTACTGTATTATATGCATAAGTTTAATTACCTCTGTCCCATAATGCCTTATTTCCAGTAGGGTCTTCATCAACGTCATCGGACACAGACTGTGGTAGTCTCATAACAGCAACATTTCCAAATTTATCTGACATTGCAACTGTGTCGTAATCTAATATGCAACTATTTGTGATCCACCGTGGGTTAGTGTCGTCTGCGAAAATGATCAACTGGTTCTCTCGTTTCTTATATTTTACACATAATACTGATTCTTGAACATCAGACACATATATTCTTTGTCCAATAGTTTTGATATCGGCTATAAGGTTTGGTATATGTCTGTTTTCGCATTTGCGTAATAATTTTCGTCTGCCAATATCATATAGTCTTAGCATACGACCCACTCCAGCTAAAAGTTTGCCATTAAATGCAGCTACTGCACCGGGATATTCATCTATGGGAGTTTTGTGGACTAACTCCAATTTGCCAGTGCTTCCGTATATCTATAATTAAAACAAATTCATTAAAATAAATCATAGTAAATTTATAATGTGATGTAGTTAAAAGGTAAAACATGAGTGGTATTTACCTTATAAACGTGTAAACTGCCTTCTGAACAAGACCTGGGTGAAAGAACCATATCTTTGGCAACTCCAACAACTAAATGTGGTCGTCCATGTTCGGCATGTGCGCTCCATCGTAGAATACACATAGAAACTGCAGCTTCGTTCTGTTCAAGAGGTAGTTGGAACAATGTGTTGGGTTGACCACCACCAATTCCCATATCCACAACTCTAATCTGTGATGCCCACATTCCTATAAAACAAAGATATTCCTCATATAAATATTTTAAATATTTACTTTATTATAAAAATTAGGAATCTACAATGGTTGATGTGATTGTTTCCCATACTTGAATCAAATGACTCACAAAGAGATCATCTGGGATTAACGAAGGGATTTTATATCGCCACATCCGATTAGAGCCAGTATGCTTATCAACATATACTGATCTTGCCCAGAGAATATGGCTGTCGGGTAAAAGTTTTTATTAAAAAAAAATGTTATGCATACCAGTTCCTGCTTTTGGTGAAGAAAATATGTTTTCTGGTAATATATCAGATAGAAAAGCGTCGGCCATTTCACTTGCAAGCTGTTGTTCTTCAGGACCGCCACCGGCAGCTGCTTCGCGCATTTCTTGTGCCATTTGAACCCTAATAAAAAAAAAACTGTTGTAATAAAATATATCTAATTTATAAATAAATCAATATTAATAGTATTTTATTTAATCAGGACTGCAGGTTTATCAACATTTTTTTTTTTTCAGTAACGTGTGTGTTAAGGTTTCATCATTTTATACACTTATCTCAGGCCACTAGTTACTTTATGTGATAGACAGACAGTAGAATTTAAAATGCCTTAAACAAGCCTGCTTATTATTTAGTTAAGGCTATGTAGGTCCATTACCTTCTTTGTTTTTTCATTTCTTCAGTATATGAGTTATGATCAGTTTCCAGAATAACTATGTGGTTATGTTCAGTGTTTATTACAAACTTCCTAGGAGTATAATCTAATGGCAAGTAAGTCTGGTTGAAAACGGCACCTAACTTCTCTAGTGCCAAGATTCTCAGTGTATTGGAAGAGATTGCTACGATACCTTCAGCACATTGTTCTGTAAATAAATTACGTAGTTATTGCAGTGTTAGATCATAATAACCATACTATATAATAAACTCAAGGTAAATTATTTTTGTCCACGACATGGTTTTGCCACCTTCATAATCTGAGCGACTCCAGTTTGGCTATGGAATATGCCGCGTCCGACCTCGACCGCAAGCGGGAAGTCGGTATGATCTGCGACGTTGTGAGCACATCACTGCATGTGGCAGCTACACTCTACCATTGCAAGGCATCACCCGAAAGCAAAACCACGCAATTCGTCGATTAAATAAGACATAATTGATTGCTATTTTACCTGAACTAAACCCAGCAGCATATTCAAGGCATTCATATGATAGAGGTGTTAGGTGGAACCTGTTCTGATAGTGGTAACCAAGCCATGTTCTGGACGATACAGCTAACACAGCCTCATTAGATTGAACTCTTACTTTAAAGAGTTTCACAGGTCTAGATCCTAGGTATCTGAAACAATAATAAACTTTTAATTTTTTAATGTACTAATCAAAAAGGTTACCATTTTGTTCATAATGAGTACCTCAGATCTGGTTAATTAATCGTCAATGTATTTCAGATGAAACACGGAGCGAAAATGGTTGACATCATTGGTAATATAGTATTAAAAACCAAAAGATTCAAGTGAATACAAACCTTGTCCTTGTATCTGCCAAATCCCCGCTCACCGAATCCAATGTGGTTCTGAGTAACACACCATTGCTTAAGCCAATATTAAGATGTAATGCTGATTTAGCTCCTGATTCAAAGGGTTGTTCAACAATGCATAAAGATTCAGCACTGGCTGGTAACGCTTGCATCGAACGTGGTGATAAACAGTCCTACAAGAAACAATAGTTATATTGGAGAAAGATATTTTCTTTATATTTGTATAGAGGGATGGTTAACTCAGCGAGTTTAAGAATAACGCATTTTAAGGTTGCTGTAATCATGGAAAGATCAGTGGTGTCCTTTTATCATCATAGTAATGGTAATATATATATATTTTCTTTTCTTTTTGTAATATATATTTTCTCCTTAAAGTAAAAGACATTGATTTCACTGAAATCAAGATTTCTTACCGATGGGTCTAGTGAAATTATCCTCACAGTATTATCATTCAATCCTACTGCTAAAAACCAAGCTCTTTGTTCTCCAGTAGCCACTGATCCCAGTGCCATACATGACACATCTGATGACAACTTTTTCCTTTCAGTATATTCATTTAGCTGGCCAGTCTGTAATAAGGAGTAGTATTAGTAGATGTAAAATATATATAACTTAAATGATTTGAATATGTTTATATTTTTGTCCACGACATGGTTTTGCCACCTTCATAGTCTAAGCGACTCCAGTTTGGCTATGGAATATGCCGCGTCCGACCTCGACCGCAAGCGGGAAGTCGGTATAATCTGCGACGTTGTGAGCACATCACTGCATGTGGCAGCTACACTCTACCATTGCGAGGCATCACCCGAAAGCAAATCCACGCAATACGTCGGTTGCAAAGAAATAACGTAGAAATATTTACTTACAGGATCCATTTCGAAATAGACTAGTTCGCCACCTGTCAATGCTATCACAACCTGTCTCTGATTGACGGCGCATTTGACAATTGACTTTTTCCCTGGCGCCTTCCATTCATTGACACGTTTATCCGCACGAATGTGTCGTATACCATCAGGGTATACCTGAACAAGGGCGTCATTACCCAAAGCATGGCAACTAAGTGTAGGCGTTGTACCCAAGAAACCAGAGTCTGTCACTTCTTCGACTGTCTCGCCAATAGAGAGTACAAGTGTAGCGTTTACGAATGATACAATGATGTAAGAATCATATTCCTCTGCAACCAACAGAAAAAATACAAGATAATGTAAGATAGATTAGGATTTTTAAACATTTTTCTCTCGTAACAGCGGCTCCGGTGAAGTTAAATGCGTGTTGGTTGCCTACCTGTGCGATTGTCGAAACCATCTCAATTTGATCATCGCCGGATAGTAGATTCTGAAAAGAAAAACCACTGGTGTTTATGTATGACAAACAACCAGGGTTTTATTAGTAATTTGTTGATAAAGAGGAGCCTTCATAAGTGGTTATTGTGACGTCACGGTTTGTCAGTAACACGGACCAGAATTATAATCATTAAGCTCCTATTATTACCTATATCAGTAAGGAGACATTGACTTAATGCTACTTGGTTAAATTTTTTCAAATTTTAATATCTCTAATTAAATAGTTACATTTCATTATTGTCATGAGACTTACCATCCTTATGGCGTCTGACAGTCCATACAGCATTGGGAGAGCCCGGTAACTCTGAGACTGCCATTTCTGCTACTTCTAAACCATGCCTCAGAGCTCTTATAGAGGATCGTGGGCCTCGTCCACACGCTAAGTAAACCTGAGGTGTATCTTCACCTGCTAAATCTGCTACATGACATGCTAAAAGAAAAGTAGTGTTTAATTATATGAATAGAAAATATACTTACAAGAAAATAATTATGTCTATAATTGCAATAATAAAACTTGGTTAACTTACCTAATACAGGGGATAAAGAATCCAATTCATCAACCAATACTAAATTCCTAAGAGGTCGTGGTGCAAAGAAGAAAGTATCACCTTCTTCTAAAGGCATAGCAGAGCTAAATTCTGGTTCATCATCTTCATCTCCCAAGTGAGCAATTTGATATAAAAAGCTGTAAAAGAAAGTAAATGTTCCTTATCTTTTTACTAATAAAACTATGTAGTCTATAGAGGGCACTTGTACATCTCATATCAGTGTGCACGCACCCCATAGTAAAGGGAGGAACCTTGGTTCAGAGATTGCTTATATAGCATGTGTCAAATATATGCAAGCTTGGAACAATCCACACTTACAGGTTTACATGCATGAATATAAATCATGTTTATTTATTTATTACATTAACATATAAATATTTACTTACTGGTTGCCAAATTCAGAGGCCACAAATAAAAATCCAGTTTTTAAGACACACATAGAAGAAGCTACAGGTACAGTATCAAAATATTTCAACTTTATCTCGGTTACCATGTCTTCATCAGTTTCTATAGTTATTTTGAATATGTCTCCTTGTTCAGTTTGTGCCAAAAAGAAAAACATTGACTTTGTTTTATGAGTAGCAGAGCAAACAAAAATCATTCCTCTTTCTGGATCATCTAAATCATTACGTCGTCGTGGTATTGGACATCTAATATCATGCTGGTCACCCAAATTCTTATATGTGAGATAGTTCTCAGAGCAGATCAATACTCCAGAGGGTCCATCATTGCCACCTGGGACAGTTATAAGGAAGTTTGCATGTTCCTCTAATGGTTCAGAATATTTTCTTACTACATGATTTAATCCCAAGTCTAATTCATAAAAAGTTAGTGTTTGCTGGGTTTTCTGAGCTGCTTCACCTGAGGAAAAATATTTCTATGAATTGTATTGTAAATAATAAAAAAAATATGAGCAATTGACAGAGAAAAATCATATAAAGAGGATTTGACGTCAATGTAAATCGGAAACACGGACCTCAAAATAATCATTGTAGATTTGAAGTCAATTTAAGTATGTGAAATTATTTGTTTTCCTTTGTATAATATAATAAGCTTGCCCAATTTTTGGATAAGGAATCTGATTGAACCCTATGCAGAATATCAATGTTTAGAGGTCCCTCTCACACATAGGATTGTTATGTTTCAACTAATTTGTGACTATACATAAATCTAGTGTATTTGGAGAACATCAAGTAAAACATTTGTACTTATCAAATAAAAACAGATCAATTTATTTTAAACCCTATAATATATAGCAACACATACCTGAAGGATCGCTGTCTGCTTCTTCATAATCAATTTCAAGACAAGCAAACATAGGGTTCTCAAATCCTACATCAACACCTACCATATGGTAGACCAATGTATTGGATTTGTGGGCTTCTAATGGAGAGGAAATTGTCAACCTAGCCTCCGCATCTCTGTTCAATATGTAGACTAGTTTCTGTTTTTCAATGGCTCCTACAATATTGGGTATTTATTAGCAAGTGTTAATATATTACATTTTTTATATCATGGCAAATGGTAAAATTAATAAACTTAAAGAAACTACAAAATATATGTTATAATATAATATTTCTTTTATGGCAGTAGATTAATTATTTAAATGTAAAGTTCACAATTAGGTATTATAATATATGCTTTAATAATAAAAACAGATCAAAATATGACTATTCAAAAGTGCTTGTAATGAGTTTATTTGAATAAAGATTATTTCTATTTCTATTTCTAGAAGTTAAAACAAAATAATAAAATAAAAACAAAAAGTTACTCTTTTTAAAGAGTTTGTAAAAAGTTAAAAAAAAAATATACAATGATAACTTACCAATCATAACAGCTCTGCCTTTAGGGTCAATAGCTAAATATTGTCCTGGAACAATTCTTCGGCATCCTGATTTACCAAAGGTTTCTTGATGAACCTTTTCTAGAATATTTTTGGCAGGTATGTACTCCAATATCACAATCCTACCAGAGTCTGATCCAATAACAATATAATCTGTAACAAAAGTATAATTCTGACAAAAATGTTCAAAGGAAGTATTCTATAATAATTTGATTAATTTTTGAGTAATATAGACTATATGACAGAATTGTAATTCTAGGTCAAAGGACAGTGGTCTATACGAAACATTCAGATATTTATTGGTTAACTAATATTTTTTAATAGGTTGTAATTTAAATAATATAATTATGTATAAGTACTATCTACACAAAAAAAATTGAAGTATCTGTAATTTTAAATTAATAGCTTTTTACTGAATCCATTTGAAAAGTCTATATGGTACTTACATAAAAATAAATTATTGAAAATAATTTTGTCAGTAATATTTTTGTCACTGCTAATCTCTTTAACAGTTGGGACTGATTTTGATAGGACTTTCACATGCAGATAGCTAATGTAATAAATAGTAATTTGAATAAAAATGTTTACTAGCTGTAGCTTCATCCCCGAAGGATGTAAGTACTTTGGGGATGATGTCATGGCTCATAAACAACTAGGTATGGAATAAGAGTGGTAACTGTACCAATGCAAGATACAACTTGGCAATTACAGAGATTACTAAGAGCGACGCGCTGGCTTTAATCTTTGCATTTAGTTATACCACACAAACTGTGTAAGTGGATGCATGGAGCAAGACGATGCAATACATTTCCATTTTAAATCTACATCAGGGTACCGTTGAAAAGTTATTAAGAAATCTGCTCACAAGTATAAACGTGCACGTGGCATAAATAAATTCCAGTTACCTTTTGTGCCGCCAGTGAGACGAAACGACATCATAGAGCGAACAACTCCGAATATCTCCACTTTCATCAGAGTGTGCACTTTGCCGGTATTAGGATCTGGACGAAGAAGCTCCAATATTTTGCCACGAGAAATCACTATTTCTTGCTGTTTTGTACCCGAAAAATTACCATGTACAGCGTGGGTAATGGCTGTTGATCCTTGTAAAGTCAAATTATAAAGATACATCGTGCCGGTCTAACCTATCCCTGAAACAATTATTAGGTTATTACTTTGAAGTTTCTGATAATTTCGAAACAAATCAAGTTTAAATCTATTGTAATGCCTGTAACTGACGAAAACAGTGAGTAATTAATGCTTTCGAATGGGTAGGCTTATTATTATAGCACTAATATTACGACCATGAAGGATATAATATCATTCGTGGAGATACCTCTAGTGCAAAATAATGATAAAACAAAGAAATATAATTGATATTAATTAATATTTGATTCTTACCTTGATAAAAATATAGCAGATTGCCGCAATGCGGCCCGATACTATTTCGGGTATCAGCGAGAACACTCCGGACAACAGAAGTAATCAAAATGGCGGAAAATGCCATTTCACGAAGTCAAGTAGATTCGGTACGCGATAACCAATCAAAAAGAAGCATTTTTGGGAATGGCGTCTACTTATATATGAATCAGTGTTGCCATTCTTTACATTATAATATAGAATATCACTGTTTCGATCTACACTAGCGCCATCTTTTGTTCCATAGATAATTTAATAATTTACACGATGTTTTGATCCATATTAGCCCCATCTCTTGTACAATAGATTAACTATTAATTTAATAGGACGACAGACATGTTAGTTATCTATACAGATAAGTGACTTCTACACTAACCTTCTATTTCGAATAAGTAATAATAGATGGCAATAATTACCTGTTGTCCATTCAATTTAAATCTAATTGTCGTTAAGTTCTAGCAGTGGTTGGCAGAATTACTAAAAATAGTAATGTGACTATGTTACATTAAATAAAATCATTATTGCGGGGCGCCCTCTTTCACTGAGGTCTTCGAACAAATGGCCTTAAAAAATAAAACTAAGTTAAAGTCATAGGGTAGGATTCATTTGAGATATCTATATTTTTCTTTTAATTAATTTTATCCACAGTTCCGATTTTATATAAGTGCTGAGGGCGGTACAAGAAAATTGATCTAATCGAATCGAATCTATTTTTTTCATTACTCTATTAGTTTGTGGTTAAGTAACACTGTTGCAATAAGTGTTGAGTTCGCATTATATCTCCTAGGTTAGGTATAATATATTTAGGTACCTACCTAGGTATTTTATTTGTTTATTGTGAATTATTTAATTGACATTAATTTATTCAATCCAATAAAATAGATATACTCAATTAAATCTGTTTGCACTTAACTAAGAGACAGTAGGTAGGTAGTTTGATTTTAGAAATCGTTAACAAAGAAGTAGTTTGTCATTATGTTACAACTTTGAATAAATGTGAACACCTGAAGAATGCTCTGTGGGATTTAAAATTCCAATACGTATTTGTGTACAATTGGTAGAGGCCCGCTCCATTGTGGCGCGTCTCTCGCATCTTTTACATTTTGTGAGTGCGCCAGCCGCCAATGGCTCACAGACTCACATCTCACAATGTATCCGCTATCCAAGTCGGTAACGATCGACGCACCTGAGTATTCGGAGTCGTTTCGGTATTTCGCTTCGTGCGGCGATCTCTTGATCTTGACGTTTGAATAATATTTTAGAGCCAATGACGCCAGATTATATCTATTTACGCTGATATAAATTACTATGTTCATTTCTTTGCATAAGAGGTTATTAAACTATAAAATATCGTTATCATAAAGAATCATAAAAAAGATCATAAGTAGTTAATACTTAGGATTATGATTCGCAAGTTTTGTTTCGGTTTTAGATGAATGATATACATATGGCAAAAGAAAAGTCAAATTAAGCTGCTAAATAAGTACGTACTTTCTTAGACGAACTAATAAGTATAAATAATCAATATAAAACTTATATATCTATATATAGTAGATATAATGTTTTATCAATATAAGTAAATTATTTAGAAAAAATGACTAGTTACAAATCAAATCGAGGGGATGTTTCATTATTCATAAGCATCTACATAAATTTATGCAGTGTCTGAACTTGAAGGGTAGGTATAATTTATTTTATAAAAACGAAATATATTACTCGATTGTATGAAATGTACGGGGCGCGGTACCTCCTTTTTAAATAATTGTTTATCACAGCGTCGCCTTAATAGTAAGGTTACAAAAAATATTATTTGATTTAATATACTTTTTATACTGAAGAATCTTATCAATTAACCGAGGTCTGTGAACAGTCGTGGAGGCGAGCGCAGGCGCAGGTCACGATCTGCGCGGGCGGAGACGCGCACGTGTGCTCGTGTGTCTTGTATGACTTTACGGAAACTATCTTATGTATTTCGTTATAAAGATCAAAATTGAACATAAAATTTGTTTATGAAGCCAAAGAATGTAATTTTATAGGTATCCTGTTAGTCTCAGAAAACAAGATAAAAACAATAATCGCCAACAAAAACGTAGTGAGTGGTTTACTATTTATTTATACGTAATAGGTACACGTTGTATAATGTTTTATAGGGTACATATACCTACCTGTTTTTTCAAATGCCACTAAAAACAAAACATGTTTTTTCGTTTTACACGTTAATACTACAGGAAATAAAATTAATGCCAACATACCTACGATTTTGTTACATAAAAAATTGTAATAGTGAACAAAATTAGTGTTGAATTATCAATTAATTACAGTTCATGGAATAAATAAGCATACATGTACAACCGCCACGTTCGATAAGTCCAAAACCAGTCCCAATATCACAAAAATGTGTCTAATAACTAAATTATTATATAAATAAGAACTTAATTATTCGAAGAATTATTGCGGTCTCATAATCATAAAATATTAATTATATGGAATAATATTAATAATACATTATTCAATCGGATCATTTGGTGCAAATAAATAGGTAAGTATTTAGATCTTGTGGTGGTATTTGTCTTTGGAATACGTTTTTATCTTCATTCTCCAAAATATTTTCAAAAAAGCAAAAACACGAATACACATTAGAGATAAGACATAGGAATGTAATGTGTATTTATGAGACATTGTTTTTTAACCACCACTAAAAATATTCTTTAAACGACTGTATTTTTATGTATTCAAAGAAACTTTTAAATATGTGGCCTTTAGGATTCTGTAGTTTAGTTATATTACATAGTCGTTTTATTTAAAAACTACTCAAAAAACTAATTGCAATTAAATGAACTGCGCCGTTTGACATATTTTATACTCTTGAGTTATACTAGCAAAGCATTAATTCCATATTTCAAGTATCGAAACAATACTCGCTCAGTTTAGAAATCTTATTCAGTTTAATTTTGATTACGTTTCAAAAGTACAGTACTGGAAAAATGGATTACATTCATGTGCTGCTGCTGACAGAGTAAGATCACACAAAGTCCCAGGCATTAGGAAAACCTTGTTTTCTTTATGAAAGTGCAAAATCCTCGTTAACCTATAGGTATATTAGGACACCACAGATATATATTGTGACGACTCAGGCGTTGCCATTCTAGAGGACTAAGTAGGCATTAATGCCCGTAATTTTACTGCTTACAATTATGTATTATATATAGTAACTAGCTGTTACACGCGACAACTTTGAGATTATCTTTATGGAAATAGTATTTTGAAATCTTTGATCCGAAAATACACAGGCAGAGACACTTCTGAATTTATAATATTAGCAGAGATGTACAGGTTTAGATGCACCGCGATATTTACATTACCAATTCTATATGGATTTTGATGATTATTTGTTACTTTACTCATGTGTAATTAAAAATACGTATTATGGTAATTTTGTCCTAATTAAAAACATTCTTATGCACATTAAAAAACCAAATTTATATTTTCATATAATTCTTGATAGGCCTTGTGTGACTTGCTTTCTGAATTAGATTATTGAAATATAGAATTTATAAACTTAATCTTGTAAAGCCGGTCAGTCAGGCAAGTTCAGTCCAGTACCAGATTATGAGCGACAGACTGACAGTGAAGACTGACGATTGACTCACAAATGTTTGGATACGGCGCGTGGCATTGTCTTTGTCTATAATGTTTTGTCAAACATAGTTTCGTGGAAATGAATAGCATGTTTATCGAAACGAATGTCTTCGTGTTGATGCAACATAGCCGATGACGTTATGTGTCAGCAGTGGCACAATTATTTTGTCTAATTGATAAGTAAGTCATTTTAAAGCGTAATGTTAAGTAAGTATAATTTTTAATTATCAACTTCAGAGTCGCTTGTATTGTCATGTATGAATGAGACTAATTACGATAGCGGATGAAAGGAGTTATGTGTATCTATGGAAGAAGGATGGTTATTTAGTATCTCAAGAAGAAGCTTAAATGAAAACTGTGTGTTGTGGGTAGCGATAAGATTACTTTTGTACACAGATGCAACTTCAGATAGATACAGAACTAATATATAAAGAAATCGAAGGAACAAATATTGTGCTTTGGGTACGGCATTTCTACATGAGGTTTGTTTACATATATTTTCAATAGTATCAACGCAAAATCGATGGTACAATTTGACTATAAGATAAGAGCACAGATACTGAAATTGTACAATTTCATCTCCTTGATCAATAGTTTCGTATAGGAATGCAATATCCGCCAACCCTAAATCCTATTGTAAACATTCCACTAGCGCCCCGCCAATCCATAACTTCATTTATGCAGATTGTACCTACCCTTTTTAGGGCTGTAAAATTGCAATTTATTCTAGTAGCATCAGGTATTACAGTATCGTATCAGGTATTATAGGGTTAGGGGAACTAAAGGTTTTCATTTTCATTCAGATATATACCCCTAAGACCTAAACTCAAGAAAATTAACTTTCTAACTATAAGCTCCGGTCTTGGTAAGTATACAACACAACAGTGTAACTATGAGACGTAGTAGTAGGAACTACTTCAGGAATCTAAAACTGAGTTGTTTTGCAACTCAGAGTTGCTAAATAACTTAATTTTAGATTTCTATTCCTTCTTATTAATCAAGGTTAAATGATTTTTATTAAACATATTTTAGGTTTATGTTTCATTACAAATTCGAATCGTTTTCTAATGCTCGTCTACAATATAAGTATGTAAGTAATCAGTCAGATCATGCACTATTCAGGTCGTGAACTGGTTCGAATGAGACTGGAAAACATTAGAATGATTTTAGTAAATTACAGATATAGCTTTATTGGTTTGAATTACGAGTATTCTCAATTACTGTATCATGGGAATAACAAATAAGCATGTAATAGTGTAGTGTTAATTATACGTCAATATATTTAAATCCAAGACACATATATTATGTACAAGAATATATTACAATATACAAGCATTAGGATGAGTATTTTTAGTATTATGTACATAAAATTATAAAAATTACATTAGAAACTAAATTATTAAGACATATTAGATCACTAGGTGTGTCGTCTATCATTGCTTTAGCGACTAGGAAAATTAAATAGAAGGAAGTAGGTAATCTGTTTCCTTAAAAAATATATACT